AGCTGTCTGGATGAGTTAGATACGCGCCCTCGCCCGATTGAAACCAAAACAAGTAATTGGGTAAGATAGCGGTTCTATAATTTATCATAAAATTAAGTGTACATTATTACCTAAACAAATATAACCACTCAGCTATCCAACCAATAATTGTTCAATTGATCAAATCTAAACTACAATAAATAAGAAAGTTGATAAAGGATGCAAGAAAATTACCAATCACCACAAATAAATGTTATTCTATCCTGTCTGGATAGATCACGTACAGATCCGTTCAAAAGGTAATAATTGGTCGCTCTATAACACAGAGTGTTTTCAATTCTGGAAGAGTGCTTCAATTCACAACCAAAATGCACAATTCCAGTCAACACAGGTCGAGCAATCAAAACCAGGAACAAACCAAAATGGCTGCCGCCCAGACTTAGTATAAAGTAAAACAACATAAGTGCAGTTCGGGTAGAAACATGGGGAATTAGTGAAGGTGTAGTAAAAACAAAAACCATAGTAAAATACAAATATTACAATTCAAATGTAATCAAAAACTAACAATGTACAACTAAAGGGATCAATAGGAACTAAGCGCAAGTATGTACATGGAGGGATTTTCACAAACACACAAAACATTCAAAATGGATCTTACACCGGCCCCCAAAATCCCTCCATATCACACAAGCTGCCTTGATGCCTATGGTCATGGTTCATTATATAACATATCGCACTACAGGAACGAGTAGGACTTACAACAGTACGCCTACTCGACCTACTTACATTGATACGCGAGGAATTAATTCGAGCCTTCCAGGAGGCATAATCTACGTATATCTCTTCTGACTAATCCACCGTTCGTACGAACAACCACTGTTCTAACTCTTCCGTCGTCATCTATTTTACAATCTTCAACTACTCCTAAGGGCCACTTTCCACGGGTCGATATGTCCGAAGCCACGATCACTACATCACCCTTCTGAAAATTGCGGTGTTCAACTAACCATTTTTGTCGCTTCTGTAAAGACGGTAAATACTCTCTTAACCACCTTTTCCAAAACACATTAGCAAGATGATTAACCTGTTTCCATCGTTTGTCATATTTATCTCTGATGCCACCTTCTTCGACTATTCCGTCACATTCTCTCAATAATAACAGACTGTTTGGCGACAAGGCTAGTTGATCGTTAGCATCTTGGACGACTGGAGTTAAGGGTCGATCGTTCAATATCCTTTCAACTTCAATCAAATAAGTGCTTAAGGTCTCATCAGTTAAAGTCTGTTCTCTAGTTATCAACAATAACAGTCTGCGTATAGACCTAATCATCCTTTCCCAGACCCCACCCCTGTGGCTGGATGAGGGCGGGTTAAAATGCCACTGAATCTGTCTAGCTGACAGTTCCTTGTCTATCCTTTGCTGATTCAACTGTTGCACAAATCTCTTTAGTTCAGAGACCGCACCCACGAAATTCGACCCATTGTCACTGTAAATTTCTGCAGGTTTCCCTCTTCTTCCAATGAAACGTAGCAAGGCCATTATAAACGAATCAGTATTCAAACTATGTGTCATTTCAATATGTACTGCTCGGGTTTGCAAGCAAGTAAATACACATCCATATCTTTTTTCTAGTGATCTTCCTCTTTTGACAAAAAGGGGTCCAAAGTAGTCTACTCCCACGGCTGAGAAGCTATACCATCCTTGTTGCACTCTACAAGCTGGAAGTGGTGCCATCAATTGTTGCCCTGTAACCATCGTATACCGCCGGCATGTCACACACTTTCCTATCACTCTCTTAACCGTGCTGGTTCCTTTTATTATCCAATACCTTTTTCGAATCGTGGCCAGTACTTGTGACGTTCATGTGTGCCCTTGTTCCTTATGATAATGTCTAATTATCATTTCTGTCACTAAGTGTCGACTGGGCAATATTATTGGATGTTTAAAGGCATTTGAGAAATCTGAGTAGCTTAGTCGGCCTCCAACACAGAGTAACCCATCAAGCATTATCGGTGATAAGCCCTTCAGATCATTGTGACTAACTACCTTACCATTGGTTTTAAATCCACTAAGTATTTCTCCATACACTTCTTTTTGAACCATCAACAAAATTTTACGCTTGGCGACGTCAAGTTCTTTGACCTTTAAACACCCTAGATGAACGGATCCTTCAGGACTCGGTGAACGAAGCACCATCAGAAATTCTATGAACCTTCTAAGCCAGGCTACGGCCCTGACTAATTTCAACCACTCAGAATAATAGGTGACATGTTGTACTTTATACTACTCAAGTTAACCACGGCAGTTTTTCTAAACTCAATATCGTCAGGAGTAGGTTCCGGACAGTCAGTGATTGCTGTACAAAATTCGCCATGCAGTAAGGTAGGGCATTTGAACCAAAGCTCAAGATCTGACATTTTTTGTATACCTCTCGAGGTCCAGTCAGCTGGATTCTGTGACGACTTTACATAACTCCATTGTTCAATCTTCGTATACTGATGCACAATGGCGAGACGGTTAGCTATATAGGTGCTATAGCGATTCTCGATATTCTTGATGTAGTACAACACTACCATGGAATCTGTATGGAAGTTTACCTTACAGAAAAAATTAGGCAGACTTCTCTGTAAGACTTCGCTAAGCCTCACACTTAACACTGCCGCTGCCATCTCTGGCCTCGGTATAGTGACCTGTTTGATAGGTGCTACCCTAGACTTGCTGTATAACAAAATACAGTAGGGTTGTTCCTTCAAATAACTGACTCGAGCGTACGCGACTGCTCCGTAACCGATCTCTGAAGCGTCACTGAACAGGTGCAATTCTACTTCCGCGTCGGGTTCGTCAATTCTCTTCTTGATACCCCTATCTACCGTAACATGACCTATTTGACGCATAAAGTTTACCCAATTTAGCCACGCCGACATGTATGGCTCGTTGAGAGGCTGATCCCAGCCTAATTGAGACTTACATATTTTCTGCAAGAGAACCTTGGCAGTAAGACAGACTGGAGCAATTAAACCCAAAGGATCGAACAGAGAAGAAACTATAGATAGAATCCCTCTCCTAGTCAGAGGCTTTTCAGGCGCATCGAAGTAAAACTTGAATACATCTCGTTTAAAATCCCACTCTACTCCTAGAGTTCGATGTGTAGTGTCATAACTCGTTGACATTTCTATCAAGGACTCTTCTTTACATACATAGGGCAAGATGGTCCTTACCTCCTCCGAGTTAGTAACCCATTTCTTTAGTTTAAAACCTCCCCTACATAATAATTCACTTATCTGCTTAACGAAACTCTTTGCTTGATCACAAGTGGGAAAGGATACCAAGCAGTCATCAATATAGAAATTATTCTTAACAGCATCTACGACATAACCATCATAACCGTCAGAGAATATTTGTGCCGTCTTATTCAAGGCAAAGTTCGCACAAAACGGCGATGATGTGGCACCAAATGGATGAGATGTCATTTGAAACTCGGATGGTTCCCTCGCCATGTCTCCCTCTTGCCACCACAGAAATCTTAAAGCTCCTCGATCAGACTCAGGGACCTTTACTTGCATGAACATTTCTTCAACATCCGCAGAGATTGCGACTGCTTCCTTGCGAAAACGCAATAGTATACACACTAACTCCGCAGTTGTGTCGGGTCCTTGATAAATCATATCATTTAGAGAAACGCCTGCAAACTTGGCGGCACAGTCAAAGACCACTCTCAGTTTTTCTGGTTTTTTCGGGTTTAAAACTGCATGGTGAGGTAAATACCATCGAGGGCGATAACTAGGTTGCACTTGTATCTCAGGGACCTTCTCCGCATAGCCCTTAATAAAATTACTTTCAATACCTTTTGTATACTTGATATACAGAATGTCATCTTTCAACAATCTACGCTTCAAACTCTGTAGTCTACTGTTTGCCACTTCATAATTCCCCCCTTTCATATCTGGGTTCCCCTTCCATGGTATAGGGACTACAAAATGACCATTTTCGAAGCGTGTGCCCCCTTCTACAATACTTATAGCTGCCTTATCTTCTATTGATACTGATTTATCATTTGAATAAACATCAGAAAACTCTACATCATAAAGTTTACGTATTTCGTTCTCCAAAGCCTGTATCTTACTGGTATGATTGACAACTCTCTTCCTGTATTCCGGATATGACGCAGGTCCGAAGACCGTCCACCCCAACAACGTCTTCACAGCGTATGGGCTTTTTCTTCCACCCAACCGCTGGTCTAACACCCAGTGTGCTTCTGGTACATCGCAACCAATCAACAGCAGAACTTCTTCAGAGTCTAGGTTGCCTATTGGTACATCCCTTAAATGTGGCCATTTAACTAAGTTGTTCACTGCCGACCTTGTTGGCTTATGACCTGGTATATCTGCGACAATCAGAACCCCTTCGATCGTAACATGTTCAGACCGATCTAGAGAATACACCTCAAAAGGAGTCCTTGTGACCGTCATTGTCCTATTACCACTCACAGTCTCTACTACCACTGACGCTCGGTCTTCCTTCAACCCGAGATACCTCAAACAGCTCGATTTTATCAACGTTACATCAGACCCATTATCCAACAAAGCATAACCCATCATTTCGGCATTTCCGAACATCAAACGTACAGGAATCATTCTTAAGCACACTTGGCTACTTAGGGATTTAGTAAATCCACAACAATTCGGGATACCAGGTTTATCATTTTCGCTGTGCAGCAAAGAATGGTGTTTCTTCTCACAACTATTAACGTTACAACGTTTTGCCAGCTTACATTCATTAACTTTATGCCCTTGCCTAAGGCAGACAAAACAGATGCCATTAACCTTCGCGTGAGACCATCTCTCTTGAACGGTAAGCGCTAAAAATTTTGGACATTTATAAATAGCATGGTCCAGGGAACACACACTGCATTTAGCTTTCTCTTTCGAATTATTCTCCTGCTCCAATTGCAAGTGACAATTTGTCTTTAAGTTGTGTCCCCTTCTCGGACGATTCGCTAACCGTCCAAACCTACTATTTGCTACTCTCGCGCGGGATGAGTAAGCTCGTCAAAGGTTGGTTCTCTATTATCTTCAGTCAATTCATCCACCCAGTCCGCCCACTGGGCTTGCATAACTTGAGGTAAGAGTCCTACTATTCTCTCTAAGGTAATTAGAGAATTTAAGTCGGCAGTATACTTCATCTGTTTCAAAACCATAGAACAATTTTCCATCCTAATAGCTAGATTTGTTAGTTGCTCAGGATCACTGTAATCAACATTTGTAATCTTGAATAAGTCCTCTAAAGTTTCCCGAGCGATTACATGTGCCTGTCCGAACAACCGTTTTAGAATTTCTTTGGCCTTCTTGTAACCAAAAGAGGCTTCCAACATAACACAACCCTCAATGGCTGTTTTCGCTTTACCCTTACAATAATGTATCAAATAAAGCAAGCGTTGACCATCATCCTTGACCCTTGATTCCACATAGGTCTCAAACTCCCTTAAAAACTTCCAGTAACCTCTTGGTTGTCCGTCGAAATAACTTAACTCAACCTTTGGTAACTCTGGACCTATGAAAAACGCCGTAGGCCTTACGCCTTTTGCTTGCTTCACGTCTAAATCAAGGTTTTCTATGCCATCTGTCATTATATCACAACTAGATTCACTATAATTACAATCGTCCCTATTAGAATATGAACCATGACACATAGAAGCATCAGAAGGCACTTGCCTTGATTGAGGGGATCCATCCTTTTGTTCATCTCTTTTAACATCCACGAGCCTTGGACTTAATTTCCTTCGACGATTGTTTGGCATCGCAAGCGAACGACCAAATATTCCCAGAGACGATGATTGGAATCAACGAAACGAAAGCCAAGCGAATTCGACCAAAATATTTGTTTAGAACTGTAAGATCCAAACTACGTTTGGACTGCTGGACAGCTGTCTGGATGAGTTAGATACGCGCCCTCGCCCGATTGAAACCAAAACAAGTAATTGGGTAAGATAGCGGTTCTATAATTTATCATAAAATTAAGTGTACATTATTACCTAAACAAATATAACCACTCAGCTATCCAACCAATAATTGTTCAATTGATCAAATCTAAACTACAATAAATAAGAAAGTTGATAAAGGATGCAAGAAAATTACCAATCACCACAAATAAATGTTATTCTATCCTGTCTGGATAGATCACGTACAGATCCGTTCAAAAGGTAATAATTGGTCGCTCTATAACACAGAGTGTTTTCAATTCTGGAAGAGTGCTTCAATTCACAACCAAAATGCACAATTCCAGTCAACACAGGTCGAGCAATCAAAACCAGGAACAAACCAAAATGGCTGCCGCCCAGACTTAGTATAAAGTAAAACAACATAAGTGCAGTTCGGGTAGAAACATGGGGAATTAGTGAAGGTGTAGTAAAAACAAAAACCATAGTAAAATACAAATATTACAATTCAAATGTAATCAAAAACTAACAATGTACAACTAAAGGGATCAATAGGAACTAAGCGCAAGTATGTACATGGAGGGATTTTCACAAACACACAAAACATTCAAAATGGATCTTACATAATTTACAAACTAGAGTAAAAATAATTCTTTAAGAAGTGTCGAAAAATGAATCTGCATAATATCTCAAACCTTCACTGAAATAATATAAGTTTTTGCAAACGTGGTAAGCCTCTGATGTAATAAGCATAATAAGTAACCTTATTTTACGACAAGTGTGTATATCACTGTCCGTTTTTACGACGCGAGCTGATAAAGGACGAGACATCTCACAGAACTGACAGCTGATTATTCCTTTAGCCACAACCATACGTGATAGAATGTTATTTTTACAGGAACAGTTTATTTGGTCCGTCAACCTGTCTCAATTCACTGGGATTAACTGGAATAGTGCAGTTGGTCAGCTTACTGCACGTTTCATGTAGTTAGCTACAATTTAAAACATCTTTGTGAGTTCCGTTTGAACACAAACATCAAGTGGAATAATTGGGAGTTGGACGCCAGGTAAGAAGGGATTGAACTGAGGAGAAACACGTCTCGCAACCAATTTATTTATTACCATCTGAGATAATTTAAGCCAGTTATCCGAATCATACTTCAAAAATTGATGGTTCAAATGGTTCAAAATGGTTCAAATGGTTGTGGACGGAATAGAAGAAGCTTTCGCTTAACAGGCTTCCGTGTCTAGTAGCAGGGGATCACCAAATCCTCCAGGCAGGAACCTAGGTATGTTAATAATAAAAGAGGAAGAGAAATTGGTACATCATAGTGTGATGCTGTCCTTGGTCCTTAAGAATAGGTCAAGTTGCCTCTTGAAGGACTCCTGAGAAGTCGCTTGGACTAGCTCGGCCGGCAGCGAATTCCAGCTTTTGACAACTCGTAAGGAGTAGAAGTTATGTCTACATTCCGTTTTGCTATGTTGTGTCTCCAGTTTCTGGGTGCTACTCCTTAGGTTATTATTCGAACTAAGCTTAAGTAGGTGTTTAAGAGGATGTCCAGAAGTGTTAAGGATGCTATAAGCCATCAGAAGATCACCTCTAAGACGCCTACACTCTAATGGGTAAAGGTCTAGTGAATGGAGGCGTTCTTCGTAAAGTTTAGATTTGAGTCCTCGAACTGATTTCGTGGCTCGCCGTTGGATACGCTCCAAAGTGACCTTGTCCTTTTGGAGTGAGGGGGAGTACTATGTTTCCGTACTGTAAATGGGGACGGATGAAACTATTGAGGATTGTATGGAAGGTTCGTCCGTCAAACTGTCCAAAAATGCGCTTCAACGTTACCAGTGCAAGGTTTGCTCGGAAGGCATTTTTGTCACAGTTAGCGTAAGACTTTAAATCATGGAGCACCAGGACTCCTAAATCTTTTTCGACTTGGGATAAAACTTGGGAGGAGTTTCCTAAGTTGTAACTGTAGTTTGCGACATGTCGCAGATGGACTACTTTACACTTTGAAGTGTTAAAGGTAAGTCCGTTATCGTCTGCCCAACTTTGAAGTCGCGTCAGATCCTCCTGAAGTGCCTGTATATCGTCTTGGTTGCGTATCTCTCTCTCTCTCTCCAAAGTTTCACGTCGTCAGCAAAATGTAATAAGTCTGACGTTACCTGTTGAGGAAGATCGTTTATGTAGATCAAGAAGAGACGAGGCCCTAGTGCTGAGCTTTGGGGGACCCTACTAATACATTCCATAGCCTGAGATAAAGTGAAATTAACCCTAACCTTAAAGTGTCGATTTTTTAGGTATGAAGTAAGCCAATCGATTAGAGGTGGTTTGATACCCAGTCGTTTGAGCTTATTGATAAGACAGAAGTGGTTAACTTTATCACAAGCTTTTGAAGAATCAAGGTAACTGGTATCAACCTTCTCCTTGCGATCGAGGATGCTTGTCCATCTGTCCACCGCAGTCAGCAGGTTGGTTATACAAGAGTAACCCTTCCTGAAACCATGCTGTTGGGGTGAGAAGAAATTTAAGGACAGTAGATAGTCGTTTAAACCGTCGCATATCAGGGACTCCATGAGTTTTGAAGGTAATGACAGAAGAGCCACCGGCCGATAACTTGAAGGTTCATTGCGTCGACCTCCTTTGAAAATTGGTGTGATGTGAGCCAACTTCCAGTTTTCCGGTTGTTTGCCTCGTCTAAGCGAGTGTGAGAACATCACGCTAAGCGGCGTTGTCAGGATTGAGGCTGCTTCCCTCAGTATGGCAGGATGAACCATATCCGGGCCAGGAGAAGTATCTAGTCTTAAGTGCTGCAATTTCCGGAACACCAAGTCAGCGCTTAGGTCCACTTCAGAAAGTCCTGTGGAATTGCAGATGAAACTGTCGTCAATAAAGTTGATGTCAGCCGGTTGAAATGTTTGAGAGTATGTGCCGCCAGAAGGTTAGCGGCGTTGCCATCGTTTCACCAATAAATCTATAAGGCTTAACTGAGATGAATTTTCACGCTTACCCTCCGACCCAGAGATACCAATGACCCGTAGTTATTGAATGAAGAGGCTTACTGAGCGAAAAGATCTCCTATTCCGTCCTTAGATACATTCGCTTACTTGAAACAATTTAATTATGCTCGAGTTTGTTAGTAGGAAAGAAATGTATGTGATCTATGCCGGCGGTTGTGATCTATCCGGGTTGACCAGGAATTATGTGGCCTCCTAGCCAAAAACTCGCGGCGAATAATTAATCATTGTGACCAGGTAAATCAGCTACTTTGGTAACTAGTTTAAATGAATAATTTTACTAAAGTAATGTACTATGGTAAGAAAACTAGAGAATAGTTGGTAGTGAATATGTTACGGATGTCAAGGGCCTGATGATGCTGTCATTCGCATCATTTTCGCAATCAAGGATCTCAAAACCAGTCAGGTCAGAGGTCAGTAATGAAGTAGTTCAAAGGTATACTTCGAAGATAGTTGGCATGTTGGTGTGTGAGCTAAGCTGTGTAGTTGTTGCGAGAGATGAGTTGGGCGGCGTACCTATTGATTATCTGGTGCTGATGCGTGACCGTGAGCCCTCGGCTTGAATGTCTTCAGTAAAATGAATAAAGTCAGGACCGATTTCGAAGACTTACAACACTATTTATTGCGGGGATATATTTGCTTTCACATTTAAGCCAATATTGAATGCAACCCGGAGATAAATATTTGACCGGGTACCTATAAAGCACTTGCTATGATATTTATCTACATTAATGTGCAAAACTAAGTTAGAAAGCGATGAGATCCCCCAACGGATATGGCCTTGAAGGTCGGAAGTGTTTGTAAATACTAGAACACCTGTTTTTGATAGTTTCCAAGGTCAGTCGCATTTCAAACTGTAGAAAAGTCTATCATCAACGGATATATGCTTATGGTTATTTCGGCCAACTTAAGTATAAAACTCTCTTCCACATCATATGTCTAGTAATGACTATATGATCCTAGATTTTTCAACCATACCTAGGTTCCTGCCTGGAGGATTTGGTGATCCCCTGCTACTAGACACGGAAGCCTGTTAAGCGAAAGCTTCTTCTATTCCGTCCACAACCATTTGAACCATTTGAACGTTTATGTACTACTTTGTTCTCATCATGCAGAAACGCATTTTATTCGAAGCTAACTCAATGAATCCATTTTTCAGGTGTCATATATCCGGCGCTTCGAACATATCCTTGGTTTGCTTACGATTTTGCTTTATGTTTTAGGTCAAATCGAATCTTCTTCACACTCAAGTTGTGAAATTATCTACATCTCAACAGTTGACACATTTGGAATTCATGTACGAAAAAATGTGTTGTACGTAGTCTCAATACGTTTTAATAGTATTTAGCGAGGATCTTGTACCGGTTTTTAATATTTCGCATATTTATATCCAGCGAGCAAGATTTCAAATTCGATCTAAAGTAAATACTGTTTAGCACGTTCACATTGAAGCAGGTTTTCTACCAACGAAAGAAGACCACTTATCTTCACTTTTTCTACAAAGATTCAGTCTATAACCATCAAGAAGTTTACTGTGATGGTTCCTTTGTCCACGGTTCTAAGATCAGCGGTTTGTTAGCATGATACATTCTAACTTTTTGTCACTGTTCAGTGGTTAAATCTTACGATTGATTTGTTTTCTTTTATACACGACTTAAATGTTCAAGATGGCGTCAAGAAGCTACAAACCATCACGGTCTACCCATTTTGCTATTTATCCGAGCTTTCAGTCACTTCATCCTCCATCAGTGATGTTTCCATTCTCGATAGTAAGTCTTTATGTGTCGATAGATTGATTAACTTTTTCCATTCTGTATTATATAATGGTGTATGGACGTTTCTAACTTTGTCAGGGCATCTTAATCAGTTTCAACTTAGTGTATGCTTCTATCAACTTAGTCTCGGGATATTTTCGAGTTTTAAGTTACTTGTATACGATAGAATATTAGATGGAAATAAGTATGAATCATTGATTCCCTATAAATTTTCCAAAAGATGCCATATAACTCAAATAAAACTTATATGTTACTTCTCAAAGAACATGAAATCTCAGCCTCCATCGAATAGAATAAAACTAAAAACAAAGTGGTCGCTTCCAATAGAATAGTGTTTTGTATCTTGGTTTGAGAATTTCCGTACTTCACGTTAATTCAAAATTACACATGAAACTGCGAGTTTTAGCCATTAAACAGGGGTTTTAGGCTCTATCTAATATGTTTTTTCAGGACAACTCGGTAGTTTTGTAAGCTTCGACGTTTCAAGTGTAGCTTCAAGATAATATACTGATCTGAGATTACAGAAATAAAGCTTCAGAGTTAAAGCACGACAATCATGTACGAACAAAAACAGCTATAATTCTTATCCATTATAAACATGCTTGTTGTGGAATTTTTACCAAACAATTTGTATTGAATTGTAAACGAAACTCCAGGATAATTTCCATAAGTTTCAACAGTACTGACTTTAGTCCCTCGTCTTTACTTTCGGCCATTCATTGTTAGATTTAATGCTTTTATTTCAAATGAAAATATATTGATGCTCGTTTTTACTCATCTGTTCATGAAACGTTTGTGGTCTAAGTGAATAATGAAATAAAAGTCCTGATGTTGCTAACGTTTTGTCGAAAGACGTTTAGTGTGTGATGTTACTAACTGTCTAAGTTTTTCTTCTCGATACCCGAACTCCTTTACCTCATAATAAAGTTTCACCAACGATTGTGTATTGCTCTCGATAAACTTGATGTAAATGTACTTCTATTTTTAAAGGTATATATTAACGGTTATTTGTTTTTCGTGGATAAATTGTTTGGGTTTTTAAAGCTAAGATGCAACTTGAAAATTTAAATAATTACTGCATCCAACCGAAGGACTTATCATAGTACATCTGTTTAGTTTTTCACAAGGTTGTTCAATGAATACTCTTTTCATCCGTTTGATGTAATCTTATTTGAAAGATGTAAACTACATAGTTTGTTCTATTTCTTTATTTAGATCCTCAAACTTCAGAAAATAACACGCCAGAAATTTACCAGGTATACTTGTGGGATACTTTAAACACCCCGTTAATGTTGCTTTATCTATATATAAGTTACACATTTATGATATCAGTCGTTTATTTTGTGTGATTTTTAACAAGCGCGGGCATTATCTGCGAAGGTATAGGAAGATCGGGGCCTTAGGAGTCAAAGACTTTGTGCTTAATTCCGTCTGAGATTGGAAGGTGTGTGCTGTTAGCTAGGTCCACCGATAAGTTAGTAACTACCTCTCTTCAACTGTGTTGAAAATAAAAATTATGTTTGACTTACGGCGGTTTGTGCAAACGGCTTTTACCATTATTTCTTAGATGAAATGTGATTCAAAGCTCAGTACACAAATCTGTACTTGGTTCTGAAGTTACAACCAGCTTCTTTTGTTCTAGGACAAAAAGCTTTCTCAGTGCTCTCTGCACTTGTGACAGTTTAATTTAACCCATGACAAAATTGTTGTAAAATTAATCAGACATTTAATGATCATTTCATTAGACACGTATTTGATTTTTCTAGTGTATGGGAGATTCTGATCCTGGTTGAAAAGTTTTAGTGTTAGACTTATTGTTAGTGTTTACGTAAATGATTTGGGAACTTTTTTGGGTGGACTTTGATAAGTATTCTCTTATTTGTTTTTATAAAATGAAGGACAAGAAATAAAGAGATGTTCATCAGTATAGCTTCCTTCATAAACTATACATGAAAACAATCGGTTCTAGTTTCATTTTACTTCTTGTGACAGCAGAAAAATCGCGTTACAGAACAAATATGTTTCATTCTACAAAATGCTTTTCATTCCTTCATCTAAGTAGAGTGGTGTAGTACATTCGATTTAAGGTATATAACCCTAGCATGTTGTAAGTACTACTGTGCCTATTCTTGTGAGACATTAAACCGCAGTTTTAATGAAATAATTATTCACCAGAGAAAGTCACCTTACTGGTTTCAACATAGACCTTGTTCACTATAGTAAAAAGCCCTGACAATTATCAAATGAACTCACTTAGTACGGCTTTTACATTGAGCATAAATATGCATCTGTAATGTGACGTTCATTTCAGCTTTATTACTGGGTAAAGTAATGCTATATTCTTAATATATCCGGTTTTCTACTTAAATACCGTCATTAAACGCCGTTTGTTTACTTAGCAAATCAAACAAAACGTGTGCGTTTATTGTTGTTGTCATCAAAATAATACTTGTCTTTCTGATTACAATAAGGTTTTCAACGTTCCGAAAATTCGTTTGAATGAATGGAGAAGAGCTGAACGGATAAATTTACGAGGGAGTGAAAACTCAAAGAATCTTTTAAAGGTTAGACGTTCTCAACATGGATCTTATAAATTGTTAAATGGTATTATTTAAAGAAGAGCAAGGATTCATTCTACCATGTTAATTTTTTGTCAACTGTTCTGTAAAACTCATCAGATTAAACACCAATTTACTGCAGCATTTAAAATGCTCATGATCACTCAATGCATCGAACTCTTATAGTTTAACGAATCTTCACAATAATGTTCTGCCTATTTACTTTTTGCTGCCAGGATAAGTGATACGTGATTCGAACCCTAAACCGAATGGTTATTAATCAAATGCTTTAGCCACTAAATGACATCTTCAGTTAATCAAACTTGATCATAATAGTATCGATTCAAACTGCCTAGTTTTATTCTAACTATCAAGAGGAGTATCGTTTTGACCTTGCTCCCTAACCATCAAAATAAGCTTTATAATCCTGATAGAACTACCTACTTAAATAGGTTTAATTCATAACTGTGATATAGTTTATCTTAAAATCTTTGTAAGCAGTATTTAAACATAGTGCTCTTTTTCTATGTAGGACGTTTTAGTAATAACACTGTCAATGAGATCCCTTTTCAATAAAAATGAGGTTTTTGACAACTTTGTAAAATTATCTTGCTAATTCTAAAAATATCATTTACTCACATTATCTGTAATATTTCCCGTTACATTAGAAAGAATAGATTTTAAAAGCTTGATGACGGATAGAAATTTGTGAAAATACATGATTTTCCCAACAACTTTATTCACTATAATTTTATAAGTTAAAATTATCTGTTAATATATAGTATTGATTTATACCCCTAAACTGACAAATGACTATTTTTGTGTATATATTACAGGTATCACAATTAACTACAGGTGGTGACCAATCATGTACGAAATCATCTCATTCCTCATCAGTAGAGGGTGAGAAATGTATTTTAGGAGAACAAAATTCCGAAAGGAAACGAATATCTCTGCAAATTAACAGGGTTTGCATTAATGAACAGAGTTCTACAGGTTTTAGTAAAGTACCTACTGGTTCAGATGTTTCTAAAGAGTGAGTATTGTTCGACATCACCTTTCCCGATTTCAGTATATCTTAACTTTTAGAAATTTACTGTTATATCTGCATCTAACCTCTGTTAGGAATTTAAGGTCCTTGTGTGAAATTAATTTATCCAAATTTTTGTTTACATCTTTGTGAGATTCTTCAGCAATTGTAAAAATCTTATTTTCAATGTGCAAAAAAAGCTATTCAAATATCAACTTATGTATAGGTAGTTTAATGACGTTGTATTTTTAACAAGTTCATTTGATCACCTGTACGGTCACCACTTTCCTGTCACATTTAATAATTTGAGAAAACCTAATAAGCTTGGAAGTGAATACCAAAGTACATGAATGTCATAATTTTTCTGTAGGTATATAAACATGACCCAACATATCGTGTCTCGGTTCATGTTTCTACACTTATTTGATAAAGAAACAAAAAGTGATTGAAAAGGACACTAGATAATTGAAGAGGACTGTATTTCATTCGTTTGATGATTTTGAATTAAGGTCGTTTTAGTAGAACTTCCTTGGTCACCTTTCGATCGTTATGGTAAACGAACCAGAAATACTGAGCACTCAGTGGTAACTCGAAGTTATTGTGGTCATCATGGGGTTCAGTGGTCCAAGGCTAAATTTCATCTAGGGCTATTCGTACTTGTTGATAAACAGGCTCAAAATACAGTATAGTGTAATATTTATTAGAAGACAAGTTCGAATTCATTTGTTCAGCTTCATTTTGTTGGTGCCTGCTTATCTGCATTGCATTGTACTCTTTTTGTTTTTATCGGCGTGACTTTATCATTCACACGTTTTGGAGCTGGAGAAAAATGAATTTGTAATTCCCTCGTTCTTTTATTCAAGGAGCTTTTATCATGCATGTCGATTGAATACTTGATGGAAACACTCAAAGTAAATACACAACTCAAACTACTTTCATGTGTTATCAGTAGTATGATGTATGTACATAAAGATAATTTACTGCCGCTTCTTAAAAACTATCATATTCAAAATATTCCTACATTTGAGATGGTGGAGATTTGTAGCTAAGGTGTATGGTTTAAAGAAAGTTTTTTCTCCGAGCTGTATGGTTTATTCGTGGTTTTGTTTTCTTTCTGAACAACATCATCAGTACAAACTTCAGATAGAAGTAAAGAGTTCAGATTTCCCCACATTTGATTTACAACTTGTCCTGTAGACCTCAATCTTTACTGGTTATTGTTGACCTGTCATTTTCTACAGATCAACAATAACTAGTAAAGATTGAGGTCTACAGGACAAGTTGTAAATCAAATGTGGGGAAATCTGAACTCTTTACTTCTATCTGAAGTTTGCACTGATGATGTTGCTCAGAATGACAATCAAACATTCATGACTAAATCATTCAGCTCAGAGAACAAAACTAATTAAATTGCTGCTTTTTAATGACAAAATACTGTTTATACCTATGATACCAAAAGCCTGAAGTATGAATACTGAATTTTAATTCTTCAGTCCTTTGTTATATCAATTTTTGTAATTGTTAGACGTTTTACTTTTAAAATAAATGTATTTTCTGCTACTCTCATACATAAATCCAGTGAATCATAACTTTACTGAAAAGTTTTATGTATCAAGTAAAAGTTACGTAAAAGTCAAAGGTTAGTGAAAAGTAGTAAACTGGGAACTAACATGTAGAAGAAATGTGTGGATGGTAACCATTCATTTCAAAAAGCTAACCAATAATCACGTTAATGACTATTCATGAAATTAGGATGTGAGTTGTGATCGTGGTAAAATATGTGATTGAAAAAGTTACAATTGATGACATAAGTTAAATTTGAATTTCTGAAGTGTTTATTTTGCACAAATATCTGATTCAAAGTTCCTTAAAGTCAGTGCATTTGAATTTGTGGATAATTTTGAGTAGTGACTTGCTGGGATAGTTGACTAAACTTGGACTGTTCATGCTCGAAGCTGTTGGTTGATTTTTATTTAACATTAGAGATCTATAGTGGGTAGTACTCTGAAGTGCGTTTGAAAAGAGAAATTATTGTTTTACCATTACAGTGTATGCCCCATAATAGCAAGTAAATCTACAAATAAATATTGTGGTGACTGAAAACAACAGATTATTGTCTATATATTGTCGGATCACGAAAATTCACAGCCCAAATTAACGGAAGATATTGTTTAGAGACCTTTATAATCGTATTTTAAAATTTCTGGTAGAATAGTGGTAATGGACAAATACATTTAGTATTATAGGGGTTTTCACGTTTATGAATTTAGAAGGACAGTATTTTTCCAAAAGTATTTGCCTGATTTTATTCCGTTTGATGTAAATTGTGTCTTCCGTTGATATTCTTCTATCCCTCTGACAGAAACCATATATTAGGTTTCTTTTTCTCCTTAATGAAATTTAACTTTTGAAGTTTCTAGTTGGCTTTCCAAATATCCCACTTGTGATCTAAGTGGTCTGATCTTTTCAGTAAAATATCGCAGAAACAAAATTCTTAGTTCAAATTCAATTCTAATGTAAAGGTAATCGACTGAAATCATTTACAGTACTGCTGTAGGACTGTGGTGTATGGTACTTGCGCTCAAAGATATAAGTAATATGTAGCAGAGATCGGAAATGGAATGTCTGCCAGCAGAAGATTGAAATGAAAAGAACAGAAAGCAAATCGGAGAGCAGTGGAAATAACAAATGAACTAGAGGAATAATGGAGTATGTAAAGGATAACACAAAGATGTACAAATGATGTATTTAATGTTTGTTTTCCATATTCTACTCAGCAACTGTGTGATTTTGCGTCAAACGATAAAGTGGTTTATCGTACCTGAATTCTCGTTTACTACAGTACGACACTAAAATTGCTATTTTTGTCACAGATAATGAAAATGCAATGAATATATTTTTCTAAAATTAGACGTTCTCGGTTATTGGTCGAAGAAATATTTATGTGATATAATTTAGATTTTATCATAATGTTTCCCGTTATTTACTTCATTTATTTTTTCTTAATCATATGACTACAGTCCAAGAAGTTTTAGCGCCGGTGCCATTTCCAATCGTCTAACTAATACTGCCAAAAATTCTACAAGTTTATTGTATTATCCAGAACAAAATATCAATTCAAATCAACTAAAAGTTATGAATAATATGAAATCAGAAATAGAACAGTCCTATCAACAGCAATATAAAATAGAAAAACAATATCAGTCCATTCGTTTAGGCGGTTTATATTTATTTAATAGTCTACCTCAACCTGCACCAAGCTTTTTTACGCAATCATGTATTAAAGAAATCGAAACTAAAGAGATCGATGAAAAATTAGAGAATAAGGACATTGTAATCTGCTCAAAAAGTCCTTATTTACAACGTATTAGTATAGATCATCATTCGTTAAAAGAATTAACTGATGCAGATTTAAAATTTAAAGTGATTATGGTAAGTCATGCAGTGGTTTAAACTTCTATAACTTATACCAACTAACTTCTATTATATATATGTATTTAGAAATAGATCGTTTGACGTATACGATTAGCCCATGATAAGTTAAAATTTGAATATATACCACATACAAATGTCAGTTTAATTTCAATATCTTATTTAGCAGTCAAACTGGTATCAGCAGCCTCTTAGCTATCATCATGATTTCCTGCCACTTAAACTAGTGACAACTTACTGGTTTAACTTTACATTTGAAACATCAAATTACACAGCGCTTCATAATCGTCGATAACTGTCTTCCATAGTGACAATTTCGCCTAATGAGTCGTTGTTCTTTTAATCTTTTTTTGTTCATGGTGCATGAATCTTTCAAACTGTCACCATAGTATAGTCAATAGATCGATGACAGTAGTAGGTTGTTTTTGATACATAAACATGCTGTTGGTTTTTATGCCTTTTTCTTGATGTTATTTATGAAATAATTTCTCCGTCCTAATATTTATCCTGTAGGACTTTTCATTGACTATCTTTTTGAGTGAAATGGTCAGAGATAATACTTGCATACTCTTTACTTTGATTCTGTGCCAGACAAGTATTATCATTAAGATATTTTTGCAGTCTGAAAAGAGTTTATGATCCCTTGTAAATTAAAATCTCCATCGATCAGTGAAATATCCAAAGACGTTAACAATGAGCTGTTCGACCTGTGATTCATCACCTGTAGCGTTGAACAGATAATGGCAATCAACTATTCATAGACTGTGTGAGCATTTAGCAATCAATTTAAGAAATACAATGAAATGTGGGGGTAGATTTTAATAGTTTGTATATAAACTAGATGAATTAGTTCTTGTAAAGCATTTTTCTTAGGTGTACTCAATGAATCATCATTTCATTTCCGTAACCTTCTTCTCTAAGAAATTTATCATATAATACGTTGTCTTTATATACTTACCGTTGTATGTTTGTTTAACTGGAAAATAAATCTTGATTTATTTTCGTAATATTCACATGAACGTACAGACTTGATGACTAAATGACCACAAAACTTATTTAATTCACATCAACAACAGTCCCAACAACAAAAACGTAATTATGTGTGTAAAATATCAAATCACAACACATTAAAACTAGTGAAGTTTGTTACTTATATAATTAGGACACTAATATGTGAAGTCAACTGATGCATTTATTACTTAACTGATTGTATTTCATGAACAGTATCCATAGTTAATAAGTTAACACGTAGCGTACAGTTAGTGCTGTATAAAAATACCATAATCTAATTGTTTTTTCTAATAAAAATAAAAGAATATAAACATTTTCCGCTAGAAATAGCTTTCGTGTTTTTAAATTTAATTTCCTCCTTTTCTCACAGCATAAGGTCGTTTTTTCCTAGTTTACGACATCTTCCCAGCGCTCATCCACAGCCTCGCAAACGGGAATCGAACCTAGGACCTTCGATTTCATGTGAGAGCACTTAACCTCTAGATGTAAGTCTAGCTTCAACCAATCCACAATATTGTCCTACCATTTTCCACAATCTCTTACTGTCAATGTAAATGCACAGCTTTTATGCACTAAAGAAGAGCCAGATATAAATTTCAATCAGTATACCTATCTGTAGAACATTTAGGAGTGCGTTAAAGTTGTTGATGTAAAATGCACCATAGTTCAGTATCTAAATTGCCAAATTAACTATACACAGTAATAAAGAACAGTGAATACTCCCATCATATTTAACTCTGTAAAATACCCTTAAACTACATATCTATTTCTAAGCATTCTAGATAGAAGATTACTCTATTTTTAAAAATATTGAATGTTAATAAAAAGAATTATTTCTGAAAATTTCTACTAGTGTACAAGAAATACTAAACAACTTTCATTGGTTACAGTAATTAAGTTCACGCTTCAAATAAATTATGGTCATTGTTACTGACGTTAAGTATCAAAATTTCACCGTACTTAACAACAGGGTTGTTCTCACTATGATTCTCGATATTTTTAATAATTATTTGTCAACGAATGTATTAACATATTGGACAGTACAAAATTTTGTTAAATGAACTAACTCACACGATATACGGTCAAATAATTGTCTCAGATTTTAATCCGAAATATAAGCGGCAAACAAATGGTACCTACTTGGCTATTACTTACTCCATCCAATACAAGTATTTCTATTCAAATAATCATAATAATGTAACTTTATAATCACATAAAGTTCATGTATTTAACTTTGAACCACACCGGAAATGTGTTGACTAGTAATGCTTTCTTGGTTGTCTAGTTTCTGACCAGGCACCATGTGTTTCGAACTTGGAACATAATCGTTCACAACCGAGTTCTTTTACCAATAACTCATTGTTTCACCAAAAAACATCATTATATTACTACACTATACTTTCGAATAATGATTAGTTGGTAAAAAAAATTTGATTTTCACAAACTTACTGAGGTCATATCGTTAAATACTATTTTTTCTTAAACCTATTTTTAGGCATCTACTACATATCATTTAGATAATGATACTCCTTTATCAAATGAATATACCATCTTGGGAACAAATGAGAATTTATTAGAAAAAACCGACTCATATAAATCTAATGAAAATGATGAAAATAATAAAATGGTTTGTACACCACCTCCTATCGATTTAGCCGGATATGAACAATCTGATGATTTATCCGCCAGTTTTGAAGAGTCACTTTTAGCTAGCCTTAAACAAGCAGTACTTGGTGAAGCTGTAGAACCTGATTTACAGTTTTCATCATCATCAAAACAACAAATGACCAGTAATAATCATAATAACAAGTTAAGAAAAACAATTAAAACACCAATGACAAATGTGAAATATCCACATTCTGAAATATCAGAACCAATACCAGTACCATCACAAAGTATTAATTCTTTATCACACGTTTTTTGTATAACAAATGCTATTATTCAGTATAGGGTTGTGAAGGCTGTTGAGTTTCATTAAGATAATGAACCGATCAGTGTTAGACCGCCATTGAACACCTGGAAGCACTGGACACCAGTTTCCTCCTAGTATAGGACTCTTCAGCAGTGAGCACCTACCATCCTGTACCCTGGACTCAGACCCAGGACTTTCGGTCTCGTGTGAACACTGAACCCCTAAACCACTGAGTCGGGATCTAACGGCGTTAATGCCTAAGTTCATCCAATTCACGACATTGCACGACCGTTCAGTGCTTCCAGGTTCTCAATGGTCGGTTCATGATCTCAATATGTTATTGGTGTTATGTGTACTTTATAAATGATTTCTTTTTTTCATCAATCTGATAAGTAATTTGATATAAATACTTAGATTGGTGTGCTATTAGAAATTAATAGATAGATAATAGACACCACATGAAGGATACTTAAAATGAAGATTTTGAAGTTTATTATTTTTAAAGAAATTTCGCGTCAAGTACTGAAGTTAGACAGCGAAGCATTAATAGCTAAGGAGTCCTCTACAATCATTTCTTCCTAATGTATGACTCCTCAGCAGCGCACATGCACGAATTAATCTGTAAGTTATTATTACACTTCTGTTGAAATCGTTTCCCGATCAGTATGAAGCAATGAATTAGTCATTGAGGCAATCAACTTTCAACTGCTTGGTTGTAGATTTAAACTCTGCTTCACTAAATTGGAACAGTTTGGCATTATCAGGCGTTATCGGGTACTAGGTAAGGATGGCAAATCAGTTGATGAAGTAGTGAGACTTCATCAGTTGAGATGGCTGGGATACGTGCCCAACTACCGACTACCCCGATGTGCGATGTTTTATGGTGTAGGAGTAGGTTGGAAGAAAGCTAGAGGCAGTCAGACCAAAACATGGTACAAATCCATAAAGTCATTGACAAGTGGACTGAGCTATGTTGGTAGGTGTAGACTACCTGGTTGGGATCCGCAAGACGAAAGCAACCGATGGTTAGAGACCTTGAATGATATGGCTCAAAATCGTTTGCAATGGTGCAGGTGCATCCATTCTTTGTGTTCTCTCAAATTCTAATCTGAATTCTTCATGTCCTTTTTTCCTCTTCCCAAATTTATTTCACTGGATTATACTCCTTGAATAATATCTTCAAGCCCTAATGTTTCCGATTACTGCTTATACTCTTACCACCTCTGCCGCTACGGAATGTGAATCGACAACTGTATCTCTGTGCTAATGTGGTATATCAACTCGAACTGATGTACGTGCGTACAAAGTTCTACGTTGTTGACTGACTGATTATCAGTTTTTAAACCTGAAGTTTCGATTAAATCTAAGTGAATAAATCTGTATTTGTTTACTAGGTACCATCAACCAATTGACTGAATGATCAGTTGTGAAATATTGTAAAATATTAACCAGGATTTCTGTGTTTTCAGAAGTTTACTCAATTAATCTCAATAATATGGTGAGAAGACGGAGAAATGTAATATAATTGGACAATGGATATCAAACAATCTAGTTACACTCACAATTCGAAAACCAGTAAAGGTTATTCCAACAAAAAGATAAATACGGAACGGTAATTGGAAATATGAAAGATACAAAATAAAAAATCAGTTGTAAATATCCTAGTCTTACAGTAGGTCAGTTGCGGTCAGAATAGCTGACTGGTAACGTTTTAGATTGGGAAGCTGGATGAAACGGGGTTGGACCAGCTGGGGACCACAAGTTTCCTCATGACTACAGCTACGCCTTATTGACAAGTGGCGGATAGCACGATATCCAGGTGCAAGGTTTCCCACCAACTGCCTTTAACCACCCAACATCTCAACATAGTGTATGTGATGGCAAGTCATTTAGACTAGCAACCACATCACAAATCGGTCGATCGAATTTGAACAGCACTAAAGGACTAGACAAACATGACATTGGTCACTGCTAAAAAATAAATCACTTGTAAAATAGTAAGAAAAGGTCGTCACACCATCCGAAACATTAAAATGAATAAAAGATTTGAAAGTACGAACACTTGTCGGAGGCGTAAATATTCTAATATTAAGGATTCTACAAACTTAAGAATGAGATGTTGACAACTCCGACACAATACTTTAAAAGCTGCTGTAGGATCAATCAGATATCTGTTTTTCTATCGTGAAGCATGGTCTCCCACTTCCTGCTGTCTACTATTCAGTACTTCTTACGGTTTAGTGGTCATTCGACAAAAGTTATATTTATGTTATATGTAGGTCTGTAAAGCTAGCAATTAAATCAAATAAATTATCAGTGATTTGGTTTTATTTACTTTTTAGGTCCATCATTAAATCATCTTAAAAAGAACATGTTAAATACAATTGAAAATGAAAAATGTGATATTGTGATTGCACTTCAAAAACAAATATTAAATGTCAGCTTCAGTGACAATGATGATTACAATGCGGGCGATGATACCACTACAACCGATGGTTTAGGATCATTAATTTATTTACGTTATCACTTGGCACGTCATCATCAGCATTACGAACATGAAGATCAACACCTAGTTCATGAAAGCTGTGATGGTCATTTACCAGTGGGTATGAATCACCAGTTATTGACAAAATCAAAGAAAAGCACTTGTCAACAAGATGGTTACACGTGTAGAAATGAAAATGATCCTGCCATACTTACTCCTTCTCGTGCGTCATCGTTGGTTCATCAACGTACACACAGTACAGATGATGTATCACAATTAATTACAGGTTTTGAATTGTCCAGTCATTGGGGTACTGAAACAGCAAAGTGAGTTATTTTATATAACTATCTTACTAAAAGTCTGTTAATTATTGAATGCTACATGATGAGAACTATAGGTAGATAAAGTCGGTAGCGACAGTTGGTATCAATTAGTTTTATTGGTTGTGTAGCTCATACTAACCTAGTATCAAGACTGTGTGTATTATGTAGTAGTTAATAGTATTTGATGAACTGAATCAAGGTATGCGAAATAACATTAAAATCAGTTATAACTTGGTTTAAAACTTGAGTAAGTCATTCAGTCATAACCAATGTAGTACTTGGTTTGAATGTGCATCAGTTCAAGTTGCAATACCACATTACTACGAAAAGATGAAAGCAAATAAGATGAAAGGCAAAGGAGTTGAAATAGTTATAGTAGACATGATAATGAGGAGAAAATACATTTAAAGTATGGTTTGAGAAGACGAAATGAAAAGGTATATATATAAAACTCCTGGAACACAAAATCTAATAAGAAATAAAGAATGAGTTTTTCCACGTTATTGTGATCGATTCTGAGCGGTATCGCTCATTTCCAAACCACTGATCGTAACTATCACGCGTAACCCAACTAGGCACTTTTTGTACTTACTAGCACGTTTTAGTTCATCAGTTAATGAATCCATGGACTGATACTAAGTCTTGGTTAAGCCATTAAGCTTTCCATAAACGCTCTGCATCAAAACTATAACTAATATATTTTTTAAACAATTATAATAATGAATCGAAAGGAACCAAAGGTTATTGACTTATTTAGTTAGTCTAATTCTTAAATGATAAACTTCACTCAAAAATATCTGTGAAATGATTGTAAGTATATTCAGGTTCATAACAGGAGTTTTTATTAATGCATTATAAGTTACTTTACACAAGGAGATGACTAAATTGTTTGGCATCAACAGTCTCAATGAAAAGTATACTTTATTAATTTGATATTGATTTAACTGACTAAAGAAGGACTATATAACTGAGGGAAAGAGAGTCATACTACATCATATAATGACCGGAAATAGAAAAATGGATCATTGAATCTTGAATAAGTTCTCTAACCGTGTCATGCTCACTAAAAGACCTTAAAGTCCTGTGTTCAAAACTTGGCGAGGTCATGGGTTCACAGTACAGAGAAAACCTGAAGTAAGACGAAATAATCTATCAGCTCTTGAATTGTATGATACAGAAAATCCATTCGTTAAACATACAAAAATAAATAATCACTTATTAATGTTGAGTGAAATTCTCACTTTCTGGTGTTTTTTTTTCAACTTTTCACTGAACACCTCTCATGGTATATGTTTTTCTAGCTCATCTAATGAAAGTATATCATATTCAGTATGTGAAAGTATTACATCACCTTTGCCTCAATCATATCAACTAGTACAACATACATCTTCTGTTAATCATATCAAGTTACAAAATACTGTGTCAGTTAATAAAGAACTGGTCAATAGTAATAATAATAATAGTTCTGACAAACTATTTGATATAAATTCAAATCATGGACTTATCGAATTAATTTATGATCCAATATTGAAATGTTACTATGATCCTAAATCTGGACGTTTTTATGAATTAATCTGATGAGCTCTAGAATAGAGATAATATGAAGAGAGAAATAGAGAATGCTATTGCATATAGATAATATTTATCATGATAATTATACTACTGATGTAATATTTTTGTTTTGTTCACCATGTAGCTTTGTGGATATATTTTTTAGTTGCACATTGTTACTTCTAGTACACGAGTATTTTTGTTAAATAAATAAGAAATACTACTTCTAATACAATTACTACTGTTAAAGTCATTATCAGTGATATTTTCTTTATAGTTTCCAGAACATTCCTTTTATACTTATTCCTTCTAAGCATAAACCTTTTTTAACTGTGATTATGAATCAAAAGATGTTGAGGATTTAGTCTTCAGTAAAAATTTAATGTCTGTCTTAATTTATGTAACATAGAAATTATTTGTAAATATGTCCGATTTCATTAATTATTGTAAATATATTGAAATACTGATATTCTCAAAGATCAGCATTGTACTTATAAAATCTGTAAAGAAGAAATATAATTGTTGTGAACGGGGAAATAAGAAGCCCAGACAACTACGAAAACTATTTTCTTGGGACGTTATTTCATTTCATTCGAACCTTGTAAAACACTTATATTTATTTTTGTCCCTATTTTATTCTACATAACATGAGCTTTCGTTCTATGTAACATTCACTGCCATACCCTTTTTTGTTCCGAAAATATTGTAATTTAAACATAATATTTTGTATCTTATTTTCTACCCTAATTCCCAGTTTCGGGCATAATTGTATTTTTCCAAATTATCGTACGTTGTGGTCAGGATATTCACTTATTTATTCATGTACATTTTTGCACTAATCCGAATTCAGAGAATTCAGTGTTCCAACTGTCTTGTGTTCTCTCACTTGCGTGCTTGCCAACCAATCAGGTTATCGAGTAGTTCTCTCTCTACCCCATCTCGAACTCACGCGTACTAGACTCAAGGTTAAGCCGCTCAGCCTATCGCGTCAAGGTCATAATCTAGACTAGACAGACCAAGGTCAAGTCATAACCAAGTATCGACGGGGTAAAAGCGATTCAAGGTCATAACAATAATGTACGATTTGTAACTGATTAAAAGATTGTCTATCTACGCGACAGACGAGACGATTATTGTAAACCTATAATTATTGGGAAGCTATTTCATCTTATTCACTCTCCATGGCGTATACAGATGTAGGAGCGAGTGGAGAAAGCTTGGGGTTATATTATAGTCAAAGTAGTCCGAGAAATGCTGCTTATTTCGGTGAATTACTCAAATGTTACTACTGGCTAGTTTTTTTGTGTTGTATGAGCTTCATTCTGAGCCTTGTGTAATTGCTTGATATCTAGTAATTTAAATGTAGTCATAATATTGTGTACACTGATCATAATAATAATTCCAATTCCCTTCAATACCTTGAAGTTGGTCAGCTGATTAATTGTTCTGTCTACTAAAAACTATTGGATTTGGTGTTTGATGTCACGAGGTAGTTACTGGTCTGGTCACTTCTATACGTTGTTCCGAATTGAAAGGAAACTATTTTCGCGTGAACGGTCGAAAAAACTATACATGTATTAGGATAGGAGAAAAGTATTTAAGGTTATATAAAGCCTTATTAAATATTATCGAGGATGAAGATGTTTAAAATGTGTATTACGGTGTTCTAACTGTCTCAAGGATATTTAGTTGTTGACACACATATCAAAAACTTATTCTAAATTTCACGAATAACATACTTTATTCAATCAGATAATACTGTTGTGTAATATCTTACAGCTTTAATTTGTCTTGTCATAGCCAGTATATAGAGTGAAGAATCTCCACACGATATTCTGAACATAAACCAATCCCTGAAGACTTGCCACATCTTTACAAATAGAATCACCGAACACCTAATGAATAGTAGATATGAACGCCACTTTTATTTTGCTTTGCAAAAGGCATTAAAATCAAACGTTTTCAATTAGATAAATAATGAACATTGTTGACCATTTTTGCTTATCCAATAATATTCAGTCATTAAGTTTATTTTAATTCCATCATCTTACAGAGTGGTCACTTTTGTAAATGTGGTTTTTCTTTGCCTACTTTATATCTCTAGTTTACCATACATAGTATGAATAAACAAAAATAATACTGTGCCTACTATCAGATTTTTTGGCTTCTCACTCATTTTTTAATTGCTTCTAGCCTCTTTTTCGAAGGATGGGAAAAATGTCATCAGTCGCTACCTAGTGATTAACCAGTTGCCTCTTTTTTTTTGAATATCCATCTTAACTTTAAAAACTAAATTATGTCAGAGGTTTGTTTTCAACCATATAATTATTTATTTTAGATATTACGAAGTTGTATAATTTGGTCAATAATTAAAATGCATGCGATGGCTAGTCATTCAGATTGATTGTCACATTCTGACTTGGTCGATTTAATGCAATCCTGACTAAAGGACTACAAATAAATGACACCGGCCACTATCCACTGATCAATCAGTTGTATCTAGTTATATTGTTTAAAACATTTGGGCATTACACAGATGAACTTAGTTGTAATGTTAAACCACAATCATGGCAAAAGCGTTTAATACATCTTGATTGAAGATAGTATTGTTATGAGTTAATACATAATCTAAGTTTCATTTGCTGATCACAAATTTATTTTGTTTTAAACACATAGATATCGGTACAAGGAGGCACCAAATACATATGCGCCAGACAAATCTCATTTGATATGTATGAGGGCTGTGATACTGCTCAGGTGCCCAAACCGAAGTAGGTGGTTTTCTTGGCGGGCCACACACTGAGCCTTCGACCTGAAGGTCTGATCCACAGGGCAGTGGAGCAACGTAAGGAGATGCAGTCCCATGGTAGCCGGTGACCAACGATTGGTTCATACACCACTGGTTTAGAATCAGGGTTTTCCAACTCCCCCAGGTGGACTCTCCATGTCCACCAACCCGGTTAAAGCGCCGTACATTCGCTTTTCGTAAACAATACCCCCGCCACGAGAAGGCAGTGAGTAAAACTTCCCTGGAAGAGGCTATATACGTGTGGCCATGTGAGAGCATTTCGCGAGGGAGAGCGGACTCTTCCCACTCACAAACTTTCTACATGACTTATATCTAAGGTCCGCAATTCGTCTATTAGTATTAAAATCCGCATAGATGCGACAAATAAACTACTTCATATGATTTCAGTTCATTTTACTTTTAGAACCCTTTCTGTAAGGTTGGAGATAGTTCTTTGCAAATACAATATACATCTAACTACACAGTACTGTACTACCATTTTTTTAACCTTTTAAATTTACGTGAAGCATATACTGTCCATCAAATCATGTTTGATATGTATTAGTTAATTAGTAGAAAAAAGAAAAAAAGGAAACACTAGTATTATTGTTTATAGATTGATTTGATTACATTTTACTAATTCATAGCTTACAGTGAATAGATACAAACGATTTACAAAAATTAGCGCAACCATTTTCAATGCAAAATAAAACAACACTTTGTATTCCTTAATAAGTTTGCAAATACATATTCTTTAAAAAAAAAAGAAAGACGGAAGAAAAATATCAACGAATTAAAAAAATAATCCCATTTAGAAACCATAGAACGTATTACAAAATGTTTTTGTGAATTTGTATAAAAAGTGAGGTAAAACAAAAGAGGAGAAAGAAAGAGATGAAAGAAATGGAAGTCAAGGCAATAAAACAGTGATAAAATTGTTACGGATTAGTAAACATAACTGTAGTTGTGTTTTCTATGCATTATTATTATTGTTATGTTTAGTTAATATTATTACATCCATTGGTTCATCCATTGTTCAATTGTAAATAGTTAATACTGAGAGAATCAATCCAATAAAATTGACTTGTTAATTATCATGAATTCATTTCTTATCTGATAGTGTGAAATTTTAGAAAAAACAATAATACTAAGGTGTATTTGTACAGTATACTTGGATTTTCAGTCTCTGTAAATATATATGGGAAGCTGATTTACGGTGAATAAATCGGAGGAACATAGTAATACTAAAGAATGAACATACATGTGCACACAAACAGGCAGAATCGTAGACTATGACTATTGGCAACAACAGTATAAGTAAGTTTATCCGAAAAAATGTAAACTGAATCAATCAAAAATCTGTTGTATAAATGGATGTATGGTGTGTAACAAGTACTCTCCAGTAATTTGAACATTCGTGTGAAAGTTTATAGTAGTATTTTTGAAAATATGATTTGTAAAAACCGGAAAATTATCAACAATACTAAATAACAATAACTATAATGAACTATAGAGGTATTAAGTGTGTTTATTTGTGTGCACATATGGCATTCAGTATTTTACTATTCTAGTTATATAAAATGATTTCATACATCCGTATATGTGTATCTCGATCATAATTATATGTGGTTAGAAAATGATTACAGATTCACTGTAAAGAGTGAGCAAAAGCATCCCTCTTCTACCGAACTGACATAATACAAAGTAATTTATCAGGGATTGAATTAGTCGAAATGAATCACTACTACTAATTATCAAAGATATACACATATGAATCAAATAGATTTGAGGATAGATTCGAAAAAAAACAACAGAAAGATCATAGGTGAATAAGACATAATAAGTTATATGAAACATTTAAGTTGTCTTTTTAGTTAATAAAAGAACACCCACCTTTCACACAAACACACTCAAGCATCATTGTAAAGTGAGTAAGCAAGTAATGCCTAAATCAACATAGTATTTCGGAAATAGTCTGTTAATCTTTTCAACAAAGTTATAAAAATGTAAAGGTGACGAATATATAAACACAAACTTTTGTAATTGACAATAAACATGGAGAAAACAAAACAACAGCAATCATTTGTTTATCTTTTATGTCATTGTTTTCTTCCTCTTCTCTTTTTTTACTGTACGTGTGATCTATATTGATCTTGATGAATGTGTTTCAGTTGAGCGTGTAATTTATCCAATTCCCTTTGTTTAGCAGCAATACTGGATTTAGTTTCAATTACCTAGAAAAATTGACAGAAAATTAAATTCCGAAAGAAAAATTATTCATCACAGTTAACTGTTAATTTCGTTGTATTAGGTGCATGAAAATGAGAGCGATTTTATTATCATTTGGTTGCCATTGTTATTGTCGTATTTATTCGTTTGTTTGAAATTACAGACCAATTGAATTTCATGACATTCATTTATCATCATTTCACAGGTCTTTATATATGGCTTTGAGTCGAATGTGTGCGTAAGAGAAAGAGAAGTGTTATTGATCTTGTCCGCTTAGACAAATTGAAATAAATGAAGTGGGAGTGAGTCTTGAGATGATGACTGAAATTCATATGCTCTTAGTAGTGAATAAGAAGCATTATTATTCTTTTCATCGAATTATAGGAACAAATCTATCATTGTAGAATTGTCAATAAGGGATTAACGAATATAATAACGATTGTTTTCATACAAACATTAACAGTTACTTGCACACTTGTATTAAAACTAATGTGTAAGCAACATGGATGATATTATCCAGATGCATCAATTGTAGATAGGTAACAATGAATGTGGAACTTTACTGAAGAGTATGACAAATGATCCTCTCTACAACCAGTAATAATTGAATCGTAAACGTTCTTTGATTATAAGTCAACGAACACAGATCAGCTAAGCATTGTCTACCTCATATCAATGTATAATGTAGATTAAAATATTTAGCCTGCGTTGAGCGCATGGGAGCACACGTGAAAAACTATTTTTAAAAGCAAGACCGAGTTAAATCTACAAACGATACTATGATCGCTCTCAGATCAACTAGACACACAGAAAGTCTCATTTAATCCAATGACAGGATAAATGTATTATTTAAAGCTTGTGGTATATCTTTCGTTTTTCTTGCTAATACAAAGACGTCCTTTTTTGATAAAAATAATAGGAGGCTGATAACATAAACATCCATTGGTTATACCAAAACTGGAAATCGTTAAGTGCTAACCTATCAACTAAGTAATCATAATATGTTTTCATAAAATATAATAATGATACAGTGAATTGTAATATAAGACACATTTCAAAGTGTAAAAAATCAGAATAATCTCATAACATTATAACCAGATATATTTGTAGTTCGTTCTAAAAGCCGTGATCATTATTATAACGACAAAATCGACACATACTTGTCTCATAGATGAAACAACTCGACCATTTAAATTGTCTAATGATGTCTCAGATTGTTCTTTGTCTACGTTCACTGGTGTTGTTGTTGTAGTCATTGCCGGTTTGCTTTTGGATACGATCATTTGTACAATTCGTACCAAACGATCAGCTGCATGTTTGACAGATCCACCAGCATTACGTAAGCCCAAACAACTTTGTGAATTCGGATCAGCTTTAGCTATACAAGCAATGACCAATTGAGCAGTATAACCAGCTGTTGTTTGTGCAGCCGATATTAAACTTTCTGGCTTTAAAGTTATATCACCTGCGTTGATTAATTGTGAAGAACCACTAACGTGCATTGTGACAAATGCTTGAGCTGATTCAACTAAGTGATTCGCACCAACAGCCACATACCTTGCCTACATAATTTTTTAAAAAGAGAGAGACGAGACATACTGCATAACACTTTAAATCATTTCAAATATGTAACGGATTTTTTAGAAATTATTTTGACCTAATCATGAGTAGTCGGAAAAGACAGCTTATGCAACCACTAGTCAGAGATAATGTAGCTAAACAAACATTTTACCTGGTAATTGTTCTAGGTACTGTTAAAACTCTGCACATTCTGTTCATGCTTTCAATAAATTGAAACGGTTTTGGAGAACTTGAAATAAAATAATTGCAGAACAACCATGAAAATAAAAGATAAATGAAGAATAAATGGGCATGTAGTTAGGTCAGCGTAAATACTTAACACTGACAGTGTGCACTGCTGAAAACAACATACTACTCAATAACCCTATTAGTAGTTAGTCACTAAGTTGTCAAATGAAAGCAGTGCAGATGTAAATGTGTTCAATGAGGTAAAAACTAAGGAAAATAAAGTTAGCGATAAAGTGTAAATTAATAAATGCATTTTGAGAGGCACTATAAAACCCTAATATATCAGTGAATATCTGATGAACAGATAATAAATTCTTTAGTACTTTTAACAATATTCAAAATCCAATAATCTTGTTAGTTGGCTTAAGTAATATAATAAACAATAATTAAATCTGAAAATCACTCCTTAATTTCATCGGTTATTGAATGATCTACAAAAGCCTTATCTTACAATCATTAAGAAATTTTAAGCAACATTTTAAATGTGTTCATTTTTGCTCTTGTCTTTCAATATTCATTCTTGTCTTGGGTTTACTATTTGAAATTATTTTGTGAGTAAAAAACACAATATTTGCATCAATTTAGGCAACTAATCATACGTCAAAAGAATTCATGTGTAACAATCTTAAAAAGAATATCTACTGATTTAGCACGTTTGATATGCGGCTGGAAGTGGGATCCAGAATGGACGTTTCAACCCACGTGAAACTCATCAGTTGATTGCTCTTGAGACTTAATGTTGACGTCCACATTAAGACTTGAACATAGTGTCTTTCGTTTAAAATGAACAACTCGTCATCTATTGAGGTACTGAATTCAGGTAATCATCAAATTGTTTAATGAATATGAAACTAGTAAGTGCGAGGATAGTCCACGGGTGAACTCGAGGAAGCTCAGAAAGAGCTAAAGATACTCCATCCAATCATCTTTTGGAAGAATATCCCAGAATCACTACGTGTAGCTTCCCTATTGGACCACTGCTAGTAATCCTGTGTATGCAGATTAGAGGGCTATAACGATGATTTCGTGTTTACTGAAAACTATAAATACCTGACAGTTTTGTACTATAATTGACACTGTTTAAAATAGCATTCCTTTCACTTGTCTTCTTCCTTCCCATTTATGACTTGGGAGGGTTTAGCGTTCGAGTGCTCAAGTATATTGAGAATCTAAGCTCTACATATAACAGTAAGGATTTGTAATTTCAAGTTGTTGAAATGTCTACTGAGCTTAACAATTAAATTAATATAAAAATCATACACTTTATAATTGGTACATAGTTTTCATCGTACAATAAAATACGTGAAGAACTGTTAACAACTATCGCCTCAGATCCATAACTATTAAACAGTGAACAATCACGAACACGTAAAGGATCAAGACGATGTCTGTTTATAACTCACAGTGGGGCTGATAACATCGAGTCAGTAAATAACAATGCTAGCGTCTACATTTTATGTCTCATGAAGCTCGTGGTACACTAGTGTCATGATAAACTGACTTCGGTGAGTAATTACCTCATTCTCATACCGTCAGATAGACAGTTAGGATAATCACACTATTGACTAGCATTTATAACCCAATGATTTCTGAAATCTTTAGGAATGTTTTCATCCCAACCCCAAAAATGTTTACATCCTGTTCCATTCAATGAAATGAATAGTTTTAAAAAGGAAATTATTTGTTATTTCTGAAGATTAATATAAAAGGGTATTATTCCTTTAGTGTTCACCTCTACTCTGAACGTTAATAATTTTAATTAGCACTAGCTACGTGGTCTGCTAATCCTAATTGATGAATGTAAGTTGATCAATTTTATCAATAGGGATCAAGAATTTCAACCACCGGAGGATAAATGTCATCCCAAACTATTAGTTTATTTGAATGAAATTAATAATACTAATATTGATTTTCTGACATATATTTTACAGAGAAACGTATTTAAACAAGATTTTACTAGATATTCAAAATATCTGAAGTAACTACTTTCAACAACTACACAAAAAATGAACTTCCCTGAAGTATACAAAACATATAAGAAATGTTAACTACTTACGGCTGATATTAAACCTTGTGCCCATTGTGATTCAGATTCTAGATCAGGGGTTTGTGGTATATCAATTGGTTTTAATCGACCTTGTTGAACAAGTTCACGTTGAGCAGCAGCAGCCCAATACATTAAACTTAAAGTAGCATGAACTAAATTTCGACAAGCTATAATAAGTGCATCCATACCGTCTGATGATTCTAAATCTATATCTTCATTAATATTATTTATAGTTGTACGACTATCATTGTTAGAAATTTGATTGTTTGTCGTTGAAACAACGGTGGTAGTTGTATATTTTGATGTTGAAGTCATCTAAATATAATATTTATTTAAAACAAAAATAAACTCGATTACATTATGATTGTAAATTGAAAAAGTCATTTTTAATTTTAAAAAAAACATTTCAGGTATTTATCATCACAGAGATAAGTTATATTCATTTAAATATTTAACATCTAGTTATAAGCAAAAACAAAACAAAACAGTTGACTGCATAATGGGAAGAAAGGATAAAGTAAGAAAATATGATGTTAAGAACATTATATCCTTAAGCATGGTACTTTTTTTGTTGACAGAATGAAGTAAATATGAACAAGAATTACACAGATTTTAATAAGAAAATAAAATAATAAAAATCAATTATTAGCAAAGATACACGTATATGACAATGAAGAAAATGAAGGAAGTCTTAAAAAAAAAAAGAGAATTCCCTTGCAAATGATTTCACTTACTACAGCTGTACAATCGTATTTATAGTTATTCTATATACAGTAGTCTATATAGAAAATGGTTGTGCCACTAACAAATTCATCAAAAATTAATAAGAATTTCAATCGAATATAAGTTACTTTATAGACGAAGGCTAATGAGAAAAAATAAGACGATAATAAAACTTTGAAGAGAGATATAAAAAACAATGGTCTATTTGACAAATAGAAAGAGAATAAAAGCATTTAGAACAACATACACAATTAGAAAAGCGTTTAGAAGCATGGTCGAATAAGGTATTGGACATACCGTTTCTGAAAACAGAGACCAAGTATGAATAAATGACTTGTCAAAGCGTCTACAATGCATATATTTCTCAAGTAATCTCGCGCTTAGAACCAGTTCGTTTGACTTAATGAATAATAATAAAAGAAAACTCTGATGAATATGGATAGCTAGAATTGACTAGATGATTAACAATTGACTGATTTACATTCCCCTTTAGATAATCTTGGTGGTACAATGAAGTTCAAAATTATGTCACACATCCATCTGTAACATGTTATTTTTGTTTCAAGCAGAGATAGAGAGAACGGTACTGAGGTCGAGTCCCAGAATGAACATGAACTCTAGGATGAAGGCACGTCAAGCTGACGAATTCCGAAAAAAACAAAACGCGCATCTTGGACTCCAGTGTTAGCCACCATCCATCTCTGCTGACAGTGCTCGTGACCTAATAGCAATATTGAGGCAATCCGCACAGCATGCAAATATGCAGAAAAGAAACTCATCAATTGAGGTCCTAAACATCAGTGGGAAGACTCAAACAACCAATACAAATGATTTATTTTCATTTTGTCAACAGCTCATTACCCTTCGACTATAAAGTAACTTATATTCGACACTTCGAATTTTTAACTAACTTTTGATAATTTTATTAATGGCCCAAAGAATTTTTACCATGTGTAAAATAATTATAAATACGGTTGTGAAAATTCCCATTTCGACATTTAGTAAATAAAGAAGGAACGAATTGAGCGAAGAAATTTCTTTTCAATTAGTTTTTCATCATGGCTCTACACTAATATATATATATATATATATATATATATATATATATATATATATATATGATTTACAATAAGGAAATAATACTCATCGAGTGGATACTTTACGTAATAATTACATAATGACACATCGATTATAAATTAACATTGAGTAATTGGAAGGAGATGAAAAGAAGGACAAAGATACCTAGCGTCCCTAAGAAAGTATTGTTCACAAAATTACAATTCGTAAATGACTCCACTGAATAAATTGTGACCCACAGACTAAGAGAAGCTGTACAAAAAACATTGAATACAGCCAGACTAAATGCTATCTTCTACAACCACCCCACAATAAGAACGGTCAATAAAGACAGATTGCCTGAATTCGCCAAATCCATGTATATTTATCGATTCAACTGCTCCTGTGGAGCCAGTTATATAGGGCGTACAATTCGGCAAGTTTGTCATCGTATAACAGAGCACCATCCGTCATGGCTAAACAAAAGACAGGTAAGAGTGGTTAAAAGTTTTATTCTCTCTCACTTAGTTGACACAGGTCATCAAGGTGAACTGGATAAAGCTTTTAAGATTATCTACCATATTCCATCAAATTTGCCACATGGTTTACGATTGCGCTTTTTGCATATTGCGGAAGCCATCGCAATCCATGTTCACAAACCTAACCTTTGCATTTAAAAGAAGTTTGTACAACCGCTTTCGCTACCTAGGCCATCGGTATAAGAGTGCATGCAGCAGAACTAATTCTCGTACTTCTTCCATTTAGTTTTTTTTATTTTTTAACTTTGTAATTTTCTCAACATTCATCTCGTGATCCTTACATAACTACTATTCTATTGACCATCCATCAAAATATTATGTTCTTTCTCGTTTTCATATATTATGCAACGTAGCAATTTCTTGATTTTCGAACAATCACTTTGAGTATTATTAATCCTCTTTCTTCCAATTACTCAACGTTAATTTATAATCGAAATGTCATTATGTAATTATTACGTAACGTATCCACTCGATGAGTATTATTTCCTTATTGTAAATCATATATATATATATTAGTGTAGAGCCATGATGAAAAACTAATTGAAAAGAAATTTCTTCGCTAAATACGGTTGTATCGCTTTAGTAAATGACATCGTCTGAAAGAATATTTTCTTCTCTGACCAGACTTTATCTTCTTTAAGCATGTTCATTTGTTACGTTGTAAAGAGTTTGGGGATACCTGTTACGTTCGCTACTTGATCAATGCAGAATATGATACACAACTAACGAAACTCGAGCATATAGAACTGCCACAGTCACAAATCAGAAAACAGAAGGTGCAGGAGAAGCGACTGTTGGGTAAAAATCCAAAATGTACAAAAAATCATAGGTATTTATAGATATTAGCGTTAGCTATAACCATTATAATTCAGCCAATCCGCAAGGACGCAAGTTATACTACCGTTCAATCGTAGCATGCTACGTTGATATTCTAGAAAACTCTATCAGATTTTGATGGGGTGGAAACTCAACGGTTCCTTTAGTACCTTTGGGAGCTCCGTCGTGCTCCTCGGAAGCCATCCAAACAATAACAGGCAATTATTTTCCAATGCAAGAAGATAAAGTGCATTTAAAATTAAGATCAAGATTACTGAGTCACACATACCGTTTAGAAAGTACCAGCCGAAAAACGTATGTTTACATACATAAAAAAGGAATTACAAAGTATACCAGCTTTTTTCTAAATTGAAAACAACAAATGTTGTAGAATGAAGTGAATTCATGTAAATTAGTAGACTATAAACGTCTAAAGTACATAAACATTTTACAGGTTAAATTTAATTTTCGAGAAACCATATACAGATACTTTAGTTTGTAACACTTTTTTAAAAATAAAGCACAAAAGTAAATGATCATTTGTAAACTATAAAAAGTACAATATATTTATCGCGTAGATTACAAATAAACCATACTGACAACACTTAACAAATTATTAAAGATGATGACGGTGGCGCAATTTCGTGGATTGGTTGATGTTAGACATTAACACCGTTGGGTGCCGGATCAGTGGTCTAATAGTTAAGCGCTCGCGTGCGAGACTGATAGGTCCTGGGTTCGAATCTCGCGGGGGGCGGGATCGTGGATGAGCACGGCTGAGTCCCATACTAGGACGAAACGGCCGTTCAGTGTTTCAGGTTTTCCATGGTGGTTTGGCTTCAACTGACTCATGATTTCAACTATTGAAATTACTAAAATCTCCACAAAACCCCTTCTGATACTAAAGATAAGTTAATAATTCTTCTTATAGATTCCTAACCAACGATGCAAAAACAAAACTTATTATTCAAGATTTCTTAAAAAAAGGTAATATCGACTTAATCTTTGTAGAAAAGAATACATTTTATCAATACAACAGATTGTATAAAACATAAAATTAACTGTGTTCAATATTTAACTTGAATAAACAAGTTGTTAAATGAATTGGCGGTCAAGAAAAAAAACAAATTATGCAACTACAATACACTAAAATTATATTTAAAATATTAAATGATTTATTTCATTCATAATTATCTTACCGTATCTTTAGACTGATCTAATTGTGAATGACTTGATTTTTGTGAATTTAATGAATTCTATAGAAAAAAAAGACCAAAATACATAACAAATCTTTAAATGATCATTAGAATATGGTTGAGTATTTAATAAGACAAGTGAGTAATATAACATATTAACATATTTTGTATAGTTTTAGTTGAAAGGGTTTTCTGGAGATTGATTTAATTGATGGGTGTTATTCAACGCAGGTCGATTTCAAACGATGCATCATTTGAAACCAGAGAGCATTGGAGAGCTATTTAGTCTTAATATATATGACCTTGACATGGGTCGGACTCATGACCTTCAGATTTCACGGTGGACTCTTAACTATTAGAATTACTAGGTCGGCATTTACTGGCACAATTTAAGTTCCGATCAATTTGGTACATAATACGATGATCATCTAATGGCATTTGTCATAAATGCTTCATATTAGACATGTTTGGACCCCGTTCTTCACAATGTCCTGATAAGACTATAGGAATATTACGAAACAGATTTTGATAAGTTTTATAAAGAACAATCGAATGGAATTGACTGATTGGTTTTATAATGAACTAATATATACTTTGGACATCAATATTAAGTAAAGTTTCGGCGACATTATAAATTACAGAATTATAAGTCATAAACCCTTAAAAAGATAGATGCGCCATTCTGTCAATCAATTTAATATCTAAATGTTTAGTAATTTTTATGAAATGAATAAACAAGGTAGTTTCCTCTAAGGTTAATTTGAATTTCAGAAACTTAATGTTTATCGTTCACTGACCATGTACTGATTTCGCTACAAGGATTTGATCCTTAATTTAATTATTTTGATAGCTAGTGATATGAATCGGCTCAACAAAACAACATAGATGAAGCAATGGACTAAACCTGTTATCCGCCAGTGTGTGTTAGCTAAGAAAATACTGTTTGCTGTCTAAGTTTATAATAGGGACAAATAGTATGCTGTTGAAATTACCAAATATTAGGAATTGATTCGATGTTACAGAAGCTTAGATTTGTTAGAAGTTTATATAAGTTGGGAAGCTTTTAGATATTCACGTAGTATCGAGCAGATATCTATTTATTATATTGTTTTATTTAACTGGAATAATGTATCCGATTTTGAGCCACGTCACTAGTCATCTATTACTAGCAACCGAAGTTATGGAGTGAACTTCAGTTAGTCTGGAATTACCAACAGTCAATGATTACATGAAATAACGCCACGTCTTGGTTAGGTCGTCCTTAGTTTTTTTTATGACTTGCTGCTACTCCATGCAAAATTAGATGTCGAGGTGGATAGTGATTGAACATGCATAACACATGACGTAGACATCTTATTCAAGAAAGATTTAAAGCCTTATAAACAAATTTGTCACCTCTGTTTGGTACATTATGCTTGGCATTAACATTGCTTCATTTCGTTATTCCACAATGTGAGCAAGATACTTCTAACACACCTATGATCAAAATGATCCAGACTTTTAAAGTTTTCTACTTTTATAGACTACATAGTTAAAATAAGAACTTTAGTGAGAAATGTACAGATACAAATCAAATTACAAGTATAATACCTTAAATGAATGTTTTGAATGTAATAAACCAATACGTTCAACACTTCGTTCGATTTCTCCAGCTAAATCTTGAAGTGCATTTTGTACACCAGATGTTGATGAAGATGATGATAATGTGGAATGGTCAATATCAACAGCTGTTGCATTTGCTTCAGCAATACTCTTTTCAATATCTATAGAACTGCCATAAATTGATTTCCGATCAAAAGGATTTTCATAAGAACTTGTAATTTTATTGTCAATTAATATTGGAATCGGTTTAGTAGAAACAGCTGGTTTGAAATCTAAAGTAAATTTTTAAAGAAAACGAGAATGTCACTCATTCTTATAAATAAAAGAAAATACAATGGTCAGTGGAAAGATGTTATTAATTTTTCAGAGAATACTTTCTGTAAGCTGTGAAATCTCCAATATAAACATTTTTTGATGATGTGACGTCTTGTGGGTTGGATGATTTATTCATAAAGCTGTTATGAAAAACATCATTCACGCTAACTTCTATATTCATTTGAACTACAGATTATCTCGTTGAAATGATAAACCGATGTAAGTTAGACTACCATTGAAATTCTAAAAGCACAGGACAGCGGTTTCATCTTAGCACAGAACTCCTTAAAATTGAGCATCCACGGTCCCAAGCGCAAACGCTTTACCTTAGTTGCCTACTGAAGACAATAGAAGATAGTCGCGAAATGTCATGAACTGAGTGAAGTTAGACACATTAACACCGTTCGATGTCGGCTCAGTGGTCTACATTTTTTCTGTCACACAAAAGCAATCTATTTCTATTTCCATACATTTTCTAATTACGTTTCATTTTTTAATTTACTATAATGTATAACTTCCATCAATCCACGACACTGCGTGACCATTTTCCATTGTCTTCCGAAAAAGAAACAATTCACAAAAGATCTGTACAGTAGTAGTACAATTGACAGAAAAAGCTTTCTGACTGTTAGACTAAATAGCTAAATAGACCCTAATACAATGGTTAGCTAGCTCAAAATGATAGTTTACAGGGGCATGGTTATTATAGCATAGTGCTCTATGATTTAGAACGGTACTTCAGTTGATTCTATAGTTTGAGATTAAGAATGCCTATTTTTTTAATGAAAGAGATTATATATGCTATTAATTGAATCAATAAAATGTTAGCACTTTCTGGAAAAAATACTTGTGAAACTAATGTAAAAGTATGTGTTGTGCACATACTGAATCTATACATGACTGACTATACAACAAAAAGTAACTACACACCAGCAATATCGTCTTCGTTAGCACCAGGTAAGGACATTGAACAGTCAACAATTTCAAAAACGGTTTCTCGTAAACGTCTCATAGCCAGAGTGACTTGAACACTATCCGGACTTCCAGGACCAGAATCAAGTGCCTATAAACAAAAAAAAAGATGTGTGAAAAGGCAGAAGAAGATAGAGTCAAGTAATAATGACAAAATAAGAGAAAACATAAAAGTGAGACACTACTATCTTTTCAGTAGTATTTATTCAGAATGTATTCAAGATGGACAACCGGAATAAAACAATAAATATTACAACAGTTATTTTTACTGCACCAAAACTTCGAATCATAATTAGTCATTTTAACTGAAGAAAAAGTAAACCAAATATAATCTATATGTGTAAATAGGTGACTTGGACAAAAGATGAGCTACTCGATAAATGGTTCATAAATGCATGCAGGTCGACTTAACAGTTCTTCTGGATGTGACTACGAAATGGGTATTCAGATGCACGAACATACATTTTCATGACTAAGATAAGGCGTGACTACCACTATAGACAACATCCTTTTTCATCTGGTTCTAAGTGAACATTGTGTTGAGATAAATGAAGCATTTTCAGTTTTGTATCATTTTGGAGGTAGTTTAACAAAACGTCCGTGATTATGACCTCTATGGATAGTGGAAACCATTAGGGCAGACTCGACATAAATGTCGATAACGTACATTCAACTATTTTATTTGCTCTAGTCTACGAAGGAGTCAACTCATTCTTAATCATATTAGTTAGTTTAGTTTTTATGTTGTATATTCAACTCTCTGACTTTCTATAAAATAGTGAGTTTGTGTTACTTTTATTATTATTGAACCTAAGTTGAAATTACTGGCTTTTTATATTGTATTTTATTCCGTTTCATTATGTTGATTACATACGATTCATCACTTTATAACGTTTATTACTAAACAAAGAAATACTTGAATAAACTCACATTCAAAGCCAAAGTCAATACCCTATCAATCTTTGAAATTTCAGACTTGTCTAATTGAATTTATGTAGAACACTAATTAAACTAAGACATCTTTGTATGCTTTAAACCAGCTATTGTAAAACAACATTTATGGATTACCATTGGAGAGCAGTGTAGATCGTTGGGTTTCAGAGTTTACATCACCAGACTAATCTTAGTTACACAGCCATTACGTAACGAAAGCAATGGGCAGCTGTTTTGTCCTAGTATGGGACTTTTAGGCAATACTAACTCGTAACTATCGCCTTGGGATTCGAGCCTGAAACCTTAATAAGAGAGGTTACTTAAAACAACTGCCATGTAAAGCAGTTTGAGATCTTTCCTTTTTGAAAACATCAGCAGTTGAATAATCGTTATTTATGAAGTTTAGCACAGTATGGAAAATATTATATAACGCAGAAGTCAACTTCTCATTTCTGAAAACAAAATTATCTGCTTAATTATTAGTTTGCTGCAGCTGAAAAAAAGAATTATTGGGAAGAAATGTTGAAGAGCTATAAATTTTAGTTTTAAAACAAAAACAAATCAAGCAGTAAAGCAGTGATGACATAATATAAGAATCGCGTCATATTTAAACCCAGTTGATTGAAGTTCAAAAGTATCACAACACACAGAGATTTAACAGCCCAAATACATAGTATGTATATGTCCGTGTATGCCGTTGTTCAGGAGACTAAAACTAGGACGAGATAGCTGCTTGGTGTTGATGTTAGTTCGTGATGAAAATCGCTTGAATAACCATACCAACAATAACAACAATGAAAACATTGTCTAAACAATAATGAAAAATACAAACTAATAACTATAAATGAAACATAAGTATGGTTTACTTTATTCATATGTTCCACTAATTGTTTAAGCTCTGACATTGTACTAGCACTTCCATGAATAGCTCGTTGACATATTTTCTCTAAAGCAGGATAACATATTGATTCACTACAATCATCTAATGTATTTCCACTTCCTGATTCACGAACAACACCATTTGATAAAACCTCTTGAGTATTAGAAGGATTGGTCGATTTGCGCCAAGAAGCATTATCTTTTGATACGGAGACAGATGACAATGAAGTTTGTAGAACGGAATGAAGACGTCTTACTAGTTCTTCCGCAGCTCGGCGTATCATATCTCCAGCTAAACCAATTTCGGATGTTTTACCTGATCCAGTAGCATTATTTGCATTAGTAGCTGCTTGAGTGATAGCTCGAGCAGCACATACTAAATAAGATGGATTGATCACTTGACCTAGTGCTGTTTCCCTTTCGAATTCCATATCATCATCAAAATCTGGAGGTTGTCGTTTACAAATAAGAACATGGACAGAGAAAACATAAATAGAGTAGTGGTTTGATAAATAATATACAGTGGATAGAATAGAGTATTCTGACTAATTATATAGTAGGATAATAGTAATTACGGTCACTAACATTATCAGTCATAATCATAATTAAAACATGCATTCAGATTATTATGATGATTTGCGATCATTTAAATAGTCTTGATAGCCAAAACAGAAGCTTACTATTATTAACTCATCAGCGAGGTATAGACTCATATACTTGGCTTTGAGACACACTTTAAATGTGACGGCTATCGATGCTATCTATCTTTCCAAAGCCAAAGTAATTGGAGCAGAGTGAAAACCTGAAAGGTATTGGCGGGGCGTCAGATGCCTTAACTACAGAGCCAGAGTTCCACAATCATATATTATTCAAATAACTGACAATCAAATGCTCATATAATAAGCTTACCATACTAAACGTTGATAATTATTTACATAACTATTACATTCATATTCTAAACAGGAATTATGTAAATCGGACTGTTGAGAAAATGTTTTCATGCTTAGGTATATAAGTGGAGTCTTCTATAGGTAAATCGTTTAATTTATAAATCGATGTTAATGTCTGACAGTTAGTTCACCTAATGTACTGATGATACGGACCAACTCTACATAAAGTCGTAATATGAAATTTTGTTTTCTGTTTCGTTTCTGATACCTCTGGATTTATTTACCTACATAAAACATACGATGATTCGTTAAAATCAGTGAGGGATCAATGGGTATGAAAATAAAGTAAGAAGGTGGGAAGTGCTGAAAGAGAGATCGTGGAAAGTTTGACACTAAAACTTTCCATAAAACTATCTGCTTAATCAATCTAGTTCACTGAATTTTTCGTTAAAGCTAACCGTTGTACCGTTAATCATGTAATTAACTTTTTGATGAATTCGACTGTAAACTTAGACTGCTTCAAATTTTGTATCAGTGGCCTCCAGATAATTCAATGTTCTGCTGAACTAATAAACAAGTTTCAACAGAGCTTCAATCATAATTATTCAGAAATTTATGACGTTAATTTTCTGATCAATTCTGTTTGTTTAGGTTTGGCTAGAGTGGAAAAATGCGAATACTTAAAACACAAAGGCTGAAAGAACTACCTAATTATCGCTAAATGTAATGATATCTAAAGTAATATGAAAGAAAATATTGGGTTGTATTTGGGAGGAATTGTTCTTGTACCCAAAGTTTAGATACTGTGTTTCAAATATTTTCCATCATATATTACCGTCAATTGAAAAATCAACTGAAAATCAGGAAGGATTAAACAACTCGTATAGTCCTAGTTTGAGGAACTACAAAAATCACAGTTATCATCCTCCCCAAGTTAGAAGCAAACTAAAATCCTTAATAAATAAATAAACAATATATTTGTTATATCCCAATGAGTAGAAAAATTAGATTTTTTCTGACGTTTCGTGGCTTAGTGTAAGTCACTTCTTTAGAGAATAAATAACCAAATCCGGTTATTTATTTATGACAATCTACCCAATGCTCAAATTATTCGAAATCATCAAATCAAACCTTGGTAATGATACCTAAAAACCTCAATGTTGCCGAGAAACAAAAAGGTAATTCAATTAGGTTATAGTAACTTATCTTATCAATTGTAATAAGCTTTAACCTAAGGTTTGTTTTTTTTTAATAATTAACAAATAACATTCTATTCAAGAATTTTGAATCACTCTGTGCCCAAAGGCAACGAGGAAAACTGGTGCCAGTCAAACCTCTGCGTACAACGAGACTAAAAATATTTAAATTACTGTTAAATAAACAACCACGTTATCGTTCTTCTTTATGTTTAAGATGATACCATGAGCTCATTTGGTTCAAAAGCAACTCGACACGATCATTAGCTACAACTCTTCACTTAATAGGAAAACCGTTTTTATCGTTTCAATTAGTTATGCGTACAATGTATTCAGAAAGTCAACTGGTAGCTCATAAAATGTATATTTATCATGAAATAGGCTAAGTCTAGGTTCTTTGTCGATTCCGACACATCGAGTTTCGTTGGACGGAAACGCTGTGTTAAACTGAATCATGAAAATGAACAAAAACTTGGTTTTCACCATCATTTACAGTGACTCTGACTATGCTTAGAGTCATAATTGATTAAAGGTCTAACCATTTAAACAATCGTTCAAATATAAAATAATTTTCGTGAGATAAGAAAGAGAATCATTGTGAGGACGGTACAATAGTTGGGAATTCATTTCCTGACCGAGAGAAAACAATCTGTACAATACATTTTTCAGTTAGGAGAAAAATATTTGAATAAACGCAATCAAAGTCGTCTGTAGTGATTAGTATGTGATTTTCTTGGAAATGATCAATCATAAAATTCATTAGGAAAAAAAGAAAAACATCTACACCTACCTGGTGTATGTAATAATCCATCTTTAACATCCCATTTATTTAATCGTTCATTTAAATTACTTAATATAGTTATAATTGATTCAAGACTGGTATGAACGTTAGATTTTGCATGATCAGTTTTTTTATCCAAACTTGTGAATTTTTGTGCAGATACTTTCAGACTAACTTTTTTCAATGGGACTGCCGGAGGAATAGGTGAAATTGGTGGATTTTCATCTTTTACAGTAGGTGATTTAGCCACAGTAAACATATCACTAATAGAACGTAGAGAATTTGATAAGCTAGATATAGTTTCAATTACTTGAACAGCAGTATCATTTAAAGCTTTTTGCTTAGTTTTCATTAAACTATTTAATGTATCATCTGTTTGATCATTCCAAAATTCAATAGCATAACATACTGCAGAAATAGATTTACCATGATTAAGTAAACGTACTAAACCTGAGACAACATCACGTGTAGATGTTAACAATTGTACTTGTCCTTCAATAGATAAATCTGGATTAGATGATAATAATGATGCTGTACATGAAGCAGCATTTTTAGCTGACTCAGTTAATTCTGTAGCTCGAATAAAACAATTTTGTGCAGATATTGCTAAAGCATCTTGATCAGTTGATGTTGTTTTAATCTGAAAATCAAATAAGAAAGTAAAAATAGCTATCTGGTTTATGTAAGCATAAAAATGAAAATTCACACTGTAAAAGATTGAATAAATGAAATCATTTCGTTCTGATTTTTTTAGAGATCTTATTATAATATTTCGTAAACGCAAACTATTTATTAAGTTATTGTTGACGAGATGTTTCAAAGAAAACCTGTATCCTTCAATACTAATGAGGAGATTTATGAAATAAAAGGTTGAATCAAGTTATTAAAAAGGGTAATAACGTCATAGAAAGTAAATTTTTAAAAGACTATGGTCATTTGAAAAAAATAATCATCTCACTTATTGAATAAACTAGTATAAAAATTACTTATAGTTTTTACGTTACATTTACTTAACAGACTGTTACTATGGCTGATCTGTGGAGTGTAAAACATAATTATTATTCATTTAAGGAGAATAAAAATAGGTTTAAGGAATTTATTCAAAGAGACAAATGAAAAAACGCCTTCATATGGCGAGACTCTAATTTATAGACGAGTTAATCAGAGGCATTTGAGGGCTTTCAAGGTCATGGCGCCAATTTGAGTACCCGACGCTCACGTACGATCGGTTTACAGTGGATTTTAGAGAACATGTGACTATTGAGCGGCTACAACAGACGGGACTAATAAGAAGTTCCTTTATTTGTGACTGCGGTAATCAAACGACTGCTGTACCGTGTTCAGACTACCGTGATGAGTTCGTCTTTCGACGTTATTTATGTTAGAGGAAGAAGTCTGCTCGAACGGGAACTTTCTTCGCTCGATCACGATTGAGACTAAAACAAATCATGATAATTGTTGCAGATTGGATAATAAAAGCACCAGTAACACTGGCTGCGGCATTTTCAGACGTTGGGAGTTGGGAGAATCGTTGAAATAAACGAAACAGTAGTCCGGAAGCGGAGGACGTAGTATGAAGGAAGACTGGGTAAGTATCACTTCTATAAATATACCTCACAGGTACTTGGAATTTACAACAGATAAACCCAAAAGTGACAATTCCAAAAGGCCAGAAACTGACAAGCAAAGACAATAATACCAATTATACGGGAATACGTGCAGCCTGGTGCCACAATATATACGGATGACTGGAGAGCCTACCGATGCCTGAATAGACTTGGATATGTGCATCATGTCGTTATCCACAAGCGCCGTTTTGTTGACCCTACGACAGTAGTGCATACTAGAAATACTGAAGCTATGTGGTCGAGGCTAAAGGAGTTCTTACGACCTTACCATGGCTCGAGAGGTCGACTATTATGGAGCCATATGGATGAGTTCCTCTATCGTATGCTCTACGATTTCCGAACCTCTGAACCTCTTTCAAGCATTGATAAGTTTTTGAACCATGTAAAAGAAGTATATCCACTTTAATCCTTTGGTTTTTTTTATAATATATTTTTACTTTATACTAACTGCCCTCTGATTGGCTAATATTTCTCAAGGTCATTTAAGGTCCGTTCAAAGGTCGTCCATAAATTAGTCTCACCTCTTCATACATTAAAAAACTGCTGATCTCGATGGTTAATGAACACACTAAGTTACCAAAATTCGCCTTTACGTCTTCATTGAATCCTTCTTGTTCATTTATGATGCTGTCCAGGTACGTGATCAGGTTGAATAACGGTTCATTTTTATTTCTATACTAAGCGGTTAACTAATTACCTGACTAGCAGTTATTGACTAATTTTACAAGAAAGGCGGTCACTACAGAGTATGTCTGTTATAAAAAATCGTTACCAAAATATTTCAAACCCAACATACTCAAATAGTATTTGATCAACAAAAATGGAACATGAATTCGGTACAAAAAAGTATCTAGTAACACTGAACACTGAACCCAGTGAATGACCTTCTGTACGACTGAAAGACACACCAATATCATTTTGTCTAAACTTTAGTTCAGAAAAAATTAAATGGACCAAGTTAAAATGTGATTACTGATTTACGCAACTTAGCATCTTGTGAACCATACTTTGATTTTAAGTGGTTAGAGGAAATAGATGCGCTTTGAGTTTCGTGCTGGTTATTAGCAACTTATATTTACATTTACGAGTATTTTTACATCATTATTAAAAAAGACAAGCAGAACGTGTCACATACACAACCATTAAGCAATAATGAATTTTACAAAATATAAATAAAAAACTTACCAGAGTTTGCATATCTTCAACAATGCCTTTTTCCGCTTGCATTACTGCTTCTTGAGCAGTTTGAAAAGCTCTTTGTTTAAATGTAACAGAACCTTTATCAGTAGGTGAAGTGGGCGTCTTAAATGATTCTTGTAACGTACCAGCACGTGCAAACAGTGCAGCTGTATCTAAATCAGCTACTAAACGATTTAAATTAGTTATTGCAGTTGTACAAGCATCAGCACCACGAGTACATGATTGAAGTACAGCTTTAAGATCATTCAATCTAGAATTTAGATTATTTACTCTATCTGTATGTAATGGAGCACGGAGAAATTCGGAAGAAGCTGCACCAATAGCCTATTTGTAAATGTGGAGAGGAAAAAATTAGAACATTTATATTCCATTTCTAAAGAGTATCAAGATAAAAGATTATGGGAGAGTGTGGAAAATACATAGCAAAAGATCATTTTTGAATAGCAAGTACTAATCACATGGTGAGTTTTATTGAGCGCTAATAATAATTTTTTTATTCGTTGTTTTCGGTACTTGTTATTCGTATTAGTTTTGAATCTGACGATTGACCGGCCGCAGGTATTTCAGTAAAAGAATACCAGCAACACCTTAAATAATCGTTTACATGATTCGAGGAACTTGGTTTTGTTACAATGCTGCAGTATGTGAATGAACATGACAAATCTGTTTATTTGATATTTCATCAAAGTTTTGAACTGAAAAGTATTTTAAGCAAAATATGAATTTCAGTGGTAAGCACAAACGGATAACTAGTTTACTGATTCACGATTGATTGATTCTTAGTAATATCTTGCATATCTGATCTTTGGCACTAGACGAAATGATATCGATCAAGTTAAAAGTGCCAACTCAAGTAACTCGACATCGAGTGCACTATATTGACATTTTAGATGATTAGAGGACGGCGACAAGAAACTCTGGTACCACAACTAATTATTCATCTAAGTAATAAATCGTCAAATAAAGATTGAATTTACTTGAGTAGCATGACAAAGCTTTTGAGCTAAAGTAGGTCCCGTGTCAATTTGTGGATGCATTTTCAATACAGAAGACATTTGCTGTACTGTTTCGGTCATTTGAAGAAATTGTTGAACAAAAGAAGATATGACTTCTGCACAATTTTCTCCTTGATTGGCGGCATAAACTTCTGTTACTCTAACCATAAGATCAGATAATTCACGTGATTGATGACCTAGACGCGCATGCAGTTGAACAAAGTTAGCTGGCAATGAAACAGCATTTTCATTTGAATCATTCTTTTGTGATCCATTTGATAAGGGTACTGTATCATCAAGCTAAATAAGTAAACAGAGAAACAGATTAGTAATACACGCATTGATGCAATATTTACTAAAAATATATTACTGATTATTACCAAGTAGTCAAGTCGGAAATAATTAAATTAAGACTCGATTCATTTTATAAATATCGACACATTTCATGAGTAGAAAATTGTTTGGTTTATACTGAACAAATAATGATTTGTAGGATTACGGAATATATTTCATAGTGATTCAAAATAACAGGGATGCAGTATATTTCTATTTCTTAAAGTATAGACTAGTCAGAGAAGAAAACAGGTAAACTAAAGACTCAAAAATAAGTTATTATGAATCTTTAATTAATTAATATAACATGTGATAGCAAATTTTCGTGAGCAAAAGTCATTAAAAAAGACTTTAATGAGTACAAGTAGTGGACCAAAGGTCATCATTAAAAGATTTACGAAAAATGATGAAATTGTTGCAATACGATTGGATAAAGGTTCAGCTATAGTTATCAGAAATCGAAATTACCATGTAAAGTAAGTGGTTTAAGTCCTAAACTATGTATCGGGATTTAACGTTGATAGACCTAACAAGGATTCCACTGCAGTAACTGAATCCAGCATTAAGGAACAACTAAAAGAACTTCAGAAAATGCTCAATGATAGTCCAATTTAAAATGAGCTTAATGAACATAGATTTTCGTGTATTGTTTTCCAACATGATATAAATCAAATACATGCTTAAAAAACATAATGTCAATGATAAAATCACTATATCCCAGTTGGGCTTGGTGGTCTGTGAAATTATTGAAATCGATTCACGGAAAAAAGGTAATTCCTACCTTAAAGGATATATTCCAATTTTCTGTAGGAAAAGTCTAGGTGGATATATTAGATAGAATTATGATGTTAATAGATGTTTTTTCAATTATTTACAAATGTACCGAAGGAAGAAACCATAAGTCTAATATGCTATTAATTTGAATTACTTCCTTTGACGCAAAATGCGATGAGAAAATCACTACTACTATTTATAAAAGGGATTCAAGTTAAATAACCAGTTGAACAGACGAATTAATGGACTGGACAAGATAAAATACACGGCCCATACATTCATTATTTGTAATAATATGAAACATGCTTTTTAACTACCATATCAGTTTAAACAAGCAAGTAAAAACATCAACTATACTATGGAATACTTATTTCATAACCGAGAATTTAACCAGTGCACCACTGAGAAGTTTTATACTTGTATCTATGACAGTTTTCTTGTTACTAATGGTTATCAATAGTACTTCAACTGCACACTAATCTACATACTATGTACCAACTAGAATAAGCTTTAGAGAATTTATGTGTCAGGACTAATCAATTATTCGACAAACAATTTGATAATTCAATAGAATATATATGTCAGTTATTTCAGCTATTTCGTTAAACATTTTAACTTGTATATAAATGACTTTACTGCATTAAAATCTGTGCTCCATGTCTGTCAACTTTGATATTTTTTCGTTGTTGTTTACGTTTTCAGGTCATTTTATTTATATGCTTAACGGTGCATTTCTTTTCTTAGAAATTCGCATATATGCATCAATAGTTGACACTTCTCTATAGAAATCATACGTAAAGGGGATAAACACAAGCACGTAAGCACACTAACATGAATATAAAACGAGAAGTTGGCCAGATCATCATCAAGTTACCATTACTGCACGGATTTCTAATAAAAAAATTATTCACGCACATACACACATCAAGAGGCCGAAAATTCAGATAAAACAAGATAAGAACACAGATATTAAGAAGTTAATGATGACTAACCTTTGAGCAAGCTGAAGTGATAGAGGCAATGTGCCAATTCAATCCACCTTGTTCCATAGCAATTGTATCGATCTGTTTAGATAATTCAACACAAGCTTGTTGTAACTGATTATTGTAATTGATCAATGAATTGTGACAGTTGGACACTGGCAATGATTGTGACTATTGTATAAATGAGAAACAAGATGAACAAATAGATAACGGAAGAGATTTAAAACAATTTTTTTTTAATTAACATTAATGGGGAATTTTAACTGGGGGGCTATGGAATAAAGTTTAATTGAATCAACAAGGCGTTCATTGATTTATACATTTTTATAGTGAACAAATTGACTGAATTTGATCATAGGAATCATCACTTGGCCACCCAGTTAGTGGTGTTTTAATGATAAACTGCTAATAGTGAAATCTTTTATAATTCTTAGTTCTGATTCCTGATGATGATTCATGAATGCGGAGCTGTATACTACGGGTACAAAAGCTTCTCACTGCTACACTAATTTCAATGATTGGTCTAGTTAAATCCAAATTGTGATTTAAAATTGATAATTCACATGAGAAACTGATTGTAGTTATACAGACACTAAAAACCAGAAGGCATTGAACTGCTGTTACGTCCTAGTACGAGACAACTTAACAATGCGCATCTACGTTCCCAACGATTATTGGACCTAGAACCATCAAATTTCAACGATAGTGATTTAACATTTAAACAACGGAATTCAGTGGTTTACATGTCTATCTCCAACTAATCGAGAATATTGTGTAGTTATCTTTCAATCTGACTAGTGAGTGACTGCCTCACATCTAGCACGGCTGAACTTCACCATTCATAGCTTTTCACCAGAATTACATCTCGAAATGATCTAATGATGAGAACCTTATCAGTAATAGTGCTATAAGGGGTTTGTGATAAATGATGATTGATTTGTTGAAAAAAGTATCTGTTATTTATGTGAAAAATGCCTTTAAAAAGACAATAAGATAATGGATAACAAAAAACTACTTACTCGTCCTTTAAGAGTAATAGATACACAATCAATTAACTGTTGCATAGCTTCTAGAACAGTACGCGTAAGACTATTCAAGTTTGTTTGATCGGACAGTCGCATCAAACTTCCGCATGTACGAATAGATTCCTATATCAAAGTAAGACAAAATTAGATGATGATGATGAAATGTCAATAATTCATAAGGCATTGAATGTACTTAGTTCAACTCTGACAGTGTATCAATTTTTATAGAAATGATAAAAATATTTGCTCTTTATTTAAATGCAAATAAATATAAACAACAAGAAAATGTAAGTGGATATTACTTAGAATAAGAATAACCTATAGTAATTTTGATTTCAATTATGAAGTAGTCAAATGAAACAAAACAAAGAACACTGTTGTTCACTAGCTAACTGATTTTCAAGAAAAGTTGACGGTAATGAAGATATGTTTCTGAAACTAATACAGAACTCAAAGACGGATATGTCTATATTGTAACTGAAAGGGTTACAGAACTATACACGTTAAAATGTACTAGATCTTAATAGTATGGAATGCGGAGATTTATAGAGCAGGTAGATGATTCTAGTGGTTTCTTTTTGTGAGTTGTATGACTTTCCATATCAAAAGTATAGCATGTATATATAGTCCTTTAAATTATGATGAACATTTTATATTCGATCACTAGAATTAGTACAACAGAGTATTTTAGCCGACTTGTTTGAAGTAGGGAAATTCTTGTATCGAGAGGTATAAAATGTGAACTATTTTATTCATGTTTTCCGAGAAAATAATTAAGGTTTTCATAAACGAATATTGATGAGATGACGGGAACCTAAATTAGACCAAAAATGTAGATCTAATGACGACAGTATCAAGTTTTAAGTATAAGACAACATAGAATTTAATTTACACTTCAATGTATATGCACCTCGATTAACCAGAAGGGAGGAAACAATTAATAACACTCATCCACTATTTAATCGATAATATGTCTCCATTTAAAATAGTTTCTGGTCTCTTGCAATCAATCTAAATAACTTCAAATCAGGTTTTCATACCGTATAATTATATTTCAAAACCAATGGTTGTGTAAGTAAAACGCTATTCTTGATTTTTCTAAGCCAATTTAAAGTTACTTAAAATGTAATATTCTTTTCTCAACAATTTAATATTATATTATAACCCTCTTTGTAAACTGATCTTTTTGTAATCAACAAAATTTTTCTAAAATTAATCATTGCAAATCAGTTGTTTCTAATCAGTTTACATTAAATACAGATTAACATGTACAGTTAGTTTTCTTTATACCTAACTATTTGTATTTTGAGTTTTTTTTTATTCATTTGAAGATTTCATGAATAAAGCATTGTTATTATAAGTAGTATAATATTCAAATATCTAACTTGATAATGTATAGAAGTCCTAAGTTCTGTCCTATGTAATTTATGTAACCAGCTTAAACAACCAAATTAAACCGACTATAGAAAACTACCACTTGTATAAAAGATACGTAGATGATATTTTTATCATTTATGACAACAAATATGATTTGAGTCATCTAAATACGTTTAATAACTGTCATTCAGCAATAAATTTCACATTTGAAGTTGAAAACAAACAAAATATTCACTTTCTTGATGTGTGAATGACAAGAAAACAAGACGGAACTCTAAGCAAATCTATCTATAGGAAACTCATGTGGAATGGCCAACTATCAAGTTCCCACAGCTGGGTCCCCATTAGTCGAAAAAGAAACTTAATATTATCACTCGTTACGAGAATACAAAGAATTTGCAGTCCCGAGGCCACAGATGACGAACTGGGTATCTTGAAGGAAATACTTATCAAAAACGGGTATACTTCGATGTTCATTGATAAGAACATAAAACGGAAACCACCGAAAACAAACGACTTCAGTCAAAAAGAAAACATTATACATAAACATCGACTTTAAGGGTGATAGAGCCACATACATCTTAAAGCGGAGAATTACTGATTCTTTATGAAGAGCGTTCTTCGCATCAATATTGGAAATAGTATTCTCCAGCTGATCATTGTTCACCAGTAATCTTAAGGATAATTTATCGCATCTGACCAACTCAATGTGCATTTACCAATTTACCTGCTCGTGTGGAGCCAGGTATATGGGTCGTTAGATGCGTACTTTATCCAAAAGAATTCAAGAACATTACCTGGCGTGGCTAAAAAGAGGAGGAAACGGCTCAATACGAAGCTCAATAATCAAACATCTTGTCAAAATAGGTCACTCAATCAAGACCGACTCTGAGTTCAAAGTCGTCCACAAGGTAAATAGAATTTTTCCAAAGACAATTAAATTGCATCTTCTTAGCATTGCCGAAGTAATAGCCATACATCTGGGAAAGCCAAAATTGCGTGTCCAAAAGAGATTGGTACAACCTCTTCATCTACCATGGTCGAGCGTAAACGCTTGACTTCTAGACTACTGAACCGGCATCTATTGTTGTTAACGTCTAACTTCAACCAATCTACGATATTGCACGACCATCACACTCGACATGGTTGAACTTCACTGGTAACAGCCTCTCACTAGAATTCAGAGAATTACCTCTCGAAGTTAGTCACTAGTGAAACCAAAACTATTTTGGTATTGTCATACATAAATAAAAAGTCTAAAATAAAATACCATATAAAAGAGCGAAAGAAACATTAACTGACTTTAACGAAATTTGGTAAATATGTACTAATTGAATACAAGTTATGCGCCATTATTTCCCAATTACCAAGTTGACAATTTTCAATTGTTTCTTTACTCAAATGTTCAATTTGTTCTATACTGGTACGAATAAGAGCTAATGAGCTCTCTAAATTTTGTACATTTGATGAATATGAATTAGTTCGTTTTGATTGATTAACACTGCTAACTGATACAATAGCATGATTTAAATCATTGAGTAAATTTTTAATAGTTTTCTGTATTTGATCACATGTAGATAAACCAGGAACATTTTGCCTGAAATAATAATAAGATTAAAGTGAGGAAAATAAAATAGAATAATGCGTTTTCAAAAATGATTTACATTTTCAATCAATAAGTTTTTTTGTTGGTATCAAGACATCGCAAATGGTTACTAAGATACGAAAATTGCAAAATGACGTTATAAATAGGCAGATAAAGAATAATATATAGCATCAAAAAGAGGATGCAATCTTAAACACAGCTGACAAGCATCCACAACTTTTCATCAACCGTCATATAATAATAATAATAATAATAATAATAATAATAATAATAATAATAATAATAATAATAATAAACTTCATTAGTGTCTAATGACAAACTCCCTTGGATTATTAAAGGTGTGTAGGATCTACCATTTACATGGAGATTTTATCATACAGCTACCCATTTAATAATTCCTATCATACAAACTGCGTTAATTGACTTCAAGTAAGAAACAGTCATTACAATCAAGGAAGACTAAGAGTAGATGGTATTTGAAAATAAGATTAGACAGATGGTTCTTCGAAAACGGTTGAAGGATAACTTTAAATCTATAGTTCGCTTAGGCATAAAATCTAGAACGAACAAGAAAGATTTAACTAGACTATGGAGATGTAATTGTTGACAATGATTTATTGGCTTACATGTTAGAGGCCCGAAGAGTTATCTGTTTAGCTGAATAGATATCCAAGAATAATTAATTGGAGGGTTAGTGTCTTAGAAACATATCTCCTTCAACCCACTATTGTAATTTATCATGTTTATTTTCAGGTAATATTTTTTATATCAGTGTGTCATTTTACTACATGAAAAACCCATTAATCTGTAAAATAATCTTGTCTTCAACTTCAAATAATTCGAGGCTTTGTCTCAATAACTCAGTCACATAAGCAAAGAGCACACGGCCACAAGTCGGATCACTATTTATCATCTACTGAACAGAATTATTTTCAATTCATTTTACACTTTCATTCATAAAATCATAAAACCCTGCTTCATAACACTGATTTAATGTGGACGAATAAACGGATTCATAATTATCATAAAATCCTGATAAGATATACATAAATGAATATTTCAAAGCATTTAATACTACTTAAGTAGCAAAATCGAAGCGAGATCTCTGAAGTCCAATATTAGCTACAATCCAACTACTCTATAAAGAATCTTTGAAACCATTAAATAAAAATTCCTAGGTATCTGAAAAGGGATAATTTAGTACTCCACTTCCAAAGTTATATAAAAGTAGAAAAAGCTAAAAAATACCAACCGAGACTGACTAACTAATTTTATTATTATTAACTCATTCAGCAGATACAGAACTGTGTACTTGACATCGAGACAAGCTCTAAGTGTGAGGTCAGTGACACTAACTGGTTGCTTATATCGCAGTAGGTGGAGTGGGTTTATGGCTTGCGACTGTAGGTAAAATTCAAATCCCTTAACTAATGAGCCACTGTCCCACTGAAATTAAACAGTACTAACTGTTAAGTGCAGACTATACTAGAAAGTAACTTAAATATGAGTCACTATGAAACCAGGTTTAAAAATTTATTTGAATATAAAAAACAAGATATACACTTATAATTAATTCAATGAACACAAGTTGAACATGTACGCATTTATGTTTACAACTTATTAACTGCAACTCGCCGAACAAACAGGTAACAACAAACAGATAAATATGAAGATAAGTCATTCAATTTACCCTATCTAATACAATCAAGCTACTTCATATTGAAAAAAAACTTGTTTATCTACCCAAAATATGTTTGAATGTAATAATCATAATTGGAATGAATAGAATACACTAGATACTGAAAGTTAAGCATGAAAATAAAATTAAAGTAAAATAACGATTGAAATACATGGTTGTTTGTTTATTAGTAATAAATAAGACGACGATAAATGGAAAAATTAATGACTATATATGAGGTAGTGATCATAAAACCAGATGTTGGTTGTATTTTCTGCGACAAGTTTAACAGTGACAATGACATCAATTTCTAGTGAAAATAACTTTTAATTGAACTAGTTACCACTAAATCATCAATAAAAACGGTTAACATGAATTGTCATCTGTGTGCATATGTGTATTACTAAACATTTTCTTTTGTTTAAAGTAGGATTACGAGTGTAATCATTAAAGAAAGATATGTATGCATGCGTGGATACATGAACATAATTACTATTTTCTGTTTCTAACATTTACTGCTTTTTATAAAATTGGAATAAAAGTTAATCGTCTTATTGAGAGAATTCGGAACTATAATTCCATAGTTATGAAACACACATTGATAGATTTTATTTTGATAATTATAACATCAGATTTTTCAAAAAATGAATGTAGTTGCTTACATTAATTAATAAAGCTATTATGGCTCCAAAAAGTAACTTTATTGAGAGGAATACTAAGTAACTAACTCCAAGTGCAAACTTGGACATTATTTATTTACACCTGTTACCCCTCATAAAGCGTATGCCACGTATCACAGATTTCTAACCAACTCTGTTCTGGACCATCTATCCCAAGTATTATTAATTATTTTGATGTCTGCCTCTGTAATATGTTCTTTGATGAGAATTCTAAGATAGGGCTTGTTTTGCGATACAGTTTAGTGATTTCTATAATGGGTATCCTCCTCACCTACAGTGTCTTTTACTGACTTCCTCGTCAGCTAATATTTGTATTAGATCCAGATTTGTAAAAGCTTCCACATCTTCCAGAGCTTCACCATCAGGTGAGATTCGGTTTCTGCTCGCTGTGTTGTATTTCAAAATCTTGCCTTTTCCCTTATGAATGTTTAGGCTGACATATATAGAGATCACTGCTATATTGGCTGACTTGATCTGCATTTGTTGCTGAGTATCGGATAGAAGGGTCAAGTCATTTTTAAAGTTCAAATCGTCCAGCTGCGTCCAAGCTGTTTATTGTGTCCTATGCACCTCCTAAGATATGGAGGTTTTCATTAAGTCAGAATAACGAGATGGGAGTGTAAAAACAAATATCAGGGTAACAGACGAAGTCATAGTATCGGTGGTAGTTGAAAAAATACCACCACATCCTAGTCATAAAGTCACAACATTTCGCGGACTGGTGGCACAACTTGGTATGGCTGCTCATGGTTTTCCTTCATATTACTCCCACATCAACATTGTGCTTCGAGGTAAGAGAAAAATAACTGACTCAATCTGAAGATACGAACCAGTGAATTCCGACTTATTGGTTTGACGGTGCCATACTCGTTAAGAGACCTTGAAGATCCTCAGTATCATTTGTCGTGGGATCACAGGTACACATTGCTACAGAGTCCTCAATTATAACAATAACAACTATTTAGTCCCGCATGGCTTATTTTGATTGTTCTCAGGATGTTGTCAGTCAGTTTTGGAAAACTTGTATAAAGTCCTAATTAAAAGTCAAAATAACCAATAAAATCTCAGTTTCTTTCGAACGAAGATAATATACAACATACTGACTTTGTGAATAAACCTATTAAATCATGTCCCATGGAAGTTAACTACAACAGTAATAACACAAAAACAAATTTGTCTAATATTTCACACTAGTGAATATCATCATCAAAACCTCTTCTGATAATACAGTACTCTACAACTAAAAAACTACTTACCGTAAAGTACTAAGTAGATTTAAACAAGATTCATGTAAATTATGTCGACCATCTTCAAAATTAGATAAACCAGTTCTATCATTATTGGCATTATTATTATCATTTAATTTTGTTTGTATATTCTGACAATGATTATCAATTATTTGATGACTAGAATCGATTAGATTTGCGATACATTTGGCAACAGTTTGTCCACATTTTAATACAGGTATTTGAAGCTAATATGTTGATCATGTGTATATGAAGTGAAAAAGAAGTAAGGAAAAAAACAGTGAAGAATGTCTTGAACGCATGAATGGATATATATATATATATTACATAAACAGATAATAAACAAGAAATACATTGTAATTATTTATTATGAACTATTAATTATGACTATCATATTATAGGATGATTATTACTAACACACTCTAAGATAAATAAGAAGTTTCGTCTAAATTTGAACGAATAGTTTCACAATATTTGGGCGCCGATTTAATGTGAGACATTAAAAAGAAGAATATATTTGTAAAATCTCAGCGAATGAATTTTAAGTAAATCCAACGTTTCGCCTGGCAATCTGGTCCAAGGTTTTTCAAGGAAAATATAATCAAACAACAAAATTATCGATAATTTTGTTGGCAGGCGAAACGTTGGATTTACTTAAAATTCATTCGCTGAGATTTTACAAATATATTCTTCTTTTTAACAATCTAAGATAATTAACTAATTCACTTCGAAAAAGGGTTATGGAGATTTGAACCAGATACTTTTAAATGTTTAAAAACTCTATAAGTAAAATTATTAAGCATTCAATTTCAGATTCATTTTTGACAGTTTTTAAACAAGATCAAACATTTTTGTTACTCGCTTCGTTTAAATAGGATTGTAGATAATTATAAATAGATGTATATATCATTTCCGGACGATAATAAAGGAATGGCAACTGTTAGGAATTACTTAAGGTCAGTCAGATACAACGTAGGACCAAGCATATATATGCATCTGTCTAGACTGCCACACCTCATTAGCACAACAAGATGAATACCAAATTCATAGAAGTAATTACTACAATGAAGGTAATATATAAAGGTTGAGTATAAGGATATAATACAGGAAGAGGGAATTAGTTCGTAGAAAGAAAGGCGTAAAATAATTTTAACCTCACGGTTTACGGGAAGACAAAGAGTCTATACACCTACGCCATTGTGATCGATTGTGAGCAATGTCACCCAGAGTCTTCAACCCTTTGTTACGATAGTTACACGGACCCCAACCAAGTAGTTTGCATCTACCAAAATGGCTCAGATTAGAAGTTAATGACTTCAATCACTGATGCCACGTTTTGGTTTGGCCACCCCTAGATTTATGTACTTCTGAGATGCGCCTTTCAGTGACAGGCACTGCCACAGAAACTCTCGGTCTACAGCGTTCAAGGCCGCTTTTAAGTCAAGAAAGACCACGATTGTCGGACGACGATAAGCATGCCTGTGTTCTAGAACCTGATGAATGGAAATTACTTATGAACTAAAACTATACGCGCATTCTTATTATATGACTATTAAGCGACTATATTGTATGTATATTCATATTCCTTTCATTATAAGCTTTTATTTGTCGTATTTAGTATTATCATACGATTTACTATGGGTTATTTTAATTATCGATTTACTATTCTTGAGATATTCCCAATTTATTAGTGACAAATTCTCACAACCACAGCCACTTTTGACTAGATCTTCCACAAACGTTATTTTCTATTTTACGGTGTGATTTGTTTGTATGTAAACTCAGTATGATTGAAATATATGATTTATATCTCGGTGGTGTTCTTGACTTAACAGGGAGGGCTAGAAGGAAAAACGACCAATAGAAACTCAAGGTTGCTCGTGCTGGTGTATGCGTCATTAGTTTGGTTGTATAATTCAGTGTATCTAAATTGGCAACCGTATTTCGAGGTATCGTATAGCATAAAAACATAACAGTAGACAAGTTTCAATGTGATCATTGATATTAAAAGCTCTGATCTTCATTTTTACCTAGTGGAAAACTTAAAGTGTGTAATATTGGAGTTTTATCATTGAAAGTCAACTTAAAGTGGCTCTAAAAGATAAGCGTCCATCGAGAGACATGAATGTCCTGGGTGCTCAACGGTGAGGAGTCTCATACCAAGACAAACCAATTGTTCAGTGCTCTTTGGTCTTTTAACAGCTGAGATTAATCAGCTACAAATATAACGTAGAAAAGTACTTACTAGAGGTTATACATTCTTTCGTATTTCGAACAAACAAAGTTTAATAAAGTGTGTTAAGTAGTTATTTTATGGTGGATGTTTCTTTGAAGAGCTTTGGATACTCAATATGCTGTTAACTTATAGAAATATTTAATGAAGTTCATTTAAAATACAAATTTGAACACAACGTTATCTTAATAATTAATCGTAAACTATATATTGTTTTAACAGTGTAAGAATTAAGTAATATTTCAGAGCTCAAGCAGGCAAATAATAAGTACTTCGGTTAAGATTTTTCACACAGATATATTCATTCATAACCGATTGAAAAGGTATGTTGCTAGGTCATTTAAATTTGAACGAGGCATAATAAACACACAAACATGTGACGTGTATTTCCAATCCGGTGAGTCATGAGATAGACAAACAAGCGGGATGCATCCACCCAATCATATATTCATACATCAATCAAGGGGTGAGTCATTAAAAAACAAAATAACTAACGTCTATTGTTGATATACCAGGTTTTTGTGTATGAATACAGCTTAGAGTAAAGATCAAACTCATTAACCGGGACGTATAAAGAACAAAAAAACCATTTATGATCACTTAAATAAAAATCCTTAAGTATATAGTGTATTTTCTGTTCAGACATTCAATTTAATATAAACTCAGTATAAGGAACCAAACAGTTTACTAAGCCTTACCGAAACATTAGTTACAAACCGTAGCAAGTATAGGGCTAAAATAAAACTTGACCAAAAAACTAATGTTTACAAATAGAAGATATATTTGTCAAAGATAACGATTTCTTTCATTATCCAACATTATTTCAAAGAAGATCAAATCAGATAATAAAAACACAGTGTAGACAACAGTTGATAAATTTGGAAATAAAATTATTACGGATTACTATCAAATAATAGTCATCTTACAAGCATACAACCAACACGACGCAATGAAATATTATTATTAATGTTGAAGACATACCTCGTAAGTTTCTTCAGCTAAATGAGCAGGTGAACCGGCAGCATCACGAAGTAATAAATCAATGTATTGATCAACATCAACTTCTAGTATAGATGATGCTGAGCATAGTTTATGAATTATATCGGTCGTACCAGATGTTGGATTTGTGTTACGTGAAGTTTTAATTATATTAAATACAGAAGCAGCTGATCGTGCAACATGTTCTAATGACTGTAAATAAATATATAAAATGAATAATAAACTATTAAACACTATTATATTATCAGTAGTAAACGACGAGGCGAATTGTCACATAATTAATTGTAGTGCGAATGTCACATGAAATTGATTTTATTTCCAGTCGTGTGTGTTATGTATTGATATGTTAAGAAGGATTATAGGTACTTGATTGTATAATATTGTAAATATTTATCCACACAGTAAGGTAATGAATTATTATTGTTATATCCAACTTAATTCAATTTAGACAAATCTGACTGTTAATCTAACTGTAAATAAATCATAGAAAATGTGAAGTATTTTTAAATCACTTTGATTTCTTTTGGGAGTCAAATAAATCTATATCACCAGACTTCGCACCTTTTTCGACGGCGTTCAAGTTGCTCTGTAGATTCAGTTCAAGGATATTAGAAGCGACCAGAAAATCAAATCGAGCGTCCATTAATAAGATTTTTCAGTAAGTGAATAATTGGTTGAAGTTAGACATTAACACCGTTGGATGCCGACTCAGTGGTCTAGAGGTTAAGCGTTCGCGCGCGAGACCGATAGGTCCTGCGTTCAGACCTTGCGGGGCGGGATCGTGGGTGCGCACTGGTGAGGAGTCCCATATTAGGACGGAACGGCCGTCCAATACTCCCAAGTTTTCCGTGGTAGTGTAGCTGCAATCAACTCATGAATTCAACTACTGAATATTTATTTAACAGCAACTGTATAAAATTAGCTGACTTTCATATGTTAAGTCGAAGTCTGTATGGACTAAGTACAGTAAATCAGATATTTATTCATAAATACGAAGACTATTCGTGTTAATGAATTAAAAGTTTATGATTCTATCTAGAACGTCAATGAGTGTCCAAGTTGGATCATCCCATACAGAGAAGAGAAAATATCACCAAAAGTGAAACAAATTACTTGCAAAAAAAGGTTCATATACCATTTGTTCCTTCAAGATCCCGTAGCCTTTGTGCACCATCAGTTCGTAATCAAAATTTTCCAATTCCTCTCAACTTCGTAGAATAACACCCTAACAGCGAGAAGGCAGTGAACAAAACTTCCCTGACAGTGGCTATATACTCGTGGTCACATGAGCATAACTTGAAAGGGAGAGTTCTCTTATCCCACCATCAACAGTACCAAGGCATTTGATTTTATATGACATACGATACAATAAATGTGAGTGATAACTCAGTAGTTTATCAAAACTAACTTAAAGTACAGTGAGTAAAGTCCTTAGTTAGGCATTAGACAAGCTTGTGAGATAAATGACTGCAATCTAGACTTCTTCAGAATCCTTGTATGTTATATTAACATTAAAATTGTCCTTGATATTTTGAGAGATCGCATAAAATGTTCGATACATGTATACACAGGAATAAAAAAATCCCAGATGTAATTTCTTATTCTAAAGCACCTATCAATATATTAATAATACGAATTCACTACATAAAAAGTGCTTACATCAGCTAAACGTCTTTTTTCAGATAGATTTTTGATTTCAGACAAATAAGGTCGTGTTGTTTGACATAATTGTGTAGCTCTTTGTGCTAAATGATTAGCAGTAGCTAAAATCTACAAATCGATAAAAAAAGGCGATGATTATTAGAAAATGCGACAAACATTCACCAGAAATACAACTGTAGATCAAAAAATAGCAGAATAAATAACTGTCATGCAATAATAAAACAATAAAATAGTACCATATTTCCGTAATGGCATTCTCTAATAAGTCAGCTTTACCAATTATTTCATTCACAGTAAAATATATATTGTTAGTTTATCAATTCTATATTTCTTCTTTATTAAGGCATATTCGGTACTTTACTACTGTTGTGTTATACATTACTTGGCTATTGTGAGGCGGCACAAGTGAAAATGGATAAAAAAAACGATTAAATAGTTCATTTAGTGAATAAAGCTAGAAAAACACACTACATTAATTGTTCTTACTTTGGTCAGGCATAGCGACGGTAGCTACTTAGTAACTGATAACATCAATACACATGGAACTCGATAAATGTTGTTTGGCTGAATTAAATCCTTTGAAAATTTAAAACTAACTTTGAAAGCAAACAGAATTATATATTAATGTAGTATTGACAAGATTTTTTGGAAACTTGGAAAGAGTAAACATCAATTGTCAATTAACAAACTGAGCTAATTGGTTCAACACTTTAAATTATTGGTGAAGTGATTAGCTGTTTGTTAAAAAAGAACTAAAACCCTGTAGCTATATAAATAAATAAATAGTATTTTGCCAGTGAATGACACTTTTTTTATTATCGACAAGCGTATAATGTATAAAATATTCAAAAATCAATAGTCAAAACGTTTCCTCATCCATTTAAAAATAAACATACTTCTAAAGACGGAAGTCCTTTGGATGAAGCTTCATTTTGAGATTGGCATATTTCGCTAACACTTTTACGAATAGCTGCTACATGATCATGTATCGTAGTCAATTGGTCAGATGACCTGAAACGAGTCACATGACCTGGTCGTGAAGCTGGATGTGCTGCAGCAATGAGATAAGCAGCTTGATAAGTAATTTGTACTAAATGGTTGGTGACTTGTGCTAAACCTTTGACAGATTGGATGAATAATCCAGCTTTATTATCAGTTATAGATGACGGTATTTCATTTAAATGTGTATTAAATTCCTTAAATCAATTAATTCAAAGATAAATAATACAAATGTTAAATTATATTCATTAATTAAAATGTATTGTTGATGAAGAACAATGATAATAAAGCGAAGAAAAACTTCATTTCAACCTGATACATTCTGTCTGCATGAAACCCAAACGAATCTGTACCAATGATACAACCGTTATAGAAGTTCATAGACAGCATTAGATACTCGTCAACAATGGATATTCACCTAGATTCACTGAATAAATTCTGAAGGCAAAACAAAAACGCGAAAGTGTCTATATCACTAAAGAGGACTCTCTTAATAGAAATTCCGTTTAAAGGAGATATTGCAGCAGGAAGTTTGGAAAACAAACTTTTGAGGTCTCTGAGGAAAAACATTCCATTGGGTTGAACTTCGTAGTCTTCTTCAGTCGGACTATGATTGTTAGTTGCATGAAGGACAAGCTCCTACTTCGGGTTAAATAAGTGTGTATCTAAGACTTCGCTTGATCATGTACAACAGATTATAGTGGCACCACAAAGCGAGTTCATTCGGAACGCGCCTTCGAACATTAACCTGATTGGCCATCTAAAGGACTGCAAAAGTCAATCAAAAGCTCAATTCTGAAATATCTGTTTGATTGTAGTCACTTTCCTTCACCTGAGTCCTTAAAAATTAATCACAGTTTGTAGAATCAGTTCTAAAATAATACAAATAAAAAACTTATGTAAACTAGAGGGCATAGCTAACTTTTGCGTACGAAAACAGTATCTTTAACCTCTCATTCTTCCATGGTCTTGATCTTTCTCTATATTTTCCATAATATATGGGTTTTCTTCTACTCCTTCCCAATTATTTTCCACAAATATTAATCAACCTACATTATCACAAATTTTATTTATTCTGTTTTTTAATAGCTATCATCAAGTGAACAAATACCTTCATTATACGATGGAGAAGTACAACATAACTTCCTCTCAATATCTCAAAATTGTGTAAAATTGGTGACGTGATACTGTAGTGGCTAGCCCTATGTTGAGTAACGTTTAATTTAAGTGAGTTGGCTCACATGCCTTCTTCACCATGCATCATTTCGCCTCGCTCCCTTCTCTTTGCTTCGTTTTTCCGATCTGTCACAGCAACAGAGATTTACTTACGCTATTTTCCTACGAATGATAAGTCTACAGTCACTTCAATGCGCAATGGTCTAAAGCATATACAGTTTAAAACATGTATTAACAGTCACTGAATGACGAATATTAATATAGAAAAGATCAATATCCATCAAATAAATGAATAAGATTAGGAGAGAAGCATTGTACTTAACAAATACTCCATCTTACAATTTAGATTTGTTATTTTATTTAACAGTAAATTTGAGCAAACTACACATCTTACCTTATCAATATCGCATACTGCATCACAACATTGAGGATAATTCAAATCATTGATTGGTAAGAGTATAGGACAAAACGTGCTATTTCTATCTGCTGTTTCAGGAGAATTCCCTTTATCTTCATTGTACACATTTGGATGTATCAAGCTGTCTAATCGATGGAGTAATACATCACATTGATTACGCATATGCATAGACGTTTCAGTCAATTTGGCTTCATTTTCACTATTATTGTAATTGCTTATAGTTAGTTGACTGTTATCATCATCATCACCATCATTTTGTTGAACACCATCGTCCATGCGAGATGAAAATGTTTGTTCTTTAGATGTCACAGCCTTTTGATCTAATTCTAAAGCCCAATCTCTTAATTTTCTATGTAATAAATCAATTAATTTAGAAATATACAATAAAATGTCGACAATGTAATACAAAATCTTTGAGGCAGTATGAAACAATCGATTATAAACATACCAGTATGAATATATCAGCGAAGGCGAAATCTTATGCACAAAATGCTAGACAAATATCCATATACGACCAATGATATTTCATACTTTAAATTTTAAAAGCAACAAATAGTAAGTTTTATTCAAGGTGCTCCTATTTGGCAAACAAAACTTAATATGAACAGATTGTAGTCAAATTGACTTGATCTAAAAAGAATAGCAACTAATCGGGTAATTAAATAAAAATAATATATTTGCAATATCCCAATGAGTAGAAAATTGGATTTTCTGACGTTTCGTGGCTTAGTGTAAGTCACTTCTTCAGAGAATAAATTTGGTTATTTATTCTCTGAAGAAGTGACTTACACTAAGCCACGAAACGTCAGAAAATCCAATTTTCTACTCATTGGGATATTACAAATATATTATTTTTATTTATAACAATCAACCCAATGCTCAATTTATTCGAAATTATCAAATCAAACCTTGGTAATGACACCTATAATCGGGTAATTGGTTGTTCGTCAGTAAAATTATTTAGCTTGTTGTATCATTCATAAATAGCCTTCAGGGAATTAAGCTGGCAGTAGGATTTAGAGCCGCGTAATTTATTTTCATATTCAGAGAGGTATTTAGATCATAACTGACTTTATTTTCTAATTAAATAAATCATTTACTTCAGCACAAAGATTTGACAAGAAAATCAAATCACCACTACGAATAACGAATGTGAATGAATAAAAATGGATAAAACAAGAATATAAAATATGAAAACAGAGTGTTAAAATATTCTCACAAAATTTACAACCTCATTTCTTATTTACTGGTTAGATGAATTCACACTCGAAATACAAATCATTCATTAAAAGTTCACACTAGTTTATCTCTTTTGAACTTGAAGACATGAATTAATTAAAAGCTTAAAAATAAGATACTTCTGTCTTACAGTGATAAATTTGAAGATAAAATCTCTATTTGAAAAACAAAATTAAAACTCAGTGCTTTTAAACAATGATATGCCCGCTGTGAAGCATAAAAATCTTCGATTCAATCTACAACAGGGTTCTTTATTAGCTGTGCACCAATGTGGAGTTTCAAAGTCAGAAAAAAGCAGATCTCCATTATTTTAATCGTTTAAAGATCCTCATCAAATTAAAAGACTAATATTTGAACAAAGAATATTCTTTTCGTTAAACTTTCTATTTTTCAATCTTCAAAAATTAGGTAGCTTAAGTCATCTTATGATATACACTAGGAAAAATAAGATTACCATTGATGAAGATGTATGTGCATAAATTGAAATGAATAAATTTAATCTGTAAACCTAGAAAATTAGAACATTAAAAAAAATTACCTTGTTTACTTAGTTATTCATTATACTTTGTGATAATAATCACTTTTTAATTTTGTCGAATTGTTAATGAATTCAATGGTTTGAACGAAGCCTTATATATATATATATATATATATATATATATATATATATATATATATATGTAATTGCATAATGAACTAAATCAATTTTGACCACACAATCATAAATGTGGATATCAAAGGTTTTTGAATCATAGATTATAAAAGTATATATATAGACTGGAATTTAGACAAACTAGTTATAATGTATGCAAATAAATTTGTGAAATGTTTATATATGCTTAAAATGGTAAAGAAACAGATTAGATAGATAAAAAAGAATAAACAAAATCAGTTCACCTATAATGTATCAGTTTTTCTTTCATTTGTTTTTGATCAAACTAACAACAAAAAATTGAAATGATCATTTCTGTTAAAATCATCATTAATAAGACTGAGATGTATTGTTAAATGTCATTTGTAAATTAAAGATGATCGGAAGATTTGACGGCACCATTATCGGTCAACTGGTTTCACAGTACTGGACGGCGTAATATCATGGACTGAATAAAGTAAAACATTAACACCGTCCAACATTAGCTCATTGGTTTAGACGTCCGCACACTACTCAGGAGTCTCATACTAGAACAGAAAGACCGTCCAGTGTTCACACTTTTACGGATAATTTTAAAAAGTAATAAATGAAACGTCGGCTAATATTGTAAATTGGAAAAAAATAATTTTAACTGCAATAAAAATCAAGCTACTTACAATAATGACTTGGCAAGTGTTAAATTTGCTGACGGTATACCAGAATCATTTTGACTTGACTCTAAGGTACGCATTGCATATTGCAGTCCATAAGCAACAGGTTCAGCGGCTTGATTAAAATTATTTAATAAATGACCAATAGAACGTAGTTGTGCACTACGATAACCAGCAGCACGTACTACGTCAGCTACGGCACCAGTCAATCGATCAGCTATACAAGCTAATAAAATTAGATTACTCTGTGAACCAAATGATGATTCAATTTGTGATGGTTTCATTTTACCAGAAACTTCATAGCTAACACTTAAACAAGTCTAAAATGAAGTACGAAAAATAAAAAAACCTTTTATAACTAATAAGAAATATGTATATAGTCATCGAAATTTTACAAAAACTATGAACGCATTGAATAACTTTGGAATACTATTAGTATATTCACCTTTATACTATTATTTTCTGTAATATATCTACACTGTCATTTGCTTGTTTTAATGATCTGACAACTAATTTACATGGTTCGACATTATACAATGGAACAATTAATTGATTATAAGATATCACTATGTTAGTAAAGCAACGATAATTCACCTGTTGTCAACGTCTAAAAACACTACCTTCAGTGATTTCGATATGCTTTACGAATATGATACCACCAGCTTTCATACAACACATTATTTCAAGATACTGGGACTGAGAAGGGAAGATGAAGTAAAGTAGGCAGCTTTATTTTATCAAGACAGTACTGACAATCAAGAGAAGAAAATAATACGATTCAACCGAAATATCAATTCGGTGAGGAAATTAGTTTTATACTGAAACTGAAAAAGTGCCCAACATTGAGTTGACTCGATAAAATTTGTTAGTTATGCAGTTACCACAGTATCGGCATTTTCGCTAATTGCTGTAATAATCCAGTAATTTTGTCAATACATATCCATTCAATTGTACAAAACTTAAAGGAATTTATTGAAAATCCAATCAACAAAAGTTGCTTATCCTATATTTAATTGATGAGGGGAGATAAATGCTGTATAATTAAAACTTCTTATGCAAACATGTCAATTACGCAAATAAATATTTAAAACTGCAAAGATGATTTACACTAAAGAGAAGTATTTAGATAAGACAGTTAATATGTGTAATAGAAGTGAATCGATTTTATTATTATAATAGGTAATAACTTGAACAATTACTTTCAACCATCTAATAAACAAACAAATAATGCTGATTCCTTTAAACTGGTGCCCTCATTTCATATTACTCGATATAATCCGAACAACCCCAAGTTCTATATAAACCAGATAATGATTAATACTTACTCATCAAGTAGTATATGCATTTCAATCTTACAAGAAATCATTGGTAACTTCTATGACTGAAGCAATGAGTCTCGATGATTTTGACTCCACGTGAACCATCAGTTTCTTTAGTATTGCCGATAGGCATTGGTGACAAGTGCCAGTTAGGACCAAATCTAGGTGAAACATTTCCTGTCAACAGTCCTTCAACTACTTAATATTAATAAACGTCAATGACAGTTAAGTATTCAATCGAATAGATCAACATATATCTCACTTCCAAAAGAATAATTTTTGGTAATAAAAATAAAAATATTTTGATTACCAAACAGAAATAAAAGAACATTTACATTTCTAATATCAATCAAATAATAAAATGAACAACAGTGTCTTTTTACTTTAAAATAAACTTATTTACACTGTCAATTCAGAAAGCTGAATATCTATACAGAACTGACAATTTTCATTTGTTTATTTTTCTCTTTATTCCTTTATAAATATTTATCTCATTAAAATGAAAAAAGCGAGATATAACTATTCATCTGTGAACTTTAGATATAAACATTGAATTTTGATTTATTTATTATGCTAATAACAAAATATTATAGAAAGCCAAGTGACAATAATTCTGATTAAACTTACACGGGCAAGTTGTTTAGCTGTTTCACTTATTTGTTCATAAATGTCTACAAGTGGTAGATTTGATGAACGCATAAGTATGGCTGGAGGTGATAATTCATATGAGGATAATTGGTTAGAATCAGATTTTTGGCTATTAGTTAATTCTGAGGTTTCGTTTGTTGACATTTCCACTATTCTAGAAGCATCCTGAAGTAGTGCAAATAAACGTCTTACAGTCACTTCACCAGGAATATAACCTAATACAGCATTAATTGATGTATTCAACTGTTTAAAAATTAAAAACAAGAAATACCATTAAGGGTGAGATATATATATAATAAAGAGTTCATAATTAAGCAATTTTATACAAACAAAGATTATACGAGAAGTATGTTTATCAAAACATATGTTTAAGTCATAAATAAATCCTTTACCATAGAAATCCAGTCAAGAGTGTCAAAAACGGAATGATTCCAGTCATTATTAATAATGATATAAAGAACAGCTCCGTTTAACAAATTAGTACCTATCTGAACTGAACCGACTAGTGGATAATCCACAGAGCATCTGCAGCAAAAATACAAGATTCAAGTCCCAGTAGGAGATATTAACACCTAAACCCAAATGCATTCAGTCAAACTGTTCTAAATACGATGAAACACGCGTTTATGATTTTATCACTAGTCGAAATCCATCTATTTTACAACAATATCATTATATTTGATAGTATCATTACATCACGAAGTCATGTTATTCATAAATGATTATCATTACCAATAATCTTAACTGTTAACATATACAAATCTGAACTGAGAAGTAGAAAAGAAGTACTTGAACACTATTAATTAAATTTCATTTAAACTGCATGATTATGTTCAGTAATTAGTACAGTATTGACAGAATATCAATTGCTCTAATTATCAGATAGTTCTGAGTTACGGTGATTGAAAAATCAAATGGACGTTTGTCACAAAATGAGGACAAATGCAGAATTACAATTTTTAAAAAATAAATTAATATTTCCATGAGCTGATCAGAGACAATGAAACAAGGATGTCGAAATATTGTTTCTTTCATTTAACAAACAACTTTACCAATTCATTTTTTTTCGTTTCAGTGCCTGTTACTCCTCGTACAGGAGCATAAGCCGCCCACTAGTACTCTCCATCCTGCCCTGTCCTGGGCAATCTTTTCCCGTTGTTATCCATCCTTTTCATATCCGATTCTATTTTCCGACGTTATGTGTTCTTTTGCCTTCCTCTTCTCCGCTTCCCTTCAGGATTCCAAGTTAGGGCTTGCCACGTGATGCAGTTTGGAGATTTCTTCAATCTGTGTCTTAGCCACTTCTAGCGTTTTTTTTCTGATTTCCTCTTCAGCCGGAAATTAGTTTGTTGTCTCCCACAGAAGGCTGTTGTTGATGGTATCTAGCCAATGGGTGTTGAGTATCGTGCGTAGACAACTAATTATAAATACTTTAACCTTCTTGATGATGGTTGTAGTAGTTCTCCGCGTTTCAGCTCCTTACAGTAGGATTTTCTTGACGTCCGAAATGAAGATTCCGACTTTGACACTGGTTGGCAGGTGTTTAACAATGTTTGAACAAATATACAAACTGATTTTATATTCAGAGGTCATTACAAACTATTGGAAATAAAGCCATGGAAAAATATTCATCTACTGAACTCATCACTTTATAATGCTTTCTATTTTTTATCACGAAAGTAAGATAAAGGAAGGAAATGATATATAAACCATTTCGGTCATGTTTCAGATAGTGACGTTTTACAATTACATTCATAAGCAAATCTATTTTTGTATTTTAATAGGCATCTTTGTCAAACTCGCTTTGTAACTGATACTAAAGACTAGATGTTAGAGTATCGGATGGACAAAATAAGGTGTTGATTAACAAATAATTGACATGTATTAATTCATCTCAATTCGTAAATCTCAGGCATTTAGAAAGACTAAAAGAAGTCACTGTTCATCAATGTTTACAAACGGAACATGAGTTTATGCTGACTGATAAATTATATAGATAAGAAAAAATGAACCGAAGTAGCGGGATATAATATAAAAGAAGCAATTCAATATTAACAATAAGACAGTATAGAAAACTAAATATGACCGATAGTCAAAGCTGATTGATAGATAGATAGAAATTTAATTTAATAGTAAAATAATTCTGAGTTTCACAAACACACTATTTAAATCAAGTAGTTATTTTACTATGAACACGCAAGTAGGTGTGAGGTGTAGTGGTTGAAACATTTAGTCAGTTGCAACGTAGAAACTGGTACGCATTTACATAGATTTAAGTTGCCATAACCCATTTGCAGAATCAGATGTAATTGACAGATCAAATACCAGAATAGTTGAGGGAGTAACAGCATGAGTGGTGATTGAAAAGACTAGGGATCGAAGATACGACTCAAGAAAATATAAATAAGTGAAATAAAAATAGTAAAAGGAGTTATTAGGAATTAAGAAGCTCAGAATTTGGAGGAAGACGGAGAATGAATACATTCAAATATTGCAGGTTTAAAACCTAGAACGCCTATATTGATCTGTGCAACCTAAGTAGCATTAGCACCACTCTGATGAATCAATACGTCAGTGGTAACCAGCATAATACTAATCAAAAATGTGCATCAACATAAATTGTCACAGTATAGAAGCACAGAGAGACGAACTCAACACAAATAGTTTAACGTAAATTCGAGTGCAAATCGCATTATGAAAAGTTGATAATTTACAAGTAGTAATAAATAATTAAAACAAAACAACAACAACAACAACCAGATACTCACCTGATCAGCAGTCACTCCAGCATCTTGCAGTTCATCATCGGGAATAGTCGTCTGTGAATTGTGTCTAAGTGCCCATGTAATAAGTTGACCACAGGCAACAAGACAAGTTTCAGCTATTGACATTAAATTCTGATGCATAACATTTGCAGTAATTTGAGTTTGCTGTTCTGAATTTGATAGACTTGAATTAGTATTATTCTGTTCTATCACGGTAGAGCAAACAGATATACTGCTTTGACGTTTTGATGCAACACCATGAGATACATTGATGACCCGAGCTAAATCTTATTTTTGAAGAAAAAAACGAACAAAACAAATACAATGAGAGAATTTTGAAGGTATGCGCAAAATATAACATAAAAAATGTCATCGTATGAGAAAATTAAATATTTATCTAAATTACTAGAAATCGATCATTTCCAACGAATGTTTGAACAAAATTCCGCACAACTATCTGTTTACATTAGTTCCCATTAGATACGAGTGGTATTTGTACATTACATTTATCTACCATATTAAGGAAAGACACTTGTGTTGTTAATCATAGCAAATTTCCAGAGAATACTTTTATCCTGGTAAATGATTTTCATGAACATAGTTACCTTAAAGAACAATATGTATAGTTACATTGTTTTCAATTAACGTATCTGAGTGGATCAACAGTACATATTATTTGAGTAATAATTTATAAATCTGTTTTCTCACTAAAAATCCTCTATTTATGATTGTTCCTTTCAACTAACGTGAGGTTTGAAGATTGAGAATCGGGGTTTTCTATGTGACCAGAAAGAAAAAACGATGATTTTAATGAATGATCCCAGAGAGTGAATATTTCCTACACCTGACATCTATTTATGCTAATATCATATTTCAAGGGAGCTGTGGTATCGATACTATTGATCTTGTCCGATCGTGCTAAAATTCCTTTTTTGGGAGCAAGCATCTCCATATTGCGGCTCTGATTGTGGTGAGTATTGTGTCTAGGTATACAGCTTGTAGCTAGAACTCATAATCAGTGAGAATATATCAGAAAGTATGCATGATGAATACTTTTATGTGGATTATCTAGACAGCTGTAATTGATATTATGCCAATATTGTTGTAATGGTGAATGAACTTGCTGTAAACACTGAATAAACGCATTCCTGTGTCACTGTTTTTTTACTAGTTCTGGATTGGTAGTTGGGAATAGTTACTTAGACTATATTTCATTCTCGATAAGGACGTGGATACTCCGACTGCGACATCATATAATGACGTGGACAGTAACGGACTATGGATGTTCCTATGTTATTCAGTCAGTTCATCTGACTGTTAATTAATTGCGCCAAACAAAACATTAATAATACTTGTAAATTATATATTCATCTTATAAACACTATGATGAGTAGAAGGGAGTTTACAGAGCTGATCATATGATATGGTGACAAAACTGTAATAGCCTGATAGCCGACAAATAATAATAATAATAATAATAATAATAATAATAATAATAAAACATGACTATCAGGAGAAAGTATAACTCTGTAGCAAAGTGATCAATTTTTTTCTAAACTTACTCGAATCAACTGTTGTTGACTGAGCTGCATTATGAAAATATCTAGCTAAACTACGTATACCGCGTAGTACGGGTCCAAGGTGATACAACAATTCTTGAACAATATTTAATCTGGATTGCATCATTTTTTTCATATTACCTTCATAATTATTACATGTCTCCTTGATACGTTCAATTAACGGAGGAAATTTATGCCAAATTTGTTCTAATTGATTATTTGAATTCATATAATTATTATTAGCATCCGGTAAAGTGAATACTTGATTATAATCAGTTATTGCAGACCATAATGAAACACAGATTGAATCAAGCTGATAATATGAACAAACATAAATTTGGAAGAGATAAAAATATAAAATGAATAAACAAACCTTTTTCACAACCACGAAAAGTAGTGATTGAAAAGAAAACAAAACTTAATTGCTTTTTTTTTTAGAATTAATTGTTTAACAATTACGAAGTCAATATTTCCAAACACCTAGTTCTACTGCTCCTTGGATAGGAGTTAAATTGGTTAAAATTAAGTAATAGATGGGAGAGAAAGTAATAAGTAACATTCCTTGATTACAATTAATACACGTATAGATACACATATAAAGTATAAGAGTTGACTTTAATTACTTCTTTATTACATATACAAGTAGTAAAAGATTGTCAGCTCTAGTGGATGCATTACAAGTTATTGAACTAAATAGATTAATTAGGAAGCTTTCATCGTTATTCTGAATAAAATCATCATGACCTACTTTACGTACAATTGAGCTTCTAACTTCTGACTATGCGTTATTCAATCTTAAGAAACTCTTCAAAAGTGTGAGAAATACATTTAATCGGTTAGCGTTCGCAACGGAACTCATTAAATTCCAGGAACTGAAATAACTATTATTTACATGGCTTATCTATCAAATTCAGGAAACCAATAGTAATAATCGAACTTGATTAGTGCTCCAAAATCTCATAGAGGTATAGAATCAAACAACGATCTCTGTATATGAAATTACCTAGAAGTAAGCCTTATGTCCTATAATCCCTTGCTATTTGTTTAGTGACCAAGGCCCGCAGACTGCTAAGAATCTAGGAGTTAATATTGCAAGAATCCGATGGTCAGATGTACTTGCAATTTGCAGTTACTTTTTAAATGAATTAACAAGTGGGAATAAACACTGCAGAAAAAAATAATTGGAACAAGTAATAATATCAGGTAGTTTGAAAACTTACTGTTTCATTTGGTAACAAATGATAAGATGGATCGAACAACTCTGTTCGTAACTGTTCAATAGCTGTTGATATTTTAACTAATTCATTCGCCTCCACATCACCAATATGATAATCCGATTCACTTAATCCATTCGACTGTGATGTCTTTTTTCCATTCATTAAATGATATAATTTTTCTGATAATTCAGGAGGTTCATTGCCAAGTACAGATTCAGAATTAGCAAAACATAAACGAAGATCAGTTAAACAAGCTTGAGTATTTCGTGTCACATCAGTTAATGCCGATTGGACACCAGAATCTTGAATTGTTGGTGCAACTGCATCAGCTGATCGTAATAAATCTTCTAAGCACTATAATACGGTTAGAGAGAAAGAGTGAAGAAAAGAATTATAGATTGGGAAAGGAGAACAACAATGAAATATTACTAAAAACAATAACAACAATGTGAAAGATCATTTATCTACACATTTTTTAAAATAAATAAACATCTAGGTAGAGAAGACAGTTCATTGTTTATCAATTATATATTAAATCAATAGAAAAGTTATGTGCACACTAGTTGTGTTTTGTAAGGGAAAAATAGGTCACACTTGCATCCTTTGATGAATAGGTCAGATAAATAACCCCAATACAGAAAAAATATACATTAATGAGTAATTCTGTGTATAGTGTAGAAAATGAAAACAGGTGTTGACCTTCACGAGGAGTAACAGGCGTAAGTAAGTTGACCTTGAACTGTAAAATATTATAAATAATTCAATGTTTCATGTAAGGATGATCAAAATAAATACGATGTACAAAATTGATATAAACAGAATATAAAATAAAAGTCAAATAATGAATCATCATCTTTGATTCGATTATGGAATAAATAAGAAGTTTTGGTAAACACTTTTTTTAAAAATTATGATCCTTTTGGCTTTAGATTACAATCAACAGAGAATATTAAATATTTTTTTCAGGAAAGTAAATTCGCTAAAATTATAACCTGATAATTGTGCAAATGATGGAATTGAAAACGTTCTAGTTACTCATCCATACAGGTTTGCTTGCATTGAGGATTTAGAAAAAAAAAGTAGTTCATTGAAAGAAAAGTATTACGAACAGTTTGCTTAGAATGAATATTGATATGTACGAAAAGAGTACAGATAATTATTGTAAAGTGATGGCCCGGTTATTAGGACATTTGACTTTTAATTACTGTTGCAGATACAACACATCCCTCAACGCAATTTAGCTTCGGTAACCGAGTAGTACTATTGGTTATCAAAATTACAATGTGATCCAAAGCTAAGCACACAATTCTTTTTGATAAATGAATAAAATTAATTATATAAACATTAGATAAAGCTGTTAATTTTGAGTATACAATAAATTGATATAACTGCAAATAACAATATAGTACAAATCCTCAATTTCAATTCGAAATCTTTTGAAAGTGAGGAATAATACAATGATAGGATAGAATTCGCAGATGAGCCACAAAATAGTCTAAGGATACTTTACCTAACGCGAAATTATATGGCAGAGAAACAGTCATAACGGCTACATGTTTAGGTGTTTATTTTGGAAACAACTTCACACAAAAATAAGACGACTGGAGAAAACTAGTTAATGCCTCTTATTTTACATAGAGAGTTCTGGATATTAATGGATTTTTTTTAGTTTCATGTTACAGACAGATGAGGTCATTGATGCGCTTTGCTATGTATTCTGATATTAAGATGAAGCAGCTGTCCAGAGTCTCCTAGTTTTCAATGGTTGTATGAGTGAAATAAATCCTTGGTGTAAAGAATCTTCCAAGTGGTTGAAATTTCGCATCGTTAAACCAACAAGTTACTATTCTACTTATTATAATTAACAGTAAAATAGGAAATATGTATATCGTTTAGTTATCATTATATATTTTGCAATTAAATACTAACAGAAATATACACTACTAGCTAAGAGACATGAAATTGATTAATACATCAAGCATAACATCAGAATATATTCTGGATATCTTAATAATCAACTCCAAGTATATTTAACCGACTTTCATGCAAATCTGAAGGCTAGTGATTTTAATCTGTTGCCTTAAACAAAGTACTTAGTAAGATGAGGCACAAATATGTCATCTATCTTTTTGACTACATAAATAAAGATACTATAAGAAAAGATGACGACAAAGGATGCTAAATTGTAATTTCTTTTCAATTTACCTAATATACATTTAGATAAACTTAAGTAAATTTACTCATTGACAAACAAAAAGATTGCGAACAAAAGCTTTCATTTTTAGTACTAAGTAAAACTCATGAATCGTGAAATAGGACACACTTTCCATTTCTTAAATTCAATATTAATAATAATATACAAATCAGATTAGTATACCTTCATTAAATTTTGCGATGCAGCAAGTAAGTTAGCTTGATTTTTTACATCATACGGTTGAACACGAGCAATGTTACAAGATAAATTCACTTGAGGCATTACACGTTTTTGCAATTGTTCTAAATCCGAAGCCAACTAGAAATTATACATAGAAAATACCAATATATGTAGTTAAATTAATAATCCATTATTTTATATCAAAATCAGAATAAGAGTAATGATAGTTTAATATGTATCAACACGAAGTTTTCATGCATATATATATGACAAAATTACATTAAATTACAATCTAGTACATGAATAAACAGTAAATGAAATAAACAAATAATCTTTTAATAAGAATGTATCTCCTCAATGTCAAATTACATTTTGTTATGCTATACCTGTTCAACTGTAAATGATGTGTGTACGCGTATATGAAGTACATATTTAAAAATAAAAGATAAACAGAGTTTAAATGTATATTTCAAAACAAGTAAAGAAATGCTTAGTGTAAGACAAAATTATGTCAAAGTATAAAGCTTAAATATTGAGTAATAAACTTAACACATTTCAATCATAACATGTAATTCATTACAAGTAATAAAACAGATTTACAAAGTTTACAGTAAAAAGAATAAAACAAATTTATGCCTCACCTTGTATTTATTGATTTTGATTTCAAGAGAATACATACCTGACATAACTACTTTAAGTCTGTTTACTATTTGATAATAATAATAATAATGAACTCATACAACTATTAAATGTTATTCATTTAAATATGATAGAAATATGAAGTACAAAAGTAGTTGTATACAGTAGTAAATATGCATATGTGTATAATCAAGAACGTTTAGCAATGAAATAGGAAATATAATGTTTCTAGAGTTGACGTAGTATTTATACTTTAATGTATAGGGTATATAACGATAGCCTGATTTTAATGTGATCTATAAATGGATTTTTTACTAAGAATAAAAACGACATTACTAATCAAAGTGAAACATAAAACACATGCTATTTAAAAATAAGAATAAAAACAAATGTCAGTATAGGGTTGTGGAGATTGTTGAGTTTATTAATTGAGATTATGAACCGATCAATGTAAGACCACCATTTAAAGCATGGAAGCACTGAAAGGTCGTTTTGTTCTAGTATGGGACTCCATAGTAGTGCGCATCCACGAACGAAACGGCATTCCAATACTTCCAGGCTTTCAATGGTGGTCTAACATTGCATCGGTTCATGATCTCAATTAATATATAAAAATGTCATAATCCAAAATATTATATATGCATATATCTGTAACCAAGTTGCCAACAAAAAAACACATTGTTTTGTTTCCCTTCAAACTTGTAAAAACCAACAACCTGATAGCTGATAACCTTTGCATATATTTTTTTTCAGACACCCTGTCATTCGTAGATGAATCAAAGACAAACTTTGTATTGGACTACATTATCATTTAATTGCTCATGTGGGCCACACAAACCAAGCGCTAAATAAACACACCAATGAACATTATCATGGGTAGCTTTCATAGGTGAATACAAAACAATTGAAAGTTCAAGATTAGAACAAACTGTAAACACTTGTTTCTAGTTATTTGGTGTGTTTTTTTACTACCAATGCTGCGGACTATTTTTCCACATTATATATATATATATATATATATATATATATATATATATATATGCAGTATTTTATTTAGTCTAATAAATTTATTTACATTCTTGTCGTTCAAAACAATTTCCAACTGAACTCATTCATGTAAGTAAATTCAACCCGTATAGTAATCATTATTTTTAAACATCACAGGTTGTAAGTAGCCGACAAGAACCCAAAGACATAAAATGATATCTTGCTATTCTGCTCAAATCTTTGTTTTTGTTCTGTTTAATATACAGAGGACATACAGAGATATTGAAAAAGCTCTTGGCTATGTCTTGATGTAGATGAAGTATGCTGAACGTATAGTTCTCATTTCCGATATAATCCGCTACTGAAGTAACAAAGGTTTCTCATAAATTGGCTTTAAACACACATCACACTCACTGGATAGTTTAAAAACAGAAAAATGTCTCCATATTTTTGAGTGTCTTAAGAAATAAATGAAAGTAAATTTTTTCTAAGCCCTATATAAGGTTCGCGTTTTTGATTTCGCGTGAAAATATACAAGTAGATTTTCTGAATCCGGCTAGTTCGGTGCCATAGTACGTTTTAGCAAGTATAAATTATGGTGAATCACTTGTGAAGATTTCAAATAAATTCATCAGCACCACACAATATTGATCACATTCAATATATATTGACAAATATAATTGGATAAGTTTCAGAATTATCAGTACGGGGTTGTGGAGATTGTTGAGTTCTCATAACCCTATATTGATAATTATCATGTGCTCACTAGTGACTAGTTTCGAGAAGTAATTCTTCGAGTCCTAGAAAAGAACCGTGACCAGTACAATTCAACCTGTGTCAGGTATGAGGCAGTTATCCACCGATGGTAATAGAAGATGGTCACGCAACATTGTGGATTGATTGAAGTTAAACATTAACATCATTAGATGCCGAGTCAGTAGTCGAGAGGTTAACCTATCGCACACAAAACAGAAGGATCCTGGGTTCTGATTGCTGCATTCAAAGCCAAGGATATACACCACTGAGTTATATATACATTTTATAAAATAGGATATCGATACTAGGAATAGATAAAGATAACTGAAACAGTATTAATGAAGCAGAAATTTTATATTAAGTAGCCTCATTTCACATACTTTAAATATTGAAATGAATAAGGTTTTACTACACATAATTATAATTCAACTACGGTTTACATAACATATCATATGTAACATAGCCTATTATAGTTAGAAAAATGTAGAAGTCATTTTGAGGGATCCGAATAAATCCTATCGTTCTTAATATAATGATATTATGTATCATTTTATAGAATAATGTATACGGTAATACAAACTAGGGAATGCTATAGATCATATCGACATTGACAAAAAATATATAATAACAACCTTTATATTGGTTAAGAAATAACTGAACTTCAGAAGTTGAATTAACTATGGGTTCGTTTGTAGATTTTTTCAGGTGATATGATCATTACAGGTAACTGAAAAAAACATTAATCGATATAATATTATATATTTCGTTGTGACGATTGAGTTATATCGATTACGTTTGAAATGTAATCACTAGGTATAGTAGAATGAAACGCTTTATTTTAGTATTGAATAACAAGTAGCTTAATAGATTGTCTCTATCCAAATAGGGTAAAAGTCAGTGTTAAATTAAATTTCGATACTATAGGATACATTGCTTTGCACCATTCAAATATGGTATTACCACAAAACTCAACATAAGTGTGGTTGAAAAACCGAGTAACCAAAACTCGCATTACTATTATGCTAGTTAGTTGGAAAAAAAATTATCATGCTTCACAGCAATATAAGAATCGAAACAATAACGCAGATAATGTTGTACTCGACATTAAACATTATCATGGAGACTTAGTGTAAAAGCGAACCGCTGATAAACTATAGGGCAATCTGTACTACATGAAGATCTTTTGAACTAAAACACTTCAAACAATCGAATATCACATATCTGTCTACTGCATTTAACATAACTATCTATATCAAGCTGATAATGCCTGTAGACTGGAATGAATTCTGTAATTATTATATTCGGAATAAATTTTACTATTATTAGTAGTAATAATAACAATATTAGTAGTAGTGGTATTATAAACATTTGTAGATAAATATATTACATGAGAAAATTAAATAATAAAATGCACTACCTGATATGTATCATTTTGACAAATACGTACAACTTCTCCACCGACTGTAGCTAATGGACCAACATTATCTGCTGTAAGTCGAGTAGCAAATTCTAATCCTTTTGTAAGACGTGATCGAATAATTGGTGCAGCTGTTGCATGAGCTGTATTTACTAAATTTTCAGCTGCTATAATTACATTTTGTTGGTGCTCCAATGATTGAGCATTACCATCAGTACATTCCTATGAGTGATTAATTGAACCAATAAAAGATTATATGGCAATAGAAATTGTTGGAGAGGGAGTAAGAAACTAACCAAGACTTGACATTTATGATAAGTTAGAAGAGAATCATTCTTCGATAACTTTTTATTCACTAGAAAAATACTTGAAATACAAATCAAGAGTTATACTTAAAAGACTCTACTCAGGTTCAACTGAAAGTACATGATGTTAACAGGTATAAACATAACATGTTCAGATTAAAACTGATAGGGCTCTGTTGTTTTGAGAGGGAATTGAACAGTGAGTTAAGATCGGTATTAATTCTGGTTTTATAAGAAGACACTTACTTTACTGTAGTCTAAATTGAAAATGCACGTTGTTACAAAAATCTAAGCTCTTATATATGTAGGACAGACATTAGTAACATTAAAAAACATTCAAATAATACCCGAAAGAATCAAAATACAGCATTTTGTAATACCATATATGATGTCAACCGCCCTAAATTAGCCATTACCTAGAGCAAAATGCGAATACATGTGGAAAGAATTAGATCCACTGAGAATTAAGAAATGTAACCAGTTTTTTCCTTTAGTTTGAGAATACAAATCTTACAATCTAATATTTGATCATACATTATACCGATCAAACGGGTTAAACAGTACAAAAATATAACCTGTTTACAAATTAATAAAGCTGTATCTCAGTGATTTAGGCACTCGACTTTGAAACAGTAGCTCTCAGGTTTGAAGACACCTTCGTCGACCTATTTTAGTTTGGAAGACGGATGGCACCGTTATCCCTCACAAAAACTGTGTACAAACCTGTATTTTTAAAATATGGTACACTAAAGTAAAAGGTTCGGTTATGTGGGTTTCACTTAAGTTATCGAACACCTTCTGATAGACACATACCTAACCACGTGAGCCATCGGACAAATAAGAAACAATTTTTATAGCTAATAAATACCTTTCGGACCACTAACTATGAATCATATTGTTTGATATCTTCCGTTTCTGAATAACTGGTTCAAAATACGTTCTAATTACTAAACAAATATTTACAAGAATATTGATTCAAATGTTAAAGAAGGAATAGTTGATTTTGATTTTTTAAGTATCATTGACATACCTGGGCAACTGATAACAAATGATAAATTTCTTTCTCTAATATATCAGCACGTTTAGCTATTTCATTGGATGGTATTCCCAACGTTGAATCCTGTTTCATTGCTTCCGAGCGTAAATCTGCCACTAAACAATCTACTGCAGACGCTAATGCATTAGCTTTACGTACAAGTAAAAGACCATCGCCAACACTACCAGGTAATTGATGACTAACCGAAAGCAAATTCATAATTACAGGATCTTGGTGAGCCTAAAATTATTATTAATATTATTATTATTGATAATAAAGAAAATATGCTGAAAATTAATGATTCCATGAAAAATAATAGTATTTCAATGACCTGAAATCCCAAACAGGTAATTACAGTGTTTTAAGCATTAAATTTGATAATCTGTGAGTTGATAATTAAAATAATTATCGTCTGGGAAAATACCGGACGAGCAGTGTCAGCTAATGAAATCAACTGATGTCTGCATAATTCATAGTGAATGCTTATAATCAATGTTAATTATAAGATCTTTTTAAAAGAGATTTCAAGAGACAAAGCGATCGTAGTTACTATAACAAGATAAGCCTTTAGTGTAACAGGAAGACAGACATAACAAATACTAGTAGTAACACCAAATAGCACCTGTTTAGCACCTTTAATATCACTAGAAAGTGTAGGTGAAATTAAAAAGAATCTTAACTTCAGAAAGCATAGGTTTATATCGTTTCGTAAACATAGATTATTTTTATTTTGTACTAAAAATAGTTTATCATACATAAAAAAACCATGAATTGGTGCCAGCCTATATGTAAAATCAGATAGATAGAAAATGTAAGTACTCGTCCTGAATTCATCGAGTAACAGTAGTTATAAAAAAATGATAAAGTAAAGTTGATATTTGATTGCAATCACATAACAGTAGTTCAGAAATATTTACTGGTATGATTTGCAATAAACAAATAGGAGTCTTGTATTACACTGAAACGTTTTTTTTCTACACTGGATAGTATATCAAGTATTGTTCACCATACAGACGCCTTTTTTTCTACAGAAACACATCTATCTACTCCAATTCGAATGAGATAATTTAGATGTAACCTATTACTAAGGTGATTAGAATGCAACTAAACTATTTACCTAATCAGTCTTCCAATGAAAACTATATTAGATAGTCAGAAAACTGTACCATATTCATGATAAACATGAATTTTGGAAATTAATACTATTTATGTTAGAACTTTAGATGCCTAATATATGATTCTATCAGTGTCTAACTTATGAAAATTGGTACATTTTTGGGAGGGTGATACAGTCAACCTATTGAACTTTATTTCTTATGGCTTAGTCAAGTAGATATTTTTGTTAAACAGTAATCCGGTATGATTACTTAATATACAGTATGTTGTAAATAAATCAAACAAATGTTAACTCTTATTGAAGATTCCCAAAATACTTTGTAACTCTCGGCATCAGAATAAATGTCAGAGACCAAAATGAATCTAAGCATTAGCATGAACATGTTTAAACTAGTGAAATCTGGGGATAAAATGTGAGAATAAAAAGAAAACCTACTTGTATCGAAGTTCCTATTAGACAATCAAGTAAATTGTCTAATTCATTATGTACAGAGTAAACACCTTCTTCTAAATCATTAACTAGTTTACAATGTACATTAAACATTTCATGATCATTTGTTAAGAATGTGGCAGCTGCGCCAGATGATGATGAATCTAATAAAGCTCTAGCTGGTAATGGTACAGAGTCTGCAGCTAATGCAACCTGTAGATAAAAGTAAACAAAACAAATATGAACTTCATTGTGTAAAAAATATTAAACTAGCACAAATAGAAATTTTCACTATGAAAGATATCGACTGAAGAAATGGCCGTCTTACCTAATAAGATAATGAAATATTCAAACTGTTTATCAAGAAACTTTGATTCCAGTTTCATGAATGTTTGAAATATAATAAGTTGTTCGTGATGATGCACATAAAATAAAGTAAACTCAGTATAAGTCTGTGCAAATGATGCCATACATTAAAAAATTCACTTTATAAATAGTTAAAATCCAAACAGATTAACACACAACATTTCAGTGTGAACTGATACAAAGTTTGTAAACTAAAATAGAACCCTGATCTACATAAAAACAAAATGGGTAGGTAAGACGAACATCGGTTGACTTTTTCCATGTGAAATTGTAAGTTCTAGTGTATATCCTCGTATATGAATCAAACTCGATATGTGTAAACCAGTGATGATGACCATATCGAAGCAAAGAAATCGGATTCCGAGTATGCGAAACTAAGATAAGATTCGAGTGGTTGATTGATTAGTCGAACGCTCTAACTAACCTAATGAAAGATATTCATTTAGAGTCTTACATTTGACAGGAATTAGTCAACTCAACATGAAAATAAAAATCTCTAATAATACACTTCACATCGTTTGGAAGAAAGCATTTGTAACTTATCAGATATTTTAACGCCATCAGAAACTGAAGATTGAATTCAACAGCAACCACGCATATAACTCAGCAACGAGGTATGGAGATAGATTATTGCTTGAAATTAATCAAATAAGACAATTTAACAACGTCAGGAGATGCATTTCTTTGGTAGTAGTTAACAAAAGTAGGTTTGTATATTATTAGTTTCTTCAGTAAACTGCAGCTGATACTCACCACTAGGTTGAAACCAAGGTTTTATGAAAATTTTAGTTAAGCAGTCCATATTCATTCCGACGGTTCAACGCTTGAATGTTAGCTTTAGCTCAGTCACTGATGTTGAAAGAAGCTACAGCATAACAGTCGTACGTTGGACTGCCTTGGAAATGTCAAGAAATATACAACCCTCAAAACAACATTAATAATATCAAGACTCTATTCATTAAAATATTACGAGAGAATTTACATTAAAAAAAATAAATACCTCTTTTATGGTATGCATTAATTGTTGTTGTGACTCCGGTTGTTCCATTGTACATGCAACTACTTTAGCGCAAGTAACTAATTGGCTTGCAGTTTTACCAGCTCGTGTTGCTGAATGCACTAAATTCGATTGAGCATTACGTAATATTTGTACTTCAATATCATTTGGATTTGATTTATTCTCTACTAAGTATTGATTTACTTCTTCATCAAGAACTAATGCACCCGTTTTAGCCTTTTTCACTAATCCTGTCATTGCATTAGCAACACTCTAAAAATATAACAATAATAACTATGAAAATACTTGGAAATAGACAAAAATAAAATTACATAGTCACTCAAAGTAAATACTTAAAATATATACGAGGATGTTAGTATCCATGTAAACATTTATTTGAAAAACAAGATTACTATGATCAGACTGGACTGCAGTTGTTATATATCAGGATGTTATATCAAATCGATAAGAAATGATGGAACTACTACCCAGTTTTATGTTACCCATAACTTTACTGAGTAGTAACTATGATTTCCTATTTCCAATGTGTCATAACCTGGTAATAAGTGTCCATAATAACGAGTGTCTGAGCTATGATAATATAAATATTTTGTAGATTGTTGTGTTTAACATCTGAAGATAGCTATTATGTTCGAAAAACCAAAAAGAATAATAGCTTTTGGGATTGATGTTCATAGTCACTTACTATAGGTCTAATGGTGGCATTTGTCAGTCGAAATTTAGTAGTCTCATTGAAAATGAAGCGTATGCGTCATTACGGAACTCTGCTATAAAATGGTTGGATTAAAAGTGCCGGATAACGATAAGATTTCTGAATACAGAAAACACATTATTCCTTCTTTCATTGGAAGCTGTATTTAGTTGCACCTAAAGGCTAGAGCTAAAACTGTGATTAAGAATAAATTATCGAAAAATTGGTCAACTATGACTAGTTTATTATGTCCATGAAAGTTATTGTTTAATATTGTGATGAATTGTAACAAACGAAAATAGATGACGCTTCACAATAAATTTTACAGAACATAGCAAGATATTGAATGCTGAACTGTTAAAGAGAAATGGGATTTTACAAATAAAAATGAAATAGATTTTCGCAAAAATTTATGAGGATTGTGTAAAGATATAAGATAATTAGTATAGATAATAGCTACAAAGAAGTGAGCCGCTCAATTCTTTGTTTTTGCACAATTTCAAATGATGAATAGAACTAAATGTATGTAAAACAACAAACATTAATGAGGAATAACTGAATGTATCATATTTTTCTTTAATTTACATTAAAATTATGAATTAAAACACAGTACTTATAAACTTAGTATTGAATCGAAGATTGAAAGAAATGTATAGTGTAGATGTGAATGTTGTAAATAAGCAGGTAGAAAATGTTTTATACTTTTAACAGACTACTTGTTAGTAGTCTCATTAAGGTCTACGTTATAGAGTTTCATAATTAAGTGGAAATTATTTACTTGTTTAAAGATGGATTTCAATCAAAGCAGATAGGTAAAGGAACCTCGTTATACAACAAGAAAGCTTATGAATAACAATTAAGCTCCAGTCAATAAGGTATGAAAAATGCATTGGATCCACTAAATTATCTTACGATGTTTCAACACATACTGTATGTAGTTAATTAGAAATGATTTACATAAATAACTCACCTTAGTTAATGTAAGTAAACGATCTCTAGCTTCCCAATCAACTACTGATGCACAATTAACATGATTGTTCTCTTTATATACAGTATCATTTTCATTTGTTGATACACAACACTCAGGTATTGTTGGCGGTGAAATTAATTGCAACAGTTGACGACTTGCATCACCCACGCGACTAGCAGCTTCTAGTAGGGCTGCACGATCAGTACTACTCTTGGAATCAAATAATGAACTTGTTGAACGCGTTAAAGTAGAAGCCTTTAATAAAAGAAATTAAGTATTACAGACAAGAATCCTAACCAATAATTCTTTCATACTAATATTCATCAATCTTAGAACGAATACTTTGATAGAAATTGGGCGCCGAGTATAGAGAAGACACTATATGTGAAAATTATCTTTGAAATAATCTCGGAGATAAAAACTTTAATAAACGTTCTTTCATTTTACAAAAAGAAATAGTATGTGTGATTAAGAGTTAAATATTCAATTTCATTACCGAAGTTATGTGCATAAATCATTGAAGTTCCTTTTTTATTCATAAAAAAATGTATTGTTGACATAAAAAGTAACAAGTAAGACACAGCTCAAATTGTCCAACGAATTTAACCGACAGTGTTGTTAGGACAGTAACAATTCGTCTTTCTTTGTACTATTATAAACACTATCTTGCCGGTATAAACGTGCATGCTTGATCACATTACAGCCTACGCACATATCTCTCTAGCTTAAATGTTTATCGCTTAAATAGCGCTCTATGAATCATCATCTTCCTCATGTATATATGTACTCGAATCCTATTAATTGCCTTTACCTTGCCCAGCTGTGCCTTATTCGATCCGATCATAAATTCGCCTCCGTGTTTGTCCACACACATATATTCACCTGTCTGCTCCAAATTCGCTTGATGTGTGTATAGGAATCCAAACATCGTTGGAATCTATATATTAAAGGTCATCAAGGTGATTAATTAACGAAGTTAAACCACTACAAACAGTACGCTTTTAAACAAGGTTTTAATAAAAGCTTTGTTGATAGTCATTTTAAGAAGAGGAGATGGATGATGGCTAGCAGTGGAACTCATCAGCTGGGTGTACTTGTATCCCACAATTGATGTTCATTCCGGGACTCGAACCCAGTACCATTCGCTTCAATAAGCCATGGTATTATCCACTTAGCTCTTGAGTCCAAATAGTCATTGTCTTGTGAAATGGGGTAAATTTTAATTCAGATATATTGGTTGTTCTGGAAGATTTAAACAACCAATTGATATGAATTTATGTTCACTGTATGAAATTCTTGTCATTTGAAATTTAATCCAAAATAACCGTTATTTACATTATAATAGTTATAAACAAATTCCATACTAAATAATTCACAACTGTTTATATATTTTATTTATCCTCGTTAAATTTGTAAAACATCAAAGCACGAGTGGGTGTGTTTACTTACAATGTCAATAAATGAGCAATTATGACAACAACAAAATGTACATCCGAAGTGACAGACTTACTTTATCTGATGAATTATCCAGTGATACAGATGAAAAAGTGGTACGCATTAAGTCGAGAAATGCATCAGATAAAGCTTGTGCAGCTTGCTTCAAACTTGTTTTATCTACAACTGATCCATTATTGTTATTAACAGTATCAAGCTGATCATATAAACGTACACAATGCATAAGACCTTTTACATTCATTCCAATTGATGTCATAGAAGCATCCATACTAGCATAATCTATTTCAGCATGATTGTTCATATCTAAAACAATGAATTCAAAGATGGAAATAACAGATAACTTGACTAAAACATTACAGAAAACAATAGCTATATATATATTTTTTTTCTGTTGCGTTGACAAAGATATTTATTCAGCATAATAGATAGAAAATCATTCGTAACATACTTCGGAAAAAATAGATTGTAATGATCCACAATCATACTTTCATCAGTGTCTTATTTATTTCCAAGAAATTTATTTTTATTCTTTTCTGAAAATGTTCGAAGTATATCTCAGTGAAATGTTTTTTCTTTTGTTAAAATAACAGGACTAACAAGTGACATCAATCGACGAATTTAATGCAACATGACAAGATATTAATCGAATCGCGTTTAGTTTGTTTTAAATGGTTTGGATATCGGTCCATTACAAATAATGAAAGTTACTAGCGTTTATATTAACAGTCATTAAATAAAGTGATTTATACATAAACTATCATTCACCTTTTTCATAAATCATAAATATGGTTATTTCATTTTTAAATAAGGATTATTTACATACATTTCTGACCCTACGAAGCTATTCTTATTGACATTCGATTTATTTACACATAATTTCTGCAGTTTATAATCATGACATATTTGTTGGTTTGTTAAACAACTCTAACGAGTACAATAATTATCCTATGCGATCTAGTCTCAAAATTCATTCACTCATTGAAAATAGTTATTTTTGACTTCGGATTATTGTTGGCTGATACATAATCACTTGATGACGATTGATATTATTACTAATGTAATATATATATATATATATATATATATATATATATATATATATATATATATATATATAGGAAAGATAAACTGATTGAGGTCAGTGTGGTTATAGTAACCACTGGTTGGAGAATTTAGTTAACACGGCTCATAATAGTTCGCAGTGGCACACGTTGATTGACTCTTTGTCTTCTCTAAGAATCTGAGGCTCGAAATTTCCTTATGCCTTTTTTTCTTTTTCATACACCAAATCTACTTAACATTTACAGATTCTGTTAGCAACTTTACCACTCGGGGACTTGATTTGACAACTTTATTTCGCAGAGCTAATGTCATATGGCACATTGAGATAATGTACCTCTGTGTCAGGTTCTATGGTGTATTTCACTAGATGAATAAATTAATCCACAGTCTTAATGAAAACCTAACCGAAAGATTTTTCCTAATAAAAATTAGCATGGAATGCCTTAAATAAACTCAACCCTCAGTATTTATGAGGAAGAAAATCTTTAATATAGTATTGATGATTTGAATCTTCTAAATTCAGAGAATCATTTGTTCAACAAATGAAGAACATCTTGAAAAAAACAGAATCGAATCGGAAATCAAATAATCCGGAAAAATAATTGTTTTCACACAAATTATGAACAAAAGACAAAGAACTAAGTGTGCAAACTGTCAAATAGTATAAGAATTATAAATATTAAAGACATAATGGAATTAATAATTAACCGATTTGAGATTTTTAGTACAATATAATAACTACACCCAAGGTAATTGTAACTTTGCTGTAAGCATAACTATATTTCAGCTATCGCATAGCTCTTTCTAAACTTAGAAATCTTTTTATGCACAACTTAGTAACCAAGTATACAATTGTATATTTAAACTATGGAATTACACGTTTTGTAGGTGACAACTAAAGATACTATCTAGTTATCCAAAATAAGGTAGGTGTAGCATAGCTGGAATCTACATGTTACTAAGCAATGATTTCTTAACTATGTACGTAAATAAATGGCAAACGTGAAAATTACTCTACCTTCCCTATGTACAAACATATATAATTTAACTAGTTTGATACATTCAAATGTTACACATATATAGAAAAAAATGATTCTATTATTTGGCTGGTAATAAATTCCATTCTTTCATGAGACTATTTTTACATTTACGTCAACTTTTTTTTGAAAAATAGAAATCTATAGAAAGATAAAACAAAACAAAAATGCTCTGTCTATTCATCACATTCAGACTATAAATTATTTTCAATAGTTACAATGAATTCTACTGAAAATTCATTTATATACATTTGATATTCAATTGGAAATAAATTTCTAAGACTATCAACTTTCATTGTTACTAAATATCATAGGTTCTTATTGCTTAACAAACTGTTATCATTCCATATATATAGATATAAACACACATGAAAAATATGAGTTGTTTCTTCTTTTTTTGTTAAATGTCTATAAGTTACACTAGATTAATCGATATAAATATAATACTTGTATTAAGAAAACAGTATATGCTTAAAACATGTTATGAAGAAGGTACTTATAGATATATGTACTGAATCACATAATGTTAATCTATAAATATACAAGAGAAGATTCTGAAAAACAACACCGAAGAAAAAAACAACGTGAATAAATGTATTTATCATATCATGTCACTTCACAAAGAAAAAAAGAATGTTGGAAAATTTATTTATTTATTTTCTAATAAAGATGATGTATTCTTGTTTTGTTTTTTTGATAGTTTGTTTTATTTTTGTCACATGTCTAAATAAAGTTTCAGACAAAGAAAACAGTAACAACTTATTTCTTATTTCTATAATTAAATAAATAATAAATATCTACTTAGTTAAGTAGTAATTAGTATTGAGCCAAAAAGCTCACACCTGTTACCCCTAGTGAAGGAATATAGACCTTTTTTTGTACAAGTTATGAAAGAGTCCAATAAGAGACAATGTGGTTGCTGGTAAAATACATCGAAAAGAATGAATATTATTTAAATATTGATTCCTGAACTGATAAAATCTAACTGGTGATCATTCGATATTTATTGTCAGGATCGATCAAAAAGTAGGAAACGGAAACTTGTTGAGATATTTGTGTTGAGAAGTCTATATTGTACCAAAAATATGATATTGAATAAACCTTACAATGATAACAATAACAATAATAATAAACTATGAGTAGTGTATTCAGCGGTACGTAACCTACTGGAAGAAATTCCGTATGGTTACTGAGATTAACTCAGAATTACTTTTACATCCCTACGCGTAGAGAAGATAGTATTAAGCTGTTTAATACCAAAATATAGTGGATTCTAATATATAAGGCGATAAATCACAAGTCAACAAAAGAAATTAGAATGTTCCTTTCGATGTTAGTCAATCTAAAAACGAATAAACAAAATTACATTATTCCTATGTAAAGTTATAACGGACTATCTTATACTAAAACAGTAATGACTCACTGAGTCTAAACTAAACAACATACTACTAGTTACTAGTAAATTTGGTCACAGTTCATCTGAACGTCAGTAAGCCAATGAATGTAACATTTAACACAAATGGATGTCAGGTAAAGCCACGACATCACAAGATGAAATTTAGAAGGATAAACAACACAGCATCAAGGATAACATAGGTGACAATCAGAGTGAAAATGCTAGACATTGAGAATATAATTCGAAAAGTCAGAATAAAAAGGTATTTGTCAAGAAATACATGAACTCAAAACCTAAACTAAAGGAAGATAAAGAGTAAATGAATCTGCACCATTCTCATTAATTGTATATTATATCATGCTATTCCTCCAGCTACTGATTGCGGTTGCTGAGTGAACCTCAACCAGAAAATCACATTTACCAAAGTAGTTCAGATCAACAACAAATGTTCAGCTGAAACATCATTTACCCATAATGGACCATGTTACCAAATAAGTAATACTAAACTATACCATAACATCTAAGATAAGTTTGGAAAATTACTCATAAAGCTGTAGCCTCTTAAATAATGAACTATTTTGTACGTAAGTGATTAGTCATTATTTACTTTATAAGTTGTCATATGGCAATCAAACGTAAGTATAAATATCGATGATGTAAAACATCAACTAGTTTGTATCGTTTAAACTGCCCCTAAATGCATCTTTCATCTGTCATTCTCAGTAAATTAATAAGATCAACTACACACACATATTAACCATTATTTCTTGATCTTATCTTTAAATATAATCTATAATTGTGATGATAATAATAACTGAATACATACACAACTTTTAAGTTCCATATTAATCTAACTAGTAAATTAGGTTAAACATCATATAAAAATTAACTGGCAAAACACACTCACACACACACACACAAAGCTTCTAATAGTTCATGTTTATTTAATCTATAACCTAAAAATCACATGAAATATGAGTAATCAAGTAAACAGAAAAGTAACTGAATCACATGTTTACACTTCTCATGTAGGACGTAAATAATAACAAGTGAACAACTATGTAATAAAAAGATGAATAAAGTAGCAAATGACGTAAACAACTAGAATATATTGTTACACCATATTATTGTACTATACTACATGACTATATTATATCATTCGAATCAATTTAAGCATGATTTCTTTTCTAACTAACAATATAGGTAAACATTATAGATCAGGGAGGTTATATGTAGAAAATTTAATAGCCAAAGATAGTATTCCTCTATGATAAACGACCATTTGGAATGAATTACATGTACTACTATTGAAATTACTCGAGTTCAATCCAGTGATGATAATAATTAATGCACTCAATGTAAAATATGCAATCATCAACGTAAAAACTTTTCAATTTCGTTCTAGAAAAGCAATATTTATCAAAGCATTACTTACTACATAAACAGCTGTCATTCGCGATGAGAGTAAATAACTAATTCATTAGTCACTTGTCGATTATCGGTAGCATTTTAGAAATCAACAGTTTTTATTCAAAAATATAAATACTCCTGTAAATACATCATTTTGTGTATGATAAAAAGTTAGTCATAAATAGATTGAAAATTTGATCTATTCTAACAACAACAATAATAAGTTCCCATATATGATTCTTATCATTTCCAGAAGAAATAATAGATGAGTTGATTTTTAGTTACATATCTCTCCCGCTCACCCACTTACATATTACATGGACACTTTATTGAACAGACATGGTAGGAAGAAGAACAAATTACGATCGAAATACAATAAGCGAATAGGTGCATAGATAAAAGTAATGCAGTGGTAGTATTAGTGGTGTTATTTATTTGTTGAAAAATTGGGAGAAATATTCCGATACTTTGATAATGTTTAATGGACAGGTGTGAAATTATTTCACTATTGTACTGCATTGTGTTCTGCATTCATCCATGAACATTATATATATATATATATATATATATATATATATATATATATATATATATATATCAATATTTGTAACACTTATCAATACACAAGATGAACACATATACTGAAATATCAATCACTGGATATCAAACGGCTATTATAACTATATGGTTTCTCGAAAAAGTAAATGATACGCTCACATATCGATGAGAATACCAACACTTATTCAGATTGTGATAAATATAATTGAAAAATCTTTAGAAGGGAAAAAAACCGAACTTCATAGGATCTAACAAAAACTAAGAATTCAAGACATTTCTGATTATTAGACAAAAAATTTTTACAAAATTATTTGAAGATAAACATGAACATATAGCTGATTTTTAAAATGAAACAAAAAGTATATTTTAATTCATTTAGTTTGTTTGTTTATTTGAATCTTCCTATTGATGCTTAGGACTGCAATTGATCAGTCTCGTATTGGCATGCGTGTATCCTGTGCGGATTGCCTCGATATTGCAATAAGTCACAAGCATCATAAGATGGATGGTGGCTAGCAGTGGAATACAGAACGTGCATTTCGTCCCACTTGGGGGACGTCAGTTGGATGATATACATTTTACACTATGTGATGAAACTAATCTTATTATTACTCAGAATGCAAGCGCATAGTAGTTTAATTAGTCCTATACCATTTTTATGAATTTTTAGATGAATCAAAGGTTAGTGAGACTTAAAACCAATAAAAAACGTTATAAAAACGTATCGATCCAGTTGAAAAACAATTCTTTCACGAGACTGTTTATACTAGAAGTGATAATTTTCCGTCTATAACTATATTACTTGAACATTGATTTTACCAACAAATTTCAATCGCAAAGTCCAATTGTAAAACATTAATTCTAAAGTCAAACTCTCATTCTAATCTTTACGCTTAATCCTAATTCTAATTAAGTGCTCTGTTGTAGCGAAATTGCATAAAATAGTATTGCAAAACAGCCTTACCTTCTCATATCACTAAGTTATAATATTTTCATAAAATTTAGCAATCTATCATACGACAACCATTATGTTGACGTGAACTAGACACCATAACATAGGAACTGCACTCTAAGACTTTACTGACTTATCCCTATACTTAAATCTTGACGAATAAAATCTAATGCGATTTTCTAAATCCTTAACAGATTATCATCGCAACAACTTAAGTAATGAGCTCAATATCATTACAAGTTTTAGGTTAATAAAATTATTTTAAGTAAATTAAACGTTTGTTCATTAAAAAAAACTAGTTTTCTATCTCAAATTATTCTCCAGTTGAATTTAATGTCTTTTTGAAATCGAATTCGTGAATTCAATAACTAAATAAAACAATCATTTCATAAATGTACGAGTATCTTTCAATTGAAAAAAATTTAAAAAATAACAAAACAATCACATACAACTGCTACCAATCAATCTGTAAATCATTTTCAACTTGGTTTCTTTTCAGTATTTTTTTGGCATGTATACAGTGATTTTTCACATGTATTAACGTACATGCATATGTCGTCTGTACTACTACTACTACTATGTACAGTGAATTTTACGTATGTACTATATTGTATTGTGATCTGTTCAAACAGTAGAGAATCAGTTCTATTTTGTTGGTCACAAATTGTCATTTGTTTAATAAAAACAATTCTGTTCTGTTTATATTTATATAGTTAACTTATACTGTATTAAATTAATGATCAGGGTACTTTTCTATCATCTTATCACATGTAAAATCATGTTTTGTTAAAGTGGTATTTAAAAAAAAACTTAGATCGAAAGCTTGAATTTCTATGATATATTTGTGGATAAAAACTTGCATGGTTTCTATCTTTTATACTGATCTGAAATGCTTTAAAATCATGGCTAAGTATAAATGATCAGAAATAAATGATATATTGGGCAAATTGAAATTCAATCGATTGATTTTGATCCGTAACTAAGTGTTAGGGAAACATGATATTGGATTCTGCTACTACTGTGCTGTCTGTTACTTATGCTGATAATTATAAGTAGCATGTAGCAGCATTTCCAAGCGATATACCTGACAGCAGAATATTGAATTTAAGAGGGAAAAAGACAGCAATTGGAACAATAATAGAATCGGAAGAATCATGAAGTATATAAAGGACAACTGAAGGAAGATGTGCAAACAATGTATTCATAGTATGATTTTCATATTTTAAGAAGGCACTGTGTAGTTCTGCATAAAAAAATAGTTGATTTTCCCCAGGCTCAGTGTTCTAATGGTTAAACGCTCGCGCGCAAGACTGATAGGTCATGGGTTCGAGTATTTCGGAGGGTGGGATCGTGGGTGCACACTGCTGAGGAGTCCCATACTAGGACGAAACGGCCGTCCAGTGCTTCCACGTTTTCTATGGTGGTCTAGCTTCAAATGACTAATGATTTCAACTATTGCCCCCAAATGCCCTGGTACGGTCGAGAGTGGGAAGAGTCCGCTCTCCCTCTCCAAATGCTCTCACATGGCCACGCGTATATAGCCTATGCCAGGGAAGTCCCACTCATTGCCTTCTCGTGGCATTACTGTGGTTTACGAAATTGAAGACGAAAAGCGAATGTCCGGCACTTTAACCGGGTTGGTGGACATGGAGAGTCCACCTGTGGGAGTTGGAAAACCCTGATTCCAAACCAATGGTGCACACGGGCTCTAGGATCCTGAAGGAACTAACGGCGTATGAACCAATCGTTGGTCACCGGCTACCGTGGGACTGCATCTCCTCACGATCCCCACTGCCCTGCGGATCAGACCTGCAGGTCGGAGGCTTCGGGTGTAGCCCCCTAAGAAAACCACCTGCTTTGGTTTGGGCACCCGGGCAGTATCACAGCCCTCACACAAATCAAATGAGATTTGTGTGGCGCATATGTATTTGGTGCCTCCTTGTACCAATATCTATGTGTTCAAATAATAATAATAATAATAATAATAATAATAATTTTCCCCACCTGAATTATCGTTCACTACACTACTACTACTCAGTTTGATGAATCGTTGTGAATAGCGCTGTAATATAGTAGGTCAATAGCAACTCGTAAAGCTCAGTAGTAATGCCGCTAAATGTCACACTAATTGAAGACTTTATTCGCATAACAGACATACTGTCGAACATATCTTGCTGACGTGAATCAACTAATATGAAGCCTAGTTTCCAGACTTTAACCGGCAACGTCTGTATACTAAATTAGGGATTACGCAAATGGTTTTATTTAAATCTATACTTTAATCGATTTGCTCATAAATGTTATTCACTTTGATGACAACCTTTGTTTAAGACTTACATTATTTGAAGAACTAGCGAAAATCAATGACCGAACAATTATTTAATCTTAGCTTGAACCTCTTTAAGAGTACAATTACCAAATCGCACAATGAATCGAATCTCAAGATGTTTGTGTTCTGATAGTCATATAATTTTATGCGTTCACAGGTGTTTACACTTCCGACCTTATACTATACACGATTTTTTTCTCAACCATAAGTAATTGTGACAATGAGAAATACTCAAAAATACGTTTACATAAATAAAGAAAAGTAGTAAATAATTAAAATGGCAACTAAAATAACAATACTTACCACCATTACGTCCCCGATTGTTTGATATTTCGATACCAGAGATTAGGCGACCCGTAGCCATTGTCATTGCACCTAAATGACTGAGTACACCAGCACGAGCTTGTTGTAATGTTTCTGAACGCCAACGTTTTGTATTCTGTAATTGAAATGCTTAATGTTACCAATAATCTACATAACAAATTTAATATTCGAAATATGATTTAGTTAATTAAATGGAACATTTCACTAGCCTATAAGTCAAGGAAAAGATATATATATATATATATATATATATATATATATATATTGTACACAACCCAAACAATCATAATCATCGGACACTTCATGGATGGTCGATAAGAAGTAAAACATTCGTTTAAGATAAGTAACAAACAACGAATGGTGCATCTTGTAGATATACTTTTCATAAAGCATTTCCGACCAAATCTATGTACACAAAAGGAAACTTTCTTCCGGCTTGTAAAAATGACTATTATAAAACAATTAAAACTTCTTTATTGAGTTTATTCTATGTACAATGGAGATAGTTGAGAGGGAACCCCGACAATTACTTCACACCTTTTAGCTGAAACATTTTTTAACCAAACTTACACAACACAGAAAAATTATAGCTTGGTATGTATACTATTTAGCATATTGAAACTATACGTCAAAAGCTTAGGTTATATGCTTCGCACTTGAAACGTATCGAAAAGGCTGAATTTTGAAGAAATGTTATTAACAGGCATACATAAATTATTGCACGAACTTGACTCAACTAATGATATCAAAATCCAAGTTGATCAGGTCAAATAGGCCATAATTATACAAGTATATATCAAAAACGTCAGAATACAAAAACAACCAGATTTATTCTTAGTTGATTAATTCAATTCACATACTAATTATGGTACAATGACCTCAATCCTTCGATAAATTATTTATATGATTATTCATACTTACTGACTTCCCTTCTTAGAGATAATTATAATAAATACACGTAACCGATACAGGTTACTTATTTTGAAGACATATTTTTCTGAAAACTGTTGTTGCTTTCTGTATGTTGAATAATTCATTCCAAGTATTTACTTGACAATACTATTAGCATCAATTTATTAAGAAGTGTCGAATGTTCAATATGCACAATACCCAAGTAGGTGAAGTTTGTGCAGACGAAAACATTGAGCTAAAAGTATAACCGAAAACTGAGTTGAATACCAACAATCAAACTAAAGAGATAGAATACATGGTCGTAAACCTGTAGCGCATCTTCTACTGAATATTCAATATGTAGGCGATATATAGCAGCTTTTTGTCCATTTAGTGAGTGAATACTACATAAAAGGCCTACTTTATAGTGAATATTTCGTTTCAAGCCTTTATTTTCATGTTATCTACTTTTTCCATCTAGCAGGTTGGGATGCGGTGCTGTAACGTATTCACAAAAGAAATATGTACATAGCTCTCAATAATTAAGATGAAGTCCCAAGTAAAAAACTACACTCTTATGTGCACCACTAACACGATAAATGAACGAGATATATTATCAAAAATATTAAACATCTCATTTTTATTGAACAGTGTGACCAAAATTAAGCCCACTATTTTGAAACCAAATTTTTGTCCTTTGACATAATTTACAAGACTTATTCAAAGATGTTAGATTCACAACAAAGCATACATTCTATTGAAAACATATTTTTCCGTATTCATTCCCGACTTACAACCTGAATTCTATATGCAAAGACGATTTGTTAGATAGTTCACTTAACTATAATCCATGTTTTATGGTGTTTTGCAAATATATTTATCTTTCCTCTTGATATTTTTTTAACATCACTATTGTTATTATTACAAAAAATGTAACCTTATAATTCTTGAATATCATCTATAATGTAACCCAGTTAACTCAACATTTTAGTCAATGAAATATGGTTATTTTGTTTACCTTAATAAATGTACATATTATGTTACATCTCATTAACACTTCTCGTGCAACAATTATATAATTAAGATTACTTAATTCTACGCACTAATTACTATATTATTACTTTACTAGACATATAATCTACTAATAAACTTTAAATGTAATATACATGTAGTGAACGAAGACTTGGTGAGGATAAACAATTTATTGTTTAATGCGAAATTACGGTGTCTTTGTAAGATTTGGAAAGCATAGATTAAATACTTTATTTGCATATTTACCAACTGTCACTTACAAACTTCATCATTCCTTCATTCCTGTTGTTATAACAATTGCTATTTACATTCCTGGTCTCTTCGATTCGATCTTCTCAACTTACTGCTGTCATGCATTCCACTTCTGACTGGTGTAACATACTACTTAAGTCTGTCAACATAAACGGCATGTATATATATATATATATATATATGGTCAGCTGACATCCGTATTCATCAACAAGCACACAATTAGTCTATTATACAGTTAGCAACCTTTTTGACATATGACGGAAGGAAAAAATAATGCAGTCTACTATGATGGTACATCTTGAGTATCTCAGTAACTAGATTCGAGATAAGTGTTACATACATTTCGTGGTGATTAAATACAAGTAGTTAATAAACACATCAAATTCATTAAAATAAATTGAAAACAAGAAAATCTATGGTAATACATGATGATTATAAAGTTTGAACATGCTCTCTGTAAATAGAAACAATCAAACAACTTTGAAAAGGATCATGTGAAAATGGATTTCTTTAATGGATTATTGTTTTATGAAATATTTTTACTTTGTTATACAAAATTACACCAGTGTTTATTTTTTAAAACAGCATTATCATCTCAGCAAGTCTGTAGAAAATCTGTTTAGTTCCATTTTAAGAAACAAATTAATAGACTTAAGATCAATACGAATAAAAGTATTAACACCTCGTATACCAATCTGATAAAATTAATTAACACTTTATTGAACTAATACATGAACAAATACTTCTAAAGACAATAAAAATAGTTTATAACACTTCAAAAACATACTATATCATCACCGTATAATGCTTCTTCATCTTCATAGATAGGTTTATCAATATCTTCACATGCTCCTTGAATTGTACGTACACCATAGTCTATACGAGAGAGTAAAGCACGTTTCGGTTGTCCAAGATCAATCATTTGGAACTGTAAACATATATTCAATCAATAAAACGAAAGTGCTACAAATCAATTTCCACTGAACAAAAAAATGTAAACAATCACTAATTGTATAGAAAATAGTAGAATTGGTTTTGAATTTCTGAAAAATGGTACTGTGTGAAAGGAAAGCCAACAAATAAGTGGTAATAATTTGAACGTTATTAAACTCTATTTAAATAAACACCTTAAGTCGACAATAATGGGGTATAAAACTAGTGGAATGTCGGAAATTTGATAGGTAGGTACTGATCTTTAAACGGTTCTTGTAGAGATAGTCAGTCAGTCAGTAACAACGTAGAACTTCGTACGTACGTACATCAGTTCGAGTTGCCACACCACATTAGCACAGAGATGCACTTGTCGATTCAAATCCCGTAGTGGTAGAGGTAATAAGAGTATAAGCAGTAATCGGGAAGATTAGGGTTTGGAGATGTTATTTAAAGAGTATAATCCAGTGAAATAAATTTGGAAAGAGGAAAAATGGGACATGAAGAATTCAGAAGATTAGAATTTGGGAGAACACAGAGAGTGGATGCACCTGCGTCATTGCAAACGATTTTGAGCCATGTCATTCAGGGTCTCTAACCATCGGTTGCTGTCATCTCGCGGTCCCCAACCAGGTAGTCTACACCTACCAACATGACTCAGTTCACTTGTCAGTGATTTCATGGACTTGTGCCATGTTTTGGTTTGGCCGCCCCTAGCTTTCTTCCAACCTACTCCTATACCACTGAACATAGCACGTCGAGGCAGTCTTGTAGAGATATGTACCAGTGGTTAGGACATTCGACTTTCTATCACTAAGCAATAGGTTTGAACCCTGACAAAATGGTTTCAGTCTGATCATCCCGGTAATATTACTAACCTTAATAAGTAGAGTGTGGCTCTTAACCAAGTACACAAATTTCTATCTTCTACGTGAATTAATAAAACAGTAAAACAATGGTCCATGTTCGAAAGTCGAGACTGATGAGCATATAACTCATTTTTTCTGTTGGTTGTTTTAATCTTACGATTGACGTTTAGGACTGCAATTGATCAGTCTCACATTGATAGATGCCAATCCTGTGCGGATTATTTTGATAGTCTTAATTTACAGGCATTATAAGCAGAAATGGATGGTACTAGCCACATTCCAATATAAAAAGTTAACTAAACTTCACCCCATTTCACAAGGTGGTGGCCGATTCGAAAGAGAGGATCATTGAGGACCAAGAGATGCTAAGCCCAAGTAACTATCTCTTGTCTTAAACATTTTGTCGTAAAAAGACCACTTCATTTTTTAAGGACTCAATGTTAGAAGATAATCCTTAACATGGAACTTGACGTGATAGCATCCATGTGGTATATCCAAGTCACTAAATCTGATGTTTAATGACAATATCAAAGTTTAGATTCTCATTATCTCGTAACCCACATACCCTGACCTTCATATTAATTGCTCGATGTATCCCACCGAAGATAAGTGGCAGATTGATAATGATAGACCATATTGAATTGATAAACACTCACGAATGTTCAAATTGTATAAGTTGAGGAAAAAAACTACTCGATTTGTGCTCATTATATACAGTTTATTTTGCAATGATGTCTAGGTACTTAAATGTATGATACTCGTTTTTTAGAGTCCATTATCACCTTTTAGAGTAACTAAATTCCTTTTCTAAAACTTTGATAATAGGTTGAAATCAATAGAAAACAACAAACAATTACATAGTGTATAGACAATCACTTTATAAAAATCTAAAAGCATCTGATTATTATTCTATTCAAACAAATAACATAATAGAAACTATTCAAATTTATTATAAAGTAGGAAAATTGCCGAACAAATAATATCTAATATAATGATCACACAATATACATTCATAATGATATTCATAATCATTTATTACAGTTGTCACACGAGCTGACTATTAACCCAGATAATTATGTTATGCAACAACAGGGGATGAATTATTTACTAAAAATATGATGACTAAACAATTCAAGTATTATATAACTAAATTGTATATAAATATCAAGTTTCCCACTGTCTAGATTAGTAGAATGTCATATGTGATAGTTTACATGTACATTAAATTACGTGGTAATGAAAATAATGAAAAAACCAACACACACATTTCACTGATTTATTCTAACTTATATAAACCAATTAACACTTTGGCAAGTGTCCAATAACAACTTCCAAATCAATAATATGTATGTATATAATGTGATAGATATAAAAAGTAACATAATAATATAGTCATAATTTTTTTAAAAACTTTATCAATAAAACCATTTCCTAGATAGATAGAATGATGTACGACATATTTATGATGAGAAACTTAATAATTTAGCGGTAAAACCCCTGTACTTTCACTAAATGAATTGTATATTAGAAATGCATTTTATCAATATTGATTTAGAAAATATAGGTAAGATTACTAATTTGATACAAAATCCATACGGATCAAAAGTAGTTGGACAATTCTGGAGTTGTTCAAAGGATAGACGGTATGAACTTAACCATGGTGGCGTTATAAAGGACTAATCGACTGAAAAAACACTAAAATAATTGTAGTGGCTGAATTTGTGTTTTGGTTATGGATTCGATATCATCAAATATCAATCGAAAAGTTAACACAGAAGGCAAAAAAACTGACCTACTGATTAAGAAAAGATTTCCTAACTGGATAATCAAATATCAAACATACAAAAGTAGATGTTTAAACATCTATCTAATTGAATATAATAAAATAAGACATCAAGAAATGCACGGACCTACACACGCTTGAACGACACAACTGTTCAGAGCTTCCTAATTTTCAACAATTATTCAACCAAGATCAGTTTTGGACGTGAACTTTAAAATGCAACGATCTCAACAAACTTCCTTCTGTGATAAAATAACCACTAGTGAACACTGGTGACTAGTTTTGAGAAGTGACCCTTATGTCCTAGTTAGGGCCCTAACCAATGAGGCAGTTAATCACTAACAGCATTAGAAGACGATTGTGCAGTATTGAGGATTGATAGGAGTTAAACATGAGAACTATTGGATGCTAGTTCAGTGGTCTAAATATTAAGTGCTAGACGTAAAACCTGAAGGTATTGGGTTTGATGACGATGGGGTCGTGAACACACACTACTGAGGAAACACATACTAGTATGTGTCTGTCAAGCGCTTTATAGGTCGCTAAACCATAATTTGTAACTTCTAATCGAGATAAAAGACAAATAAATTACATCAATGGCTGTGAAAGTAAAAATATTAAGAAATATAGTTCGAAAAAAAAACATGAAATTAATGGTTTGAATTAATATTAAAACTGAAGTTTTTGAGAGGGATAAATGATGAGTAAAATATCGTTACCAATGTAACCGATTTTTTTCATGTTAAGACATCCATAGTCTCTCGGTTACTAATTTTGAAATTTTATCACGTAAATGAAAATTCATCTTCCAATAAAAAAGTATGAATAATACTACCAAAGTAAGCATCCAGAAATACCAAAAGTTTAAATATCATAGAGAGTATTGTATTTTTCCAATACTTTTTTCATTGAACCTGGTAGTCGAGTAAAGCATAGCTTGTTCCGAGAAAAAAGGTTAAAACAAGAATTTGGTCCAAATTTAATGGATGTGCAAACTTCAAAATGTTATTTTTGGAACTCGTTCAAATTGAGATTTCATGATTAGAACAAAAATATATTTTTAGCGGACCAAAAATTATTCGATGAATGATTTTTATCCTTTTGACAATATATGAGTAAAAATGACTAACTAATGAAATAAAATCTCAAAAAATATCAATATTGCTTCGTGGAGAAACACTATCTAGTAGATAATAAACCATAGTTAATAAATATTAAAGGTCACATTCTACCACAAGTTTATTAAATATGAGAAGAAATAAAACCTATGGTTGTAGACTCAACAGCCCATGTTGGCTCGTCATTATTCGATATCCTAAGTAAGTCTTCGTCTTAGTTGATTTTCAGCGATTTTCAAGCTTGTGTCAGTTTTTGATGTACATGTCATTTACAAATTAAAACTAATAGTATCATTTACATTACCTGTCAGCATACACTACTTCACTGAGATTTCATTTGTGTCCTTTACTTCATCTCAGTCAGACTATGTGATAGCGGCGAAGACTTGTAGCTCAAATGGATGACTTTGGTGGAGCTTGGTTCTTTGAGCTAGATCGTCTAGTCTTCAATCCTTTTTGGAGGAGGCGCTCTTCTTTCTTCTTCTTTTTCATAAGTTTATATAATTTGACTATAGAATCGATTTTATGTTTTTCTGTCAGTGATTCCGAATTTTGACAAGTTTTTTTTCTTTGACGGTTTATTTTATTTGTTGATTGTATTATCCGAATAATATCTCGATTATCGGTGTCAAGATTCTGATATGAGTATACTTCCTAGCCTCATTTTTTTAGCCGTCCATGATATGTTGGTATGTGTGGACACTATAAATTCTACTGGTAATCAATACGTACACTATTCGCCTTTCATTGTGTTTAGCTATTCTCCATCCAGTTAGACAGCTAACTGGTTGTCTGTATCTGACACTTGTTAGCACTAAACACTGACGAGGGTAATGTTAAAAGTAAAACGTTTTTATTCTGGAAGGTTTCTATTCGGCAGAATTTTACTAATCAGAAAAACGAGAAGTGTGTTACGGTCATATTATTCAGAGATTAAGGAGAAAGTTAAGCCAGATCCAGCACAGAAAAAACTTCATTAGTTCCAAATTATGTTTTACATATTCAGTGGAAATTCATCATCCTCATCCTAACCATGAATGTATAACAAGATCATTAATAAATATATTTTCTATACTGGGAATCAACTGATTTTCAAATCCATGAGGTCCGTAATACAGCTGAAAATTCTACAACACTACAATCAGTAAATAATATCACTGAATACACATAAGATATTCTTTTGCATAGAACATGACGAATATCATATCTCAAAAAACGAAATACAGATTAAGAAACTCTTTTCCATTTCATCCTAGATGTATTGAGAAAACCGATATTAAAATCTCCGTTATACAAATCTCAACCAACTTCACAATAAAGGAAACATAACTCAGAATTAAGCAAATACTCAAAACTAGTAATCTACTCGGAAAATGAACTAAACTCAAATATAAAAACGTTCAGTCAAGTATATATACTGTCCAATTAAGTCACAGACTTAGGCTGTATTAAGATGTTGAATCTTAGCAAAAACGTTGTTTACTTCAAATAATAAACACCAGTGAATTAGGTTTAATGGATAACCACCATTCGTGATACACAAAATCTGAGTAACGCTAGAAGAGTTCAAACTGTTATCATAAATCCACATTGTAAAAAAAACTATGTATCGTATTCACAAAGAAGTAAGAAAAAAATTTCTTTTTAAAGTAATAATGCATACTTATGTTTTTATTATTGTATGTTTCTCTTACAAAAATAGAAGAAAATCAATGAGTAAACAGCAAAGAAAATAATGAAATAGTTTCATTTAATAACCCTCAACTTCAACATTATTGGGTTGGAGGAATCAATATAACATTTATAATGTGAAAGAAATTCATAAAAGTATTCATAAAATGATACTACTTTGAATCTAATCAATAAGATGAAGATACGAAGGTCATTTTACTAGGTCACTTTTTAGTTTACCACTAGCGCCTATGGTTTCATTCTTTATAGTTAATATGGTAACTATTTTATTTTTAATATTAAAATATTTAATTTAACTTAATAGCCAAGTTCAGGTTCATACAGTCTGATCGATGATTTTTGTTATGCGGAAGATAGTGATATTATCCAAATGCCTAGAAGTAGGTGGAATAAAGTTCGAATCCACGAACCAATCACTAAACGTTGGTTCTTTCTATAACAATGACTAAATTGGTTAATCTATAAAATGGTCTTTCCAGTTCTTTTACATGGTGAAGATCAATAGTTTGAATTTTTCAGATAGATGTGTATTTTATAATGTACATCATGCGCAGATTGATTACAGTTGGACGACTATTGAAAACCATGAAGCACTGAACAATTATTTCGTCTTAATAGGGGAATCCTCGTCATTGAGAATCGACAATCCAACCCAGGACCTATGGGTATTACGAAGAGCACTTAAACTTTAGATCACCGAACCGGTATCCATTGGTTTATATGTCACAAGTGTTTCAGTGGGAAAGCTGAAGATTAGTGTATATCAACTAGACTATAATCCTTTATTTAGTTTCAATAAATAGATAGATGTACAAATGCACAAGAAGAAAGTTGGTAGTTCTTTAAACACAATTCAGTTAGCTGCGTAACTAATGATATGGAGTATTCAAAATTAAACTTCATTTACTTATGGATTGTACACTTTCTGTTATATCCGAGAGAAGATCAAATCACGAGTAACTTCTGAGACATATTAATTGACTAGTATTATCTATACATTCTTATGGTATATCTATTCAATAATAAGATTATGCATATTTATATTCCTCTTATTATAAGCTTTATTTTGACCTATAATTTATTATTGTACGATTTACTGTTCTTAAGCTATGTTCAGTTTATTAACTACTGCCTCCCTCGTTCACAGTCACTTTTTGGCTTTATTGAGTACAGATATTATTTCCTATTCTATGGTGCGTTGCGGTCTGTTTGTTTGATATATAAACCCAGTATGTCTGAAATAAATGATTCGATTCGATTCGCATCGCATATTGGAAGCTGGTATTTGGTGTTCTGGACTCAAGTGGACGGGGCTAGGCGGACATAGGACCAATAAGGACGCTAGACTGCCCATACCGGTCAAACGTCATTGGTTTTGGCACAGTGCGAATATTGTATAAGTCGTATTTGATTGGTGGATAAATTACGTAATAAAAAGCCGGACATAAAGTCATAACACTTTCCAATAGTATATATTTTAAAATTGAAACATATGTTTCAGTACAATGCTAATCATTTTTACTCATATTAGATTGGTGTACATGCTGACACAAATTATCGAACTAAAGAAAACATCTCGACGCATTAAGGCAAGATAGTAATGAAATGAAACGTAACGAAAAACTAAGAGAAATAATAACTCACTCCACGTTTTCCGCTAGGTGTTACATCTCCGTTAGAATTGACAATAAGTCCAGAGCCAATATTATTATTGCCACTTAAATTGTGACGTGATATAGTATGACTTTCAGTGGCCAAATGACCTTCATTAAAGTCTTCCCTTTGACTTGCAGTACGTAATAAACCACTATGAGATAAATTCGCCTCTTGAGCACGATGTCCACGAGGTAGTGTCGCACTCATATTGGCGATTACATTAGCCCTACAAATCGAAACAATTATTAAATAATTGGTATTCTATGAATACAGATGATTAGATATATATGTGTGAATACCTCAGTTTATCCAACTATAAATATATAAACATTACTAGTGATCATTATTTGAAAGGATTTGAATCTTCTCGTTGTTGTTGTTGTTAAGGTCTGTAATTGGTGAGTCTATTTTGGCTTATATGTATCCTGAGTTGATAGCTTCGATAACAATGTCATATAAACACCAATGTCGATTCAGTAGCTCAGTGGATAACGTGTTGGGAGCTTGATGCGAAGAGTACTGGGTTGGATCCACAGTACGAAAAACCGATACTGGGATCCAGGTCAATCCAGCTGATGAGCTTCAAATAGGACAAAACGAGCATCCTGGATAATACTGATAGCCATTATCCAACAATACTAAAACCTGCTGGATATCTCCCATAATTTCTAAGTAAAACTGACTATTATAGGAAATTTATCGTTGTGCTTAAATTTTTTTAAACATATTAAACGGCTTTCAACAAAAATCGTCTCTAATAATTAATAATTTTATGATGACATTCACAACAAAAATCCCATGAATACAGTAAAGTAATATCTCATTTCAATGGTATTTTTATCCTAGGAATATAGTTTTTAACAATTTAACCAACACCTATTCAATCATTACACCAGAAATTATGTATCAAAGTCTAGAGTAATCGGTGATTAATACTGTAATTAATAACATAGGAGTAGTTGGTTTAAAATATGAGACAAAACAATGCAATAATTTGATGCATATTTGCTAAGAGATCTAACCTTAATTATCTCATAACATTAATTGTTGTTACTATGATAATAATAATAATAATAATAATAATAATAATAATAATAATAATAATAATAATAATAATAATAACTTATTATTACAGTTCTAGTAAATAATCCAAATAGAGAAAAGATTTCTTTACTGTAAGCCATTTTTATCAACGTTATTGCAAAAGTAATAATACTGAAGATCATAAATTTTAAAGAGAAATCAATGTAATATGGCGAAATTTCAAGTACTATTTGTTTAAGTTTGTGCTATGTGGAAAATTAATGAAAAAAACAAACTCAATAGTGTGAAACGACATGAATGATTTTCATTGAAATTCTACACGTCGATAGTTATACTAACTATCGAGAACAATGAAGTCTACGCTAGTCGTTTCTTCTTAATTTCTGATCTGAATCCACCAACATTTTCATCTTCTTCCTTCTATTACTTATTACAGTATGAGTTTTTGCTTTAATTACCTTCGTAAAGTACTACCTTTATTATGTAGCAGTGGTGTCCATGACTAAGTAATTGAGGCATTTGACAGTTGAAGGTTCACTTCATCTTCTGTTTGAATAGCCTTATAATAGTAACGTTCACATTCAAAAACAGTGAGACAAAGTTGATGATATGAGTCTGGTACTCAATACGTAATTCACGTACGTTAATATTATGTCTTGATATTTAATTGTATTAAATCAGTTTATATTTAAACAGAACTAATAATAAACGGAACAAAATTATCTAACAATCTATATCAGACAGGATAAAATCGGATGAACTTTGGATTGAAAAATATTATCATACGCTTTTACTAAAGTATTGAATTACAATCTTAGGATGAATATAGAATAAAGAAAAATCGCTCAACTATTTGAGTGAAATGCTGGTTTCGATATAAAGGGGTTCAGTTAACATAAAATGTGACAAGAAAAACATACACATCATATAAAAATTTAATATGTTAAACTTTATCAAAATTATATATATATATATACATTCGTTTAGGCCTCTGACAATCACATGTAATAGAATATTACGATCAAATTTATTAATATAGGCAATAGTTATATTGTATTAACTTCTCACTCAAAATTACTTCTAATAACCACGTTACTGATCGGACTGCTCTACAGTGAATACTGAACTTTTATTCAGTTTAGATGATGAATATGTAGCATGATTTGAGGGTTGTTTTTGATGATGAACAGATATCGGCTAGAGAATTACTGAGGAATAGAAAGCGCTTGACATCCTTTGTCCTAGTTTGGGACTTATGAACAAAAAGTATTCAGAACTATAAGTGAGATCAAAATCAGAATAATTAGGTCTTACGTCGAGTGTGAGAGCATTGACTAAATTAGTCGGAATTCAGTGGTTGATATTTTAAATTCCAGCGAATTGGAAACATGATGTGATCCGTAGACGATATATTCGGTAAGTTACTGTACAAAACTTGACCTAGTTAATATCACAAAGCATGAAGGTCATAGGCAAGACGTCTTGTGAGGTCATGGTTGCTGGAATCAGATCGCAAATACAGCCCAATAGAATAATCCAAATATTTGATCATCAGTAACATGATAGTTTGATTTATATATAGTATAGCTATCAGATACACTATATCGACGAGAGAAAATGAAGTGAAATCAATTCTTCAACTAAATTCTGAATAAACAATGAATAAGAATTTTTCGATATTTACTGAGCCAGTAGAAACATTAGTAGGTAATACCAATGTGAGCTGATAGTAAGGTGAGGAGAAACATCACGTTGATCAGTGACTTCTTTATTAGCCCGTGTGAATGGATACCTTCAAGTCAACTATTTGTAGTCAAATGTTCAAACTCGACATACATGAAAATTTTATTTGTCATCGTTTAGAATTTATTTGAACAATCTTTACGCGTTTATACTTGAGCTCTCTGATGTTCTTCGATAATAGAATTACATATTTTTTCGTCCACTATGTCAATGAAAGCTGTTATAATAATAAAATGGAATCTTATTTCAATCCAGTCATTTCTTAAACGATAAAGAAAACTACATAAGTGAATAAATTAGTAGGAAAAAAGTAACATACATTCTAATTCATTTTTGTATTGGTTGCTTGAATCTTCCCGTTGATGTTTAGAACTGCAATTGATCAGTATCTTATTGTCATTTGTGCATCCTATGTGAATTGCCTCGATATTGCCTTCAGTCACAAGCAATACAAGCGGAAATGATGGTAGCTAGAAGTGGAATCCTGGACGCGCGTTTCATCCTATTTTGGGCTCGTCTCAGATTTGATGTTCACTCCAAGATTCGGATGATATTTTCATTTCTCTAAGCAATTAAATATCCTGCAAGCGGTTAGTGACATCTGCATCGAGCGACCAGTACTGGGTTCGAGTCTCGGAGTGAACATCAACTTTGAGATGCAGGTATATCCAGCTGATGAGTCCCAAGTAGAACGACAGTGCGTTCTAGATCCCACTGCTAGCCATCATCATCTTAATATACATACTTCGTGTTTTAATTTTAATGTTTAAATGGGAATTATTTGTCAATTTTGTTTATTCTTATTCATCAAAAGGTTAGTCATACACTCAACTCAGAATGAGTAAGTAGTTAAACTTGGAAGTGTAACTTATTAGTTTAACTGTTGAAAGTAGAGGACTTTGCAGCTTAATTTATGGAAATTTGTACAACCGACATATTGGGGACTCGATCGTGTGGGTATGTGCGGACTATCTGGTTCGAGTGCCCCCTGAATGCCCTGGTACGGCCGAGAGTGGGGAGAGTCCGCTCTCCCTCTCGAAATACTCTCACACGGCCACGCGTATACAGCCTCTGCCAGGGAAGTCCTACTCATTGCCTTCTCGTGGCGGGGGTGTTGTTTACGAAAGTCAGTCAGTCAGTCAGTCAGTCAGCTACAACGTAGGACCAGGCACATATGTGCATCGGTCCAGGTTGCCATACCTCATTAGCACAACAAGATGAACACCGGATTCATAGGAGTGGTTAGGTCAAAGGTTGCAATAAGGATATAGTATAGGAAGGAAGAATTAGTTCGTAGAAAGAAAGATATGAAGTGATTTTAATCTCTTAGTTTAAGGCAAGACAGGGAGTGTATACACCGACGCCATTGTGATCGATTCTGAGCCATGTCACCAAGAGTCTCCAACCATTGGTTACGATAGTCACGCGGACCCCAACCAAGTAGTCTGCATCTACCAACATGGCTCAGACTAGAAGTTAGTGACTTCAAGCACTGATGCCACGTTTTGGTTTGGCCGCCCCTAACTTTCTTCCAACCAACCCCTACACCGGTTAGTATTGCACGTCGTGGTAATCGGTGTTCAGGCATACGTAATACGTGGCCCAACCATCTCAGTCGATGAAGATTCATAACCTCATCAACTGATTTACCATCATTCCCTAATACCCTGCGTCTAACCTCACTATTACTTACCCGGTGATCCCAGCAGATGCCAGCAATATTTCTAAGGCATCTGTGGTCAAATACTTGTAGCTTACGGGTGTCTTCTACTCTTAAAGGCCATGTTTCGCTGCCGTAAAGTAAGACAGAACGGACTGCCGCGCAGTAAACTCGTCCTTTAATTGATAGACGGATATCTCGCCTCCGCCAAAGGTGACGTAAGTTGGCAAAAGCCAAACGAGCTTTTCGAATCCGTGCTGAGATTTCGTCAGACACCAACCCATTAGGGCTGATCAGACTTCCAAGATAAGTGAAGTTGTCGACGCGTTCGACTACTTCACTCCCTATCCTTAGTTCAGGTGTTGACGCAGACCAGTCCTGAAGCAACAACTTGCATTTAGAGGGAGAGAAGCGCATCCCAAACATTCTGGCATTGTTGCTTAGTGCTACCAGAAGACTCTGCATTTTCTCAGCGTCTTCACCAAACAGGACTATATCATCTGCGTATTCTAAGTCGATAAGTGGACCTCCTGGAAGGAGATCAATACCCGAGAATTCAGTCGACGAGAGTGTTATTTCCATCAATAGGTCTATGATGAAGTTAAACAGAAATGGAGAAAGTGGACAGCCTTGACGGACACCACTTGAAGTTGCAAAAGTAGATGACAGTTCGCCATAAGCCCTGACTCGACTAGTAGTGTTCGAGTAAAGAGCCTTCACAAGGTTTATGTACTTCTGAGGTACGCCTTTCAATGACAGACACTGCCACAGAGTCTCGC